CAGCTGTAACTAAGACTTAGTTAGCCCGCCCGACACTTGCTAAAAACTTCACCGAGAAGTGTCCTTACAGAACTATACCAAATCTACCAATTGACACCTGGAATAACGAATAATAGATGGCTTCGTCAAGGCTGCACGAAACAGATGCAGATATGTTTCTTGATACTGTTGTGACTTTTCCAGACGGCTCACGCTATGAGCGGCTCGAGCCGATCACAAACTTCAGGAAAGACGATGACACCGCGAGGATTTTGTATCGTTGTCGAAGAAGAGCAGACGGGTTACTACAAAGCGAAGGATGCGATGATATATATGTTATGAAAGTCAAGTTTCAGTATGCCAATTGTCATCACGCATATATAAAACTAGACATTCATAGCAACTTACTATTGAATAGGGTTCCTAGTGTAGAGTTCAAAGAAGCCGTAGAAGGTCCAAATCCAGAGACATTGGCAGAGTTACACGCATTAGAAGCTTTTGCTACAAGAAAACAGGGTTCGGTACCGCATCTGGTAGCATGTAAGTGTGCCTAAAACATGAAATGTTCCAACTTGGGATGTGTCGGGATCTTGGAGAGACGCACGTCCATTCGCCTCCTAAAACCCCACATCTGGCTGCTGGCTAATGTACTTGTCATTCAGGGAAGGAAACGACCCAGGGAACTGGCGGTCTCTTTCCGGGGGGCTATTTGGTGATTACTGTCATGACTCTTATGCCCGGAAAGACACTTCTCGAGCTCGGTTTCTGGAGCCTGAAATCAGATGAACAAGACACGATCCGGAATGCGTTTTTAACAACGCTAAAGTAAGATCTATACTGTTCCATACGACCAAACGGCTGATCGACACTTAAAGTGACATCTGGCGTTGTGGCTTTGTGCCCTATGATCGCGCGCTCCGGAATATATTGTGGGAAAAGGAGACGAAGCAGTGGTAAGCTACGAGAGCAATAAGACAGCCGCGCAGTATTTTGTCTAACTCAGTACTATTTGGTATAGCTCGATCGTGGATTTCGAGCATTACCATGTGAGAATTGATCCGATATGCATGGACGAGAAGGATGAGATGGCGCAGTGGGGTATTTTACAGCGACCCGCGCTGAATTGGTACCAAGAATGGGCTCGCTCGGCTCCCAAGAAGCCTCGCTGATACCCGTCCTTGAACGCTGTGTGCGAGTGGCACCTATTGTGGCAGGACTACGTACCTGTAAGTTCTGCTGCTATGTGTTCAAGTATGGCGAAGACTGTAGTACCCACCCGTAAAGGGAGGCGAACGAAAATAACACAGAGGGTACCGTTTACTATTGGGCCATACTGTTAAAGTCTTAGGAACCCGCAGATACGAGTTTGACATTCTCCTCTGGGTCAGACCTTGTTCATTCATTTCATGTGCCACCACTGGCAACGGTAGAACGAAAGCTATACGAATCGTAGAGCAATAGCTCAACGACACAATCTTCTGCGCTAGTGTGTAGAACCCCGTCTGTATGCTTCACTTTGAACAACCCGCCATGACAACGTCATTTGATCGAGTGGTGCCTTCCCTTCCCTATCCGTCACAATTGATATCGAGGATCGACTTCCGGAAATTTGGGTCCTAGAAAAGGTCGCTAACATACCCAAGGTTGGAAAAAGTCCGTAGTCACTGCTCAATCTGCAATATTGTTGCTGAAAAAATGTAAGAACTGTCTGAGTCCCCTCCTTCTTACTACTTTGCTTGCACCTATTGTCGTGTTTACAGCAACTCGACACAACATACTTTCAAGTAGAGGAACCAGAGTATATGATTCGACCCAGGGATGAACACCGACAGCATTCAGGAATTCAAAAGTAAACCACATGATGTCCAAAACATCACAGCTCTATACGCAGTCAGACAAGGGTCCAAGGGGTATTTTGGATTTCTGTGTCCGTCCATCCAGGGCTGATGCCAAAGCAAGTATAGAGAAACCAGCTTTGGATACGCCACAGTGTCGTTGCCCCCAGAAAGGGGCAGTCTATGTCTTGTCTTCCATACTGATCCCCAGTAGTATGCGTGCCAGGATACTAACGCATCAAATATAAATACGACTATTGAGGGGTCAGTGCTGCGCGTCCGGTTTTCGTATGTTTGCGGTGCTTGGGATTGTGTTTGAATAAAACAATCTGCAGTGAATATAGTTGAAAATTGGGAAAAACTATACTGTATTTCGGAATGCTGGTCAGTGGCAACACGATTAGACGTAGTCTTGTCGCATGACAGTGCCGCGATGTTTTATTCAATGTAGAATAATACAAAGGTAAAAACAACATCCAGAACACAAAGAACGCTACTCATATTGCGACATTCAGACAAGCCACTCTCCTTGACCCCAAAGCACCTAACGATAGAAGAAGCTGAATTGCAATGAGCATTGGCAGCTCTATGATACGGTACTAGAAGAGTGACTTGTCTCCTCTAGCTTAGACTGGCTGTCCATTCAGGAACGTAGAGCATCAACGGGGTATTTTCTATTCAAGAGAGTGTTTGCTCCGAGCGAGAGGCTGCTCGTCAAGTGAGGACGAAGCTACATGCTGTTATAGGTATCGCTGTACTGTGACATTGACATTCGTTTGGTCCAACACCAATGATCTGTCATACTATATCAGCATTGTAGGAGTCAATTGGTCGTTGTTAACCAGTCAGGTCATCTCTTGGATTATGTGACGTGGGCCCACAAAGGTGGTCGTTGAGATGATGGAATAAACCAACCTTCGACTTGCTGGGTCAGATTTCTCATCCCTTCCAGATTTGTCTCGCCTCCTGCTTCCCACTAGACAGATAATCAAGCATTCAGTACCAATTACCAAGCTCGCTCAATACATGCCGGGATCTGCTTACCACTAACCACTAATTGGATGAACAGTTAGTACATGTCTTTACCCAAGCGTGACATCAAGGAAACAAACATTGTAACAAGATACAAACCTATAAGACCTCAGTTATCACTTACGTTTCCAACTGCCAAAGCAGCGTACTTCTTCGTCCTGTGAACGTTTCCCCAAATACAGTACCACAAAGCCGTTACCATGTATGCCTCTGCCAGAGCTCCGTTCAGACCTTCTTCCTCGTACAGTGAAATGAGCTCAAGAGCCATATCTGGGGTAACATTTCGATAGTTTTCAGCAGTAAACAGAAACAAATATTTTCGTAACACTGCAATACGCTGAAGGCGAGTATCAGATATGTTCCTAAGCTGCTCAGGGGAGGAACACAGTCTGCACTGGCAGTCAAATCCCCAGTGCTCTTTAATGTGATGCTGTCGTGCTGCATATATCTGCTTCTCGTCGATATACGAGAATGTGAGTTCTTCACCCGGCTCAATGGTGCGGGTCGCGTGGACTTTGTGCACGAAAGTACGTGAATCGAACGCAAAGCGTGCCTAGGGAATGCGGCATGCCGAAGTCAGTTATCGAAATAAGCGGTGTTGAAGTACTCCTTATCCCAAGGTAAAGAAAGCAGTCTCCTACATACGTTTGGTCGGCAGTCATGATTTAATCGGGCTGCTTCTGGAACTACGATACCAAAGCTCTCTTGTGAAACACCGAACGTGGCACTGAATCCGTTCGTTAGAAGAATATCCTCGGTTTGGTCTCCACCGAAGTGACCAGCAAGATCGTAAAAACGCCCTCTCGATCGTATTGGTAGGGCTGAGATGGACAAACGTTGCAACAGCAGCCTATCCGCCCTGTTCATATCAATCATTGCTCGTTCTTGGATCATGAAAACAGGTGTTGACGACAAGATCAAATCACCCTTCTTGAATGTATAGTTGCTAATGAGCCCCTTCCCTCTTCCTGGTAAAGCCTTCTCAAAGAAGTGGTCTCGCCTTTCAAGCTCATGAAGGGGATCTAAAGCCGATAGTGCACTGCGAACATTGGAAGCAACCGAAGGAGATGCAATAATGGCCAGACCTATAGAATGATGATCAGCGGACGTTCGTATCAGGTTTTACTGCAATGCAAAGTCTGCAATGGGAGACTGGCGGGCAAGGTGAAATTTGTTCCGAAGGAGCAGAACAGTTCTTACCACGACCACGTGCAAACCCGGAAAACACGTAGAGACAGTAGACCGAGGAAGAGCCTCCGGATTTTATGCAGTCTCGCTGGTAGCTGGGCATACCAATGGAGAAATCTCCGTCCACCTTTAATTCTTTTGGGCATATTTTGCTCTCTTTAGATTCGGATATCCAGAGTAGATCGAGATGGAAAACAGTCTGTAGCGGTGCTGGGCACCATGTGTCAAAGGATGGTCTCGGTGCTGACTCTGAGCTTTGAGGCAGAAGAGGTACTTCATGCCTATCGGCAAACACTTGCGCTAATAAAAGAGATGCTCCAACAAGAAAACGTAGGGCACTCATTTTGATTGTCTTAAATGTTGTCGGCGACTAATTGCCGGTTATGTGGGCGGCAAGGCGAATGCTTATAAACACAGCGGATGGGGATCTGTGCATGCCTAGCCCGTGTTTCACGACGGCACACGGAAACAAAACTGCAACAGAAAGGGAGCGCTGCTCGCTGGAGAAACAAAGTACTCAGACAGCCAGAGTCCGTTGATGCCCCCAATCTCGAGATATGCAGACAGCTATTGCCGCCGCTGCTCGGGCTTACTAAATGTGGAATTTCCGTCGAGGAGTGCTGATATTGGCAGTTGATTGAAGAATACATTTGTCCACCGAGAACCACGACTGCGACTGTTAATGGTTTCCACCTAACAGTCAACTAAATTTGCAGAGCGGTGGTCGTGCTACTCGTCATGAATCTTGGACAGGTTGCACACAGCAAGCGACAACGGGAAAACCCAAGACTCACATACAGGAGGGAAGATAGCAGTCCCAGGAATCCTTTCAGATTCCTCCGTAAGCCCACAAACCCATAAAGCGTTTGAGTCGGTGGAGATGATCAAGCATCGATTTGAAAATAATTCAAAGCTAATGTGATTGATTGTAAACCCAAACGAAACCGACAGACTACCTCCCAACTGCTATACAACAAGCCCTATCTTTGGACTCTCACCAAGTTCTGTACTCGCCGCCAAAGCGCCATATATCCTGAGAGGAACTGCTATTTCAAAACTTTCGCATTCCAGGGCCTCCACAGCAGCGAGAACAAGGCCTCTGTCATCTCTTGTCACCTCCTCTACAAGGTCCACATATCCTAGCTCTGCGTTATGCTCTCGGAGCACCCTTGGAGTCACAAATTCGATACGCAGTCGCCACTCCAAACTCACGCTACTAGTGATGAATTCAGGAGTAGCCGAGGAGGGAATAGTAGGCGAGAAAACAACTCTGCGAGCAAACAAGGCGGATTCGGAATGAGCAGCGTGGACTTTGCGTGTGACCCGAAGAATGCTCGCCTCAGATCGTAGGGAGATTGTACTATCTACCTTCTCGGATGTCTCCAATGATGCATGTATCGCATAGCAGGGTATTTCGGCATCCGAGAAATCAATCGCAGCCGAAATAGTCTCTCCAAGTCGATATGCGGGTCGTGCGAGCATGACAACCGCGACACGCCTGCCACTTCGAGCGATCTCGAACCTATTGGCGCTTTGTCTAGTGTCAGTCACGATATTACTCCGTAGAATGGCCATGTCTATAGCCTCCTTCGCTGTTGCACCCCCTGGAATGGAAGATTGGCGACCCGGTATTCGTACTTCAGTCGGAGAAAGCAAACCAGCGCTAGAATTTTGTCGTGGCGCCATCAGCAATTCATCAACATAGCCGAGAAACTCATCCAATGATGACTCTGGCGCTTTCAAAATAGCTTTCAACTCTGAACCCTTAAAAGATTCCGGATTCGTCTCCACTGGAATTTCGACAGTATCAACGCGTGCCTGGTCACGAAGTATGATATACGGAGACATAAGGTCGTGACCGAGAAGTTCTCCGTGACTATTGACACTCCCCAATATGCGAAACGGAACCTCGACAGATTTCACTTGTTGTTCCTTGGCCCCACCAGGGCGCTGAGTTCCTATCACCAACTTGTAGGATATCTTGATCGCTTTACCCCGATGGCTTGGTGGCAAACCACGAGGAAGCTTGAAAGAGTACTTATAGCTTCTGCTCTCCCCAGGAGCAAGTCGAAGGTCGACAAAGAGGATAGACTGTGGGGTAGAGAGAAGAGGAATTGATCGAGAGCTCGCAAGTCCTCTCATGTCCTTGATACTGCTGAGCTCACCGCCTCCGAGAAGTCCGCCAAGTGACTCGCCAAAATTACTCCACCCAAAGCCCCTAAGGAGGCCGCTGTCTCGCTTATTATTTTCAACTCCAATGACCCCTCCACCCTGACCACCGACTGCTCCCTTTCTTTTCACTTCCTCAAAAGGTGCCTGACTTACCAGAGAGGCATCCAGGGTAAATGATCCGTGTATCTGTGCATAGCCCATCATTAAAGTTTCTGGAGGCCGATGGCTGTTCACTAGCATTAAATTCGATGGCCGCCTTGCGTGCCCGGTAGATGGGGGAACACGGCCAGACTGCTGTGGCAGGTACTCAGAAGCAAGAGTTTCTGTCGAGTTGTTACTGAGAGAATAGAATTCTCCACTGCTGCGAGGCGTTCCAGCCATACTGGCTGGTGATAGTACCCGGGGCATTGATGGTATTTTCTCTGCATTTGCTGATATATTTTCTCGAGAGCGAGGAGATAAGAGGCGTGCGCTCTCTTGATACACAGGCAGCGTAGGTTGATCACTTGACTTTCCTTCAGAAGATGGTGACGAAACAGCAGGGAACCTGAAGGCCTGTGGTAAGGAGCCTGACCCCTTTCGTCTCGCGAATGAAGAGGCTGGTATTTTTGGCGTGCTCGGAGCAGTAGCAACACCAGGTTGGCGTCTCAAAGGCCTGTCTGGATCGGCAATGGTGGGAGAAAACAAAGAGTTGAGAGGAGATGGCTGCGTTGCCGAACGCTGGTTCGTTGGAGCTGGAAACGTTAGAGAAGGTCTCGGAAACTATTCAATTTGCCGCCATTACCTGATGGAAGGCCCCCATTGACCATATGCCTACGAGGAATTATCTGCAGACTCGCAGACCGGCCATGGCCTTTCCCTCCTCCTCGAGGTCTTTCAGAGACGCTACCATGACTGTTGAAATCATCCCCACCGCCTTCACTGGCTCCTATAGATATGATCGAAACAGAGCGCTTATGTGAATTGCCATCTTTGGAGACTCGAGACGAGGCGCCGGTGAGAAGTCCAGACGCAGCTTGAGTTCCAACGGGGACAGTCGGAACACTGAGGGACAATGTTGTACGGTGACCCTTGCTTGACGATGAAGGGCGAGGAGAGAGGCTTCCGTTGTCCTTGATCTGGGACACTGCCGTCTTCCGCTGTCTATCTGCCAGTGCAGTGCTATTTGTGCTGGAAGTATTCAGGGAGGTTATCGGTGGTGTTGGCGCGTTGGCTATATTCTTGAATGTAATTTGGCATTCGACGTCCTCGCCGGCAAAGACCGTTTGTTGAGTCCATCGGACGAAAACTCGTATGTTTGTCGATGGAGCTGACATCTCGTGGCTGACTGTGGGATGCCGAGTGGAGGGATATGATTACTCGTGAATGAATATACGGAGGAGCTTAGAGCTCCATCTGCTCGAGAGAGAACAATGCTGCCAGTCATGGATGCAGTAAGTCGATGGCAAGTTTGGGAACGGCGACTGGCATGGTAAGTGTATGGAATGCAGATGAAGATCGGGTTGCAGGCGGTATTTGGAAGGATAGAATCCCCTGCTACATACTTTTAAGCCCGCCTAGGCATCGGGTCGAGCTGCAGTGGATGAATAGGCCAGGAACCGAGTGGTGAAGATGGAGATTTGGATGAACGTGGAAGTGTAGGTACCTCTGTATGGCTTACGGTGTCTCGGTTCAGCGTGGCTGGAACATGGCGAGGTAATTAGTTTTGCCGGTCCGATCAGGTATGCTCGCTGGCTCGGTATGGTAGCTTATCGGTGATGCTGACGGAACTTATCCCCGCAATTGGCTTGGCTCTGGCTCTGCTCTGCCAACCAAAGTCAACAAATAACACTCAAAGCAGCCACGATACAGGTACCTGGGTACGTTTGATCTGTGTTCCTTTCGCGAACACCCAACGACGACGTCACGCAAATTCTGCGATACTACCTACGAAGCCAGCCAGTCGCCTCGTACCGCGCTTTCGTCGCTCTCTTTCCGAATCCTTGTCTAAAGCTTTGTTGAGCTTTTGACTGTGGTTGCGATCGTTTTGGTACAGCCTCTCTTCTTACTAAAGTCCTATCACCCTGCTAACATGTGGCATTCCAGACCTATACTTACCTGCTCGATCACCTCTCAGTTCAAGTCCGATGGCTTCTTTCATCACCACCGTGTTAGTCTCCCACACCCTTTCTTCATGGCTACCATATCTGTCGCTGCTGCTATCCTTCGATATCTAAGCCCTCCAGATATCTTGCCTCTCATTCGCACACATCCTCACTCTGTATCCTCAACGACAATATCCATGACACCCAAACATGAAGGATCGGTTGAAGGAGATTTTGACTGTACGCAAGGGACTACATGCTTACCTATGGACTTGTATAGCAACCAACGAACGAGAAACCAGTTTAGACCCCGCAATGCAACCAAAGGCACCACGAGTTACCAGTTGAGACAGTATGCGGAGGCTACACTTGGAGGAGGCAGTCTGCGGAAGATTGTGAAGCTTCCAGAGGGTGAAGATGAGAATGAATGGTTGGCTGTCAACAGTATGCCGTCTCCAATGATTGCTTGATGCACTAGTACTGAGGCAAAATAGTGGTCGACTTTTACAATCACATTAACCTTCTATACGGTTCGATTACCGAATTCTGCTCCCCACAATCATGTCCCGAAATGAAGGCAACAGATGAGTCCGTATCAACATCAATTTGTTGGAGACACCCTTACGTTGTGTATTAGATTTGAGTATCTCTGGCAGGATTCCGAAACCTATAAGCGGCCCACCAAGATGCCAGCTCCAACTTATATCGAACATTTGATGGGATGGGTCCAGAGTAACATTGACAACGAAGCAGTTTTCCCAAGCAGAATCGGTATGCCAGTACCCGGTTTTGGGAAGTTTTGGCTAACTATTATGAGGTGTTCCATTTCCAAAGTCCTTTCCCAGCATGATTCGTCAAGTCTTCAAGAGAATGTATCGTGTCTACGCCCACATCTATTGTCACCATTACCCAGTCATCCGGGAACTTGGTCTTGAAGCCCATCTTAACACCAGCTTCAAGCATTATGTTCTGTTCATTGATGAACACGCTTTGGCTAGTGGGAAGGATTTCTGGGGACCACTGGGAGATTTAGTTGAGAGCATGCTTCGAAGTGACTAGGCGGGAGAGGAGACTATAAATTGGCGATAGCCGACGCATAGCATGTTCAAGGCGTTAACTGGGGTATGGGATGGAGTCTTTGGGCAGTCATCGGACTTAGTTGGTTGTATCTCGTTTTGGGCTGCGGATCGTTAGCGTGGAGCAGACTGTATTGTAGTCAAGGCACCTTACCTATTGGTAGCAATTACAATTCCCCGTGTGACGCGAAAACGAACCTATCATTACCTTGCAGACGACGGAGACGTGTGGCTCGTTTATGCCATGAAGAATATTCACCTAGCAGGACAGCAGTGGTTGAGATGATTGATGGCCGTAGAAACATATTTTTGAGAGCCGAATCGCTGCCAGCAAGAAATGTAAACGTAGCTAGACTACTTCATGACTTATAGCGTGTGGATGGGGGCAAGGCTTACAGTTATTCTTCAGTTTAGCGTGATTCTTCGGTAAATAACGCCGACTCACCGACTTTTACTGTAGACCCTACTAAAAGATAGTAACCTAGAATTATAACTTCTATAACTCTATTAAATCTCTATAGATTTTCTTTAAATTAGGTTATTTTAAAGCTCTTAAACTCCTCTCTCTATTTTTACTTAATATTCTCGAATATACTTCTAAAGAAAGCTTAAAATAGTTAAAAGAAAGCTTCTAAAAAGAAAGCTCTATATACTTTACTTCCCTTACTACTAGTAGCACCTAAAATAACCCTTAAACTTAGTACGAGTTAAGCTAGTAGTTCTTCTATTAGTTCTATTATTAATACTTCGGCTTTTATACTTAATTTAAGTATAAGAGTAGTTATACTAGTCGTAAGATTAGTAGAGCCTTTATCGCTACCTCTCCCTTTACTTTCCAAGCCTTTATCGATTCTATAAGCTCTCCCTTTACTAGAACCTCTTATTATATAGTCTCTTATACCTTTATAGATTAAAATATAAGCTATAAACTTTAAGATTTAGTAGTACTTTAATAATAAGTAAATAATTAATATAATAAAGAAGGTAATAAATGAACTAAGAGTTAAAGTTACTTATAAATCTATTAAGGAAGCTATAAAGATATTAGTAGATACTATAATTAAGTTAAGAGGTATTTCTTTACTACAGAGAGATTATACTTACTAGTATAATACTTATAGAACCGTTTAAAACCCTATAGAATATAATATTATTAATAAGGCTAATTTTAACTATTTTATTAAATAAGCTTAAATTATAAGGAAGTTAAAGTAAGAGAAGCTTTAAATATACTTTAGTATTATATAAATACCTTAGAATATAGTTTAATTACTTTAAAAAGACTCTCCTACTCTAAAAGCTCTAGTTATTACTATTCCGAAGCGTATATATTAAGAGAAGAAAAGCTCGATAGTAAAGAAGCTATATACTATAATAACTCGTCTTTTAAAGGAAGTTAGAAAGAATTAAGAAGCTAAAAAAGGAACTATACACAAGATTATAACTATTATTTAAGTATAATAGGCCTATAATATCAGTTCCTATTATTATACCTCTTGATTTTACTTTATTAATAATAGTAAATACTACTACTTTTCCTTAGATAATTTAAGGTATTAGAAATATAATATTAAAGATAAATTAACTACAATCGATAAACCTTATATTCTCTATCGAGTTAATCTCTCTAAAGAGCTTATAGCTTATTTAGAGCTTTTATTATTAAAAGTATAAGGAAAAAAGAAGTAACAGAAGATATACTATAATAAATCGTTATCTCTAGAATAATATTAATTAGCTTAATACCTCTTATAGACGCTATATTAGCTTCTAAATACCTTCCTATATTAATATCCGTTAATACTACTTCTTCTAACGTAGTCTCTATACACTAGTAACCCTCTAAGTAGCTATTTATTAGCCTCTTACTCTTAGCTTAATATAACTCCTCTAGTATATAAATATACGACTTTAGAGCCTTAATTACTATATATTTAATTATAAGAATAAGTTAAAAGTAAGTTTATATTAATAGTAGATCTACGGGAGTTAAGTCTATTCTGTAATAGTAGTTTAAAGGTAGAAAAGGTATTATTTACTTTAAAATCGTTCTTTTGTTAAGTTATACCTCTAATTATAGCTTTAGTAGCCTTTTACTTCGATTTTACTATTAGAACCTTTATAAAATAAGAATATAATATTAATATAGTTAAAGATATATTAATTTCGGAGGTAATAAAGCTTAGAATAAAAAGTAGTATTTTAAAGACGATTTAAGAGTAATTAAAGCTATTTAAGAAGTAGTATAATTAATAAGCTTTTATTCAGGAAAATAACGAACTTAATAAAAGCGAAGATAAGAGTAATAATAGAGAATATAAGGAGTAAGTTTTAGTAGCATTTATAACTATAGTTTCTATATAGTTTCTGTTTAATTAACTCTTATTCTATATTAACTTTATTACCTTCTTTAATTAGTACGCCTTAATAGCTTAAATAGCGAAAGTAGCCTCTAGCTCTATATTTAGCTTTAGCTCCTACTCCTAACTAACTTTATAGCTATTATTAAAAAGCCTTTAAATTCCTCCTAAGTATACTTACTTTAACACTAGTATCTCTTAATCTATAATTTTAAGTCTACGAAGCTCTCTTCAATAGAGTTAAAAAAGAAGTAATATAAAGGGAGATATTTAAGTTAAAAATCGAAAGTTATATAAAGAGCTAATACTTAAGGGTTACTATAGATTAACGCGTTATCTATTATTACTACTTTAATTCTAAGCTCTATATATTTAGGTAAGATACTCTTTTCTAGCTATTTAGTGAAGATTTCAGCTATAATCGAGCCTTAGTATATTAATAGCTAATAATAACTATAAAGTGAGTATATAAGGAGAATCGACTACCTTATTAATTATTTAAATACTCTCTAAACCTCTATAAGAGCTTTCCTAGGAGCTTATTCTTTACGCTTATCTATTATACGCTTATTATAAGCTGATTTATTAATAAAGTATAAGTCCTAGGCCTCTTAAAATACTATCTTTCGCCTTTAAGCCGCGATTAATTCGTTATTCTTTTAACTTATAGAGACCTTAAGTACTTTCTTAGTATAATTAAGCCTTTAAAGAGTCTTAGAGACTTAGTTAACTAATATATTAACTTCGTAGGCCTCTTATAAATATACTATGATTTTATCCTAATATAAATCCGACTTCCTCTTAAGTAACGCCTTAATATATTCACTTATATTATTAGTAATAATAAGTAGAGGGCTATAGTAATAATATTCTAAAGGTAGTATTTAACGCTTAAGAGTCTATTTCCGCTTATATATTATCTTATATATCGTTCTATACTCTCTAGTAAGAGCTTATAAGTTAATATTAACTTTATAAGATAATATTCGATTGATATTCGCTACTTTCTAAGCTAATAGGTTTAGAGCTATAACGTTAGATAGCTCGTAAGCTCAGGTTCGAATATTTAAAGCGAGAGCTTTAAAATAACCTAATTTAGAAGAAAATCGATAGAGATTTAATAGAGTTATAAAGGTTATAATTCTAGGTTATTATATTTTAGTAAAGTCTATAGTAAAAGTCGGTAAGTCGGCGTTATTTACCGAAGAATCACGCTAAACTGAAGAATAGCTTATATTTCTATTCTTTCAAAGTCTGTTCTCCCAAGAATTCCAGTTTCCAGACACTAAAATCGACATCACGTGAGCTGCAAGTGTGGAGAATGGACACCCGGTTTTTGACGACGATGCTCTCAAACTAAGCTCAAGCTCAAGGTCTCATCTCCTACTCCAACGTCAATTGAACACCTCCATCATGCTTTCGAGTCGAGCAATCCTCCGCGTCGCGCGGACCTCAGCTCCCCAACGGGTCGCCACCCCAAGAGTTCTCGCCGCCAGCCAAATCCGATCGTACGCTGCTCCTGCGGCTGCAAGCCCCGACTCGAAACCTCCCATCGCCCTCTACGGCCTTGATGGCACCTATGCCACTGCGTTGGTATGTCATTCAGTACCATTTCAATGAGAAGGAGGCTGGAGAATCGACCGGGCGCTGGTAGGAGGGAGGCTAATCCGAATCAATAGTACACGGCTGCCGTGAAGAACTCGACTCTGGAAAGCACCGCCAAAGCCATTGCTGCTCTCAACGACGTCTACCACAAAGATGATAAGCTTGCCACGATCATGCAAGCACCAACGCTTAGCGCTGAGGACAAGTCAGCCATCGTTGCTGAGCTGCAGAAACACACTGGAGCAGCGGGAGACAAGGGGGATACTGTGAAGAACTTTCTCAATACCTTGGCCTTTTACAACCGATTGGGTCTCTTGAAGGGTGTCTGTGAGAAATTTGGAGAGTTGATGAGCGCGGCAAAGGGCGAGGTTGAGTTGACAGTCACAAGCGCCTCAGTATGTCCCAACATGATGGAAGGCGAGTAGAGCATGCGATGCTGATGTTATTCTAGCAATTGGATGGCAAGATTTTGTCTCGACTTGAGACTGCCGTCTCAAAGTCGCAGTACGTGGGTTCGGGAAAGAAGCTCAAGGTCACGAACAAGGTATGTGGCCCAGGACTCCATTTGCAATCTAGACTCATTGGTTCCAGGTCAACCCAGATATCCTTGGGGGACTTGTGGTGGAGATCGGAGACCGAACTATCGATCTCAGCGTCTCAGCACGCATTGCGAAGATGAACAAACTTCTTACTGACACCTTGTAAAATACTATCAGCTCCTGTTTTTGTCGGTGAAGGATGGCAGTTTGGGTGAAGACGGCGGAACACGATGTGTATGTATCAGAGTTGAGAATGAGAGAATTCCCATTCTAGTCTACCAACCGCGATTCGACATTTGCAAGCTGTTAAATTCATAAAGAAATAATACTGGATACTTTCGACATGAATCTGCTGATCTATTTTCTAACTCTATCTATAACATAGCAGGTTCTGTTTTTGTCTTGTACCGTTAAAGCCTGATGAATGCTTTCTTGTTCGATTGATGGCAAAGCACGTCTAATGGTAATCGAGGTGACGCTCCGTCACATAGGCAAATCACTGACCATCAAGCTGAGCCTCGTACTCATCACCATTCTCTTCAAAGTCTGCTGATTGGTGGCTACGGACTCTCTCAAGCTGCTCAGAAACATAGTTGGCCGTGTGGATGTCGGCCTCTCTGCGTTCTCTCTCCCTTTCGGGGTTGTCAGTTTCAACTGAGTTGCCGATCGAACGAACATCGTCCAAGTCGAAGTCGCTTCGTGCGGCAATCGATCGGGCAGTCGAAGACCGTCGCATGTTCGGACGGCCGGACTTTTCGGTTTTGTGCATGACATGGCGGGTGAAAACATCATCGAAGTAGTGGTTCATACCTGTGGATGGTGTTCGGGGGGTTTGAGGGAGACGGCAACTCAGACTACCGGATTGTTAGTATTAAAAGCAGCCAATTTAGCGTTCTTGACTTACCCAGTGTCATGAATCATTCTTGCCAGCAGTCCAGTCCATCCACATTGATGTGTAGCACCTAAGCCACGGCCAGTATCGCCGTCGAAGAACTCGTAGAACCACAGATTGTCCTTCCAATTTGGATCGAAATCAAGCATATCATTGCCATCATTGATGGCACGACGCCCATCATCTCCACGGGCCATGAGATGTTGAAGTCGATGTTGAATCTCCTCGGATACACGGCCAAGATGCATCATGTCACCTGATCCAGTTGGGCACTCGACCTCGAAAGATGGACCGTAAAACATATAGAATCGCTGAAGAGACTCGACAAGCAAGAAATTGACACAGATCCAGATGGGGCCTCTCCAGTTACTATTGCCTCCAAACAGGCCACTGTCCGAGTCTCCCGGAACATAGCTGACCTTGAATTCTTGGCCGTTGACATCCATGGCGTAGGGGTGCTCCTTGTGAAACTTTGAAAGCGATCGAATTCCATGATCGCTAAAGAACTCATCCTCGTCCAGCATTCGCTTTAAGATTTTCTCAAGGCGGTCCTTGCTAACAAGGGACAGCAGGATCCGGTTGTCTTTGCCCCTCTTTCGTATGCTAGCCATGTTACGCTCAGCAACATCATGTCTATTCTCAATGAACCAATCAACGCGCTTCTTGAAGGCTGGCAGCTTATTGACGAGCTCCGGCTCCAATGTTAAAGTTGCGTAAAGTGGAATTAAACCAACAAGCGATCTGACTGGAAGTTGCTGGGTCCAAGGGCCACCATATGATATCGCATCGTAGTAGAAGCCGTCCTCTTCGTTCCACAGAGACTTTTCGTTCTCTCCAGCTTTGTAGGTCATTGCATCGCTGATCAACATGAAGTGCTCGAAAAACTTCGATGCAATATCTTCGTAGATTCGTCGATGTTTGGCCAGCTCTAGCGAGATGTTCAACATGCATAGACAGTAAAATGCCATCCATCCAGTGCTGTCGGCTTGTTCGAGAACTCCTCCGGTAGGTAAAGGCTCGGAGCGGTTGAAGAGACCGATGTTGTCGAGACCGAGGAAACCTCCTTCAAATACGTTCTTTCCGTCAAAATCCTTGCGATTTACCCACCAAGTGAAATTCAGCAAAAGCTTCTGGAATACCCGTTCTAGGAAATCAAGATCTTGACGGCCGTATAACTTCCTCTCGATCTTGAAGGTTCTGAAAGTGGCCCACGCATGCACTGGAGGGTTGACATCTCCGAAATTCCACTCGTAGGCTGGCAGCTGTCCATTTGGGTGCATATACCATTCTCTGGTGAATAAATCCAACTGCTTCTTAGCGAAATCCGGATCGATCATAGCCAATGGGATACAGTGGAATGCGGAGTCCCATGCAGCGAAGAAGGGATATTCCCACGAATCTGGCATGGACAGAATATCATCGAGATGCATATGTTTCCAGTTTGTATTTCTGACGGCTTTGCGCTCAGGAGGAGGTGGAGGCTGGCTCGGATCACCATTTGCCCACTGGTCCCATATGAAGTGATAGAACTGCTTGGTCCACATCATTCCCGCGAATGCCTGTCGTTGGATGTTACGCAAGTCTTCGGACATGGGGAGAGGACTGATGCGGTGGTAGAACTCATCGGCCTCCTCCTTCCGCTTCTCCATTATGTCGTCAAACAACTCCTCATCGACGTAGTCTTCATATTTCTTCGAGATTCGGAATCTCACCACGGCACACTCGCCAGGAGCGACTCCCCCCGCCTCGTCGAAACTGAACCAAGCTGCAGATTTCGTGCCGGTCCGCTTAGGGTTGACTGCCTTCTTCTCACCATCCACAATGTATCTGTGAAAGGCATCCTTGACAAACGGTTGTTCGTTCTTGCCGTCGTACAATTTCTCATAGTTGGTATCATTCTCTGTAAAAATGAGTTTTGGAAGAACATCTTGTCCACTGGGTCCAACTCCTGGAGACGGAGAGAGTGAGAAATACCGGTCTCCCAATTTGTGGTGCTTGCTCTGCGCAGTTGTCTCGCTAACCTGGTGGATATTAGGCTTCTTATCTGCAGACTCGTAACCCCAGGCCCATGTGTTTCTGAACCAAACATGTGGTATAATGTGCAATGGTGCTGGCTCGGGACCTCGATTCCATGCTGTGACTCGGAACAGCAACTCATCTGGGTCGTCGGTCTCCTTTGCAGTTTCAATAACGATATCCCAGTATCTGTCGTCATCAAAGATACCCGTGTCAACAATTTGATACTCTCGTTCTTCCTTGCCTCGCTTTCCATTTTCCTTGATCAGATCTTCGTAGGGAAACTTCTTTTGTGGATATTTGTAAAGGAGCTTCATATACGAGTGCTGGAGATGAGTTAGTCAATGAAACACAGCCATCTGATGCGGGAGGGCACGACGTACAGTAGGAGTGTTATCAACATGAAAATGTGCTTCTTTGATGCTTTCGCCATGGTTGCCCTGCGGATTGGAGAGGCCGAAAAGACGTTCCTTCAAGAAATCACTGTTATATAATCAGCAACAAAGCTCCGGCCAAGTACCCCGCGATGGCACCCACTCTTCCTCATTCCAAAAGGCAAAGGCAATATTCTGCAAGCCATGGGTATCCGACACACCAGCAATGCCATCCTCACCCCACCGAAATGTTCTTGATCGAGCATGATCGTGCGGGAAATCTAGAAGTGATCAGGTAGGCAAGCTCGAAGGTGGCAGGAATCTGCAGGGAGAACTCACGACTCCAGGCATCACCATCGGCGCTGTAATCTTCACGGACTTCATTATTGTTAGAAAGCAAATATGCAGGCATAATAAAGTCAAGCCAGTACCTGTTGCCCATTGTCTCTCGGCCACATAGGGACCCCACTTTTTCCAATACTTCGTGCGCTCTCGGTCTTCTTTCAGACGCTTCTCCTCCTCACTCAAATATTCATGATGGTTAATCTGGACCATGTTGTTGACGGATCGAAGTGACGCTTTGCACTGGGACTTGGGCGGCAATGGTTCAGGATCGGTTGGGAGCAGAGGGCTGTCAACAAATCCAACGGACTAGGAAAGCTCAGCACAAGCTTGATGCCGGAAGAAGGCCGCAGTGGATGTTGGCAGCGCCAAGGAGAGTGTTCCTGTCCACGAACGTGTAGGTAGGGAATGGAAGAGGAGAGGAGAGGAGAGGAGAGGAGAGGAGAGGAGAAATGGTTTGAAGGCAAGGCCTACCTCAGGATGGAGCTCTCCAAAAAGGAAATAGAAGGAGAAGGTGTGTGTGCTGCAGCTTAGCTTGCAACTTGCAGGCAGGCAGGCAGGTAGCACGGGGCAAGACAAGACAGGACAAGGCACGAGAAAAGCATGCAGGCAGGGCAGGGCATGCATGCATGGGCAAAATAATGGGCATTACTTATACCTTAGAAAGCGCACGTCAGAGGCGGGAGTGGGAGGCTAATCAGGTACCAACCCAGCTGAGCTCGCTGAGGTAAATTTACTTCACTTCCGTAGGTACAGTAAGGTACTGTAGGTGGCTGGTGGTACCTTACTGTAGTGTATTGTAGTGTAGTGTAGTGTAGTGTAGTGTAGTGTACCTAGGTCCAAGTACAGTACGGAGGTAGAGGTAGAGGTAGGCGGGAAACAGCTGAGCAGCCAGCCGTCAGCAGCCATACCTAGCCGTGAATGCCCCGCCCCGCAGGATATTGATTCAAGGCGAGGTACGAGTAAGGTATGTACGTCTTGTGCCCTGAAGCCGAAAGTCTCCTGCGTAGGTAGGTACTCTACCTCCTGCCCTAAGGTTACCTAAGGTAAGGTATTTCATGAGTTCCGGCCTGCAGACACAGGTGTGAGTACCTGCTACTTACCTTACTGTACTGTGCGGTACCTCTACAGTACCTTCCATTCCATTCGTAGGCAGGAAGCTCATGGTTCAAGATCGATGCACTGCACTGCCATACCTTACACCGACTTTAGTGTACGAACGATAGAGTACGGAGTACCGTGTCTCTATCTCTACCGTATCTCTATCTCTATCTCTATCTCTATCTCTACGGCATCTCCTACTGTACAGTAGGTAGGCATCTTTTTCGTTATCTCTATGGCGAGATGGGCAAATTCCACAATGACATCATTGCTTTTGCTCTGTCCCTGCACGACAAGGTAAATTTACTGTACGGAGAGCTGGGAGGTACAGGTACAGGTACAGGTAGGTGGCTGGGAGAGTCGGAGCCGGAGCCGGAGCCGGAGTCGGACTTGGACCTTGGGCTTGGTCTTGGTCTTGGGCCAGTCACTGGGCTGGGTCTGGCTGGCACGGGCACGGGCATGGGCTCGGGCAGGGGCAGGGGCAGGGGCAGGGGCAGGGCAGGTGAAACGAAACACTCCCAGGACTACCTTAAGTACCACCAGTAGTAGCGAGGTAAACACCGCAAACAAACCTCGCAAGACAGAAACAGATTGTATGTAGACTCAGCCCAACGCAGCTTCAATAATGTCATGAGCGAAATACAAATCAGGTCGTTCCATCTAACATCAGGAGACTCTCTCAACCTCGAAAACCAACCTCCTTGTCTCCGGGCTATCCCACACTCGCTTCCCATCCCCAACACCAAGTCCTTCATCCAACTTCGCCCGAACAAGCCACTCCGTACCAGTCGCCTTCCCGACCTCGTCCCACAACCTATCAAAGCTCACCAAATCATGCCGAGTAACCTTCCTTTCTCCCTCAAACTTCACATCACAAGCCATCAGACATCCAACCTGCTGCCCCAGGATCAGAACTCCCTTCTCCGGCTTCAGCAACCCCACGATCCGCTCACATGCCTTTCGCTGGCCCTCCCATCCAAACAAATGTAAGAACAGGCCGACATGAACTACATCCAGCTGACCATCGAGTTCCTTCAATGAGGAGTCGGGGTCAAAGACATCGGCTCTGAGGAAGTTGACTCCAATTTTGTCTTTGTCAAGGAAGAGCTCATAGCCCAATTCAATAAACTCCTCTCGCAGCTCAGCGCCGAAGAGAGATGAAGCTGGTGCACCGTCGTGGACAAGTTTCCTGAGGTCTTGCCCGAAACAGCAACCAAGATCGAGCAACCTGCCGCCTGCTTTCAGCAAATTGACAACATGGGAGTACGATGGTAACCGGGATAGGCTGAGGTCGATGAATCGGAACTGGCCCTATGCATTGTTCAGTATCCGCACGTCCAAGTGGTCATTGCGACTTACGATACATGGCAGTGAATGGATGTCCCAAGCTCTATCTCGCTGGAGCATCGTTAGCATTGCTTTTCTTGTGAGCTTTTGAAATCTTACGATAGCTACTATATGGGGAGCGATGACTTCGGGCTTGTGGTAGCTGTAATTCGCGAGGAGATCTTCCTGGTCTTTAGTGAGACCTGGGAATGTAGGATTGTACCAAGGAACATCTTTGTCTCCACTTCCCATCAGCAGACGTGGATCCACAACCCCAAGATATGGAGCATCCCCAAATTGAGAAGAAGGAGAAGACGTCATGATTGCTCGAGTGAGATTTGGTTTAGGTTGAACTTTGAACAGATACTGAACGACTAGTACTGCTGAAGCAGAAACCTTTCCATTTAAACAGGTCGATGGCAGCTCTTAGGGTACACACTGTTGATGAGTAGCACTGCTGCCGAGGTAGAGTGAATTGTGGTATATTGGAGACATTTTGAGTTGCCTGCTTCACTTTTCATTTGCAAACACGAACATTTCTTGGATATCCCACTGCTAATACCGTCAGATCAAGGTCACCACTGGGTTTCCTTAAGAGTAGCTGCACAGCTTCGTCTCAATACGTGAACCGAGGTGGCATATTCTCCGAGAAGAATGCTTGCATACAGCGAATATGAATAATGAAGGATCTCTTTTTCGAGGAATTTATCTGAAGTGTTCAGAAAAAACAGTGCTTGCTCTACATTAGACTTCCTGTTACGGACTTAGTATGGCTCAACTCAGCAGTCACGGGACTATGCTCGCCGCTGTCGCAAGTTGTAGGGTCTGACATTCTCCCAGTCTCTTTCCGGTTTGGTCATCTGATGTTAGAAGATTCTCATCGTGGGAGCGCGAATAGTCAGACTGGAGCCCCAGCCGAATACAACCCTCTCAGTGGTTACGTTGGCGATACCTTCTTTAGTTGGAAAGCTGGAGAAAGAGACGGATACGTGAATAGCGTACCCCTGGTAACCTATTTGTGGGATCAAAGTCGACTGAGTCCCTTACAGGTGCACTGTGGATAAATTTTTTCCATGAAGCAACTTTGCAAAACTTGTAGGTAATACCTCTATGCAGGCTGGTGGATTGTACAGAATTCGGGAGGTAGTTCGTATGTTCCCATTGCTAGGAACTTGGTTGGCGCCGTTCACGATCTGAATACCTGCCATTCTCAGGCCCTACCGAGTTGCAACATCGCAAGTGAGGCGACAAGGGGCGACTTAAGATGAAACCTAAGTCATGCACAGAAATAGAAAAGGATAGCAAATGCCTCACCGGTCTGGTCTGATCGAGGCGATCGGGATTGAGTCATCTTGGCAGGTTATCTCCCAAGTGAATATTACCCCGTCCTTGACCTCTATCAAACCTCGCAGAAAACCGAACAGCGAGTCAGAAAGCAACAACCTAGTTATTCCTGTGTCTCTCACGAACAATGCCAAAGGCTGAATGTGGCACCATTATTGATGTCTTCCTATTCTCACCGCATGGCCACATGTTCTAAAGCTCATGTGAAGGCGATGCATAATTGCGTCATATCAGGCATTCGGCGAGATGTGCGGCTATTCTAAAGCACTTGCGGTAAGACCCATAAATTGAACGGTTGTGGCGTTCTGACTATTCCAATTAAGGTACAGCTTAGGAAGCCAAGGCTTTCAATTGTTTGTCTACCTACCTTAAGGTCGGTAGGTAGGTACCAACGCTGGCACGGCGGAGGGCTCTTGATGGTTGGGAGAGACTTAACAGACGTCCAGCACTCACTCACTCGGTGCTGAAGTATCCTACCGTCAAGGGAAGGTGCGAGGCCCCCTGTCAATCAGATGTCAAAAGGAGATATCTTCAAGCCGCAAGCTGAAACCCAGCTTCGACGTGGATGCTTGTCTAACGACATAGGCACGATTCCGATATTCCGGCGCAGATATCCGCCCAGACGCCAGACAGGTGGTCATGCCTAGCTAAGCTAGCTATCTTACAGCATCGACTGACCTCCGTAACTTAATATTGAGAACGTATAATTTCATTAAATTAGTCCCGGTGAAGCCCTAAATACATTAGGCATTAGCTGGACAACCCCGTTTGAGACGCCAAGGGCCAAGAACAAATAAGTCGGGAAACCGGAGTGCGTTTTAAGAAAAGTCTGGCAAACTGGCTAGACTGGTAGACTGACTACAAGGAGGCTTCTTAGGCAGAAGCCGACAGGAAGCTTTGTTGCACCGAAGGTATGTGGGAATGCTCATTGACGACCCTCCTTATCCGAGACGACTTCAAAATCAGCTAGTAATGTTGCACGGTGTTGGGTCCAGTGTGACAGATACCAGAGACTTCATGTTACTGACGCATGCACTTCGGATTCAGTAGTGATGAGCAAGGGTTAGTAGTCGCGGGAAGGTGCGTTTGCAACTCACGGTGACGGAGACGTGACGATATTTAGCCTCATTGACTAACCTCATGTTTGGCGCGACATCAGTTCGGATACCCGTGTCTGTAGTTTACTTACAGTACCTAAGTGTCTCCTGCGAAGCACTCGTACCGATTGAGTACGTATAAACTGCAAGGCCACGGAGACTTACGACGTGCATTAACGAGTGAGAGAACGGGATGTTGTTGGATTTTGAACGCTGCCGATGGTAGGTAGACAGAGCAGCCACTTAAATATTCCAACGTGCAACTGAGCAGCGTGATGCATGCCGTATGTTACGTGCGCTGCGTCTACGTCATCGATGGGGGAAATAAGGGTCTGTAAGAGAAATAGACATATACACAAGATTGGTTTCAGAGCACTGTAGCAGCGACGAAAGCCGTCAAGGCCGACGTCAAAAATTCGAAAAATTCCAGAACGAATGAGGTGCTGACAAGGGCAAGCTCTAATCCTTATCGATACCAGGTACCTATCGATACCTTACATTAATCTAGGACTGTCGGGTCGCAGCAAGCGAAGTAAACAGTGGGGCCGAGAAAAAAAGCCGGGCATATCTCGACGTCAATCCTTTTTTTTTTTTCATGACTCTCGTTTTTATTCGCTCCGCGCTCCCAACACTCGATGGCACTGGTCAGTCCGATCCGACGCTATGGAAAAACACTGCATCTTAGTGAAAGCCAATGACTCTCAAGGGACTCGATTTGTCGTTCCAATGTTGGGATCAATGCGTTGGATATTTCTAAACGCTGGTAAAGTGCGGCAGGCCATGAGAAAGCTCAAAAGTCCTTTCGCCATGACCAAGCGCCTCCACAAACCCCCGGCGTCCTGCAAACGCGCGTCATCCCTTAGATAGAATAGTTCCCTTAGGTTCCTATCAGCAATTATCCTGGGGAGATATACCCACTCCCTCCACTCGGTTGCAGTACGAGACCACATGTGACGCCCGATTCTGTGCCCGATTGCACTTGGGCAGGGCCTTTTCTCATGCGGGACGATCATCGGGGCGGAAAGCTGAGAAGGTCTCTCTCATTCTGATACCACTAAGACGGCCTGCACAACCGTATCCTACAAGAGATCTTCATCACCGACCGCTACTTATCGCAAGAATGCCTGTTGTTAGAGCCCTGTCCAGGAACCGGACTTCTCTGTGGAAGCACGTTCAGAGGGCTGGCTGAGGTAACTAGCCCCACTCCCTCATAGCAAGGCACTACCCATTATAGACTAAGACAAACGGCCGTTTGCACTCTTGCCATCATTTTTTAAGACCGCTCTATATATGATCCGTCTCCGCCCAGAACATCTTTTCTGTTTCATCTTCCTTCCTCTACCTCTAGTCTTACCATACATCAGGTCTTCCTTTGTGACGAATAACTCATCTACACTTTGTTACTTCTGGAAGCCCCACTGCTACTCCACCACTCTCCAGAACCTCCGCGTCTCTAACCCATAGCCAAGTCAATTCAAGAAGTGGGTTATACCGAGTATATATCCATCATGGCGCCGTCAGCTACTCCCGCACTTTTGAGTCCGCCCAAAAGCAGGCCAGGACTTCGACGACTTTCCTCTATGACAGTCACCGAACGAGAGATCAAAGAGGGTAGCGGACCTGTTGTCGTCGTACCCGATAGGATGATGAAGCAAAGATCCATGTCTCACAGCGGCGGCTTTGCTGCGTCATTAGAGACGGCTCGAAATGAGCTTTCTACCATAAACTTGGAGGAGGAGGCCTTAGCTTCTCCGACCTCTAGCACACCAGACACACCAGGCTCACCTGTAACTCCAGCAGACATTCCTACGGCCGACTCGTTTGCGTTCGCATTCGACATCGACGGTGTATTGATTCGAGGTGGTCGCCCAATTCCGGAAGCCATTGAAGCTATGAAGATGCTAAATGGCGAGAATGATTATGGTATCAAGGTGCCGTACATCTTTCTGACAGTAAGTCGCTACTTAAACGTCATTAACTTGATGAGTCAAATAGGTCCAGAACCTGTCTCACCTATCGTCCTGTCCCGTTTATTCTTTTTGTCTGTTGATACTGATTGATCTCCTAGAATGGTGGCGGAAAGACTGAAGCAGAACGCTGCATCGATCTGTCGCGACAACTCGACATCGAAGTTTCTCCTGCTCAATTCATTTGTGGTAAGTTCTGGGATCTAATTGCATGAAACAATACTCACATTCTCACAGGACATACTCCTATGAGAGAGATGGTCGCCAAGTACAATACTGTTCTTGTAATCGGTGGAGAGGGAGAGAAGTGTCGACAAGTCGCTGAGGGCTACGGTTTCCGTGATGTCGTCACTCCCGGGGACATTATCAGAGACAACGCAGCCACCACGCCATTTCGCAAATTGACTCCTGAAGAGCACAAAAACTCCAGACCACGAAACCACGGTGAGACGAAAATAGAAGCCATCTTGTAAGTAATCGTTGTTGTCTTATTCGACGATCATCTAACATCTGCAGTGTTTTTGCCGACAGCCGAGAATGGGCAGGCGATATTCAGATCATGCTCGATCTTGCCATGTCCAAAGGTGGATACATTGGCACTCTCTCGGAAACGTTTGACGAAGGACCGCCAATCTACTTCTCCCACAACGATATTGTTTGGTCCGCGGCTCACGACAATGTTCGCCTTGGCATGGGTGCCCTCCGAAAGATGGTCGAAATGCTATTCAAGGACCTGACGAAGGGCAAAGAGCTTGAGACCATTGCCTTTGGAAAGCCACAGATTGGCACATTTGAGTTTGCCACCCGCTTGTTGCAGCAATGGCGAAAGGATGAGCACCGTATCAACAGACCACCCGAGACAGTCTACTTTGTCGGCGACACTCCTGAGAGCGATATCCGAGGAACAAACATGTTTAATAAAAATGCCAAGAATGACTGGTATTCCATCCTTGTCAAGACTGGCGTCTATCAAGATGGCACCGAGCCCGCCTATAAGCCAAGGGCAACTGTTGAGAACGTCTTGGATGCTGTCAAGCATGGAATTGAGCGTGAAATGGCCAAGAAAGGAAAGCCCCTGGGGGGTACACTACCCTTGAGCCCCATGGCCTTCAAGAATTTGTCGCTTAATGGCGAGAAATTTGGCAACAAGACACCAATCATGGAGGTTACTGAGCCAAATACACCAAAAACACACACACCAGAGGCAGTTACCCCGGCTGCAACATGAATGAATGCATAGCAAAATGGAGTTGGATTGATTGATTCACTGGGAACGGTTTGGATTACTGGCGTTGACTATTATACCCTGAAACATACAAGAGATATGTGTTTCGGGACATTGCAAGCCTAGACGATAGATCTTAGGTCATACACCATATCGCAGCACTCCTTGACACGCGTTGCAGCAATACATATTTATTTTGCCACATACAATTCGTTCGATAGCTTTGTGACTGCTCATATTGATTTGTGATTCCAAGATTCACAAGTTTCCAACCTTCTTTATGTCAGCAATATCACGTATCCATCAAGAAGGTCCCAATAGTCTCGTTCATCCACTTATAATCCTCCTCATTTACTCCGCCCCCAGCAATGTGTCCCCAAATCGTCGGAATTGGTGCAAAAATGCCTTGTTTCAGATACTTCACCTCATTCTCCCCATCCTCCGGAGGAAAATACTGGTCGGTCTGACTCGGCATAACCAAGACCCTTACATGTATACCCTCTAGAGCTTTCTTATAATCGCCACTGCCTCCAACCATGGCAATATCGCCCGCTTGCCACATACGTGCCAAGACGAGCATATCTTCCGCATCCCAGCTCTCGTACGCAGCTTCTCCTATGGGAGGGTGGAGATATGCCTGGAGGGACGGATATCCCGATTTCCTCCACAGCTCTTGTCTGAACCATTCTGCACTGGTCAGCCATGCTGCGTAGGCTCTCCCGAAAGCTCGCAACCCTTGTGTTGGTTTGATGTTGTTCTTCTTATAGTTACCGTTGTCATAGTCGTAAGAGGTGGTCAAGGCTGCGATTGGGCCTTCAAGGAAAGCGTAGTCTGGTAGGACTGTAAGCGAAAACGCCGACAGTAATTTTGGGAAAGCTGGTAAGTGCTGGCTGTTAGAGCTTGCCTGACAAAGACCGTACTTACTATGACCAGATGTTTTGGCGCTTCCACATATAACAACCACATTTTTCACAAACGGATTATCCACAGATCCATGCATCACTGCCCAGTGGTAGGCTTGTTGTCCACCCATACTAAAGCCTATCACAACATCTAGATGCTTTATCCCAAGGTGCTCAGTAAGCAGCTTGTACTGTGCATTAACACAATCCGAATATCTCAGCGAATAATCCTTTGGAAAGTCCTCGTCATTAGAAGGACTGGAGGACTCGCCATTCCCTAATGTTGCAACAACTATTACATGGTAGTCTTTCAAGGCCCCGGTCGTGAAATTTTGGGTGGTGTTTATACGTCCGCCATAACACTTCAACAGTGTCAGCGCCGGTCGTAGGAGTCAAAATCGATCAATCAGGCTCTCGGGACATATAAGACACAAATGCCAAGAAGAGACGCCGATTCGAGAACTCGGATTTTGGAGAGAAAAGGCGAGGAGATTTACATACTGTTGGTATGAGAGCTGTTTTGGTAGCAGTGGGATTGAAAGATCTATAGGCGACTTTGATGTCTTTCGTCACCCCGCTGATGAACTCGAATGATGGGATTGAAAATGCCTGGACTCCTGTTGGATCATACGGAGGCTTTGGAGGCATGGTGAGGTCTGATTAATACAGGTCGGGAATCAAAGAGGTGGAGTGGAGTGGTTTGGGGCGACGGGAGCTCCAGACTCTAGGTACCTACGAGCCTACCTAGGTAAACCTCAAACCTCAAACCTCAAACCTCAAACCTCAAACCTCACCTGGGCAAGCTCGATTCGTCCCGTCTCGCCTTGTCTCTTTGCCTAAGGTAAATTTACCCCACCGAGCGCACGTGGAGCTTGACGGGGCTTATCTAATCTTATCGATAAGAAGCGTGGCTTGATCCACTAATAGTAATTTACTTGTAGTAGCCACGAGCAGGAACAAGAAGGCATCGGCATCGGCATCGGCATCGGCATCGGCATCGGCATAAAAGTTCACCGAAAGTTCGTTTCGACCCGACCTGACCTTCATCTCATCACCACCTCAGTCTCATACCACTCCACTCCACTTTGCTCGTAAGCCTGTCGTGTCCCTTCTGGTGCTTGTCTTGAACAAATGGAAATGAGCTTGACACTGCCTAGGGGGACCACAGCAATACTCTTCTCGGCCGTGGATTCTGGGCCATCTCTTGCCATAGCCATTGCCATTGCCATTTGCATGGGTTCATAGTCCGTCGTCCTCAGAAGGCTGAAACCCGCCGAGAAGGAGTCCTTTGATTGGCCCCCTCGTGAAGGATTTCCACTCCATTTGATCTGATTCCCTGTAAATTTACCTCAGCGATCGAGGGTATTGAAGCCGTGAAGAAGAGGATCAGAGTCACGGTAATAAAACGAGGCTACGAGTATTCATAAACTTGAATTGTGATTTACCTATTAGTAAGGAAAACCGAGGGAAGAACAGGATTCGCGTCACGGCCGAGTGAATAATCACCGACCCTGTAATTTACCTAGGTATTGCTCTGCGGAGTGAGTATAATATGAGATCACTCAACCATTGCCATTTTCTTTTGCATCTTCAATTTTCACGATCGATAATCTTTCGAAACACCCGACTGGTCAGTACCACCAGTACTCCGTTCGTATTGTAGAGTACCTATACCTATACCTATACTGACTGCCCAACCCTCCAGCTATCCACTTGTCTGGTCGCCACTAACCATAACACCACTCAGTGGAGTTTCCTCGCGATATATTGCCCCGAACCATGCCGTCGCGGCCACGATTCCAACTTGGTGCCGCTGGCTATCGAGTCGCAACATCCAGCAGTTAGATTCTTATATATTCCGTCAAATCTTCGAATCTCTCAGTTCACCCCCTACAGCCCCAACCTTTCCAACATCATCCACGGTAGTACAGCATGGCAACCCCTCCACCAGCAGGAGTATACGTCCCGGTTCCAACCTTCTTTGTGTCCAAGAAAGCCGCGAACTACAACGCAACTGCTGCACCTTTGGATCTCGAAACACAAGCTGCACATTCCCTACATCTCGCAAAGTCGGGGATCACAGGCCTCGTGGTACTAGGTAGCACAGGTGAAGCCGTCCATCTTACAAACAAGGAGCGTTTCGAGGTGCTCTCTTCGGTTCGGAATGCATACGACAATGCGGGGTATAAAAACTACCCCATTATTGCCGGAACGGCAGCCCAAAATATTGAAGAGGTCGTTGATCAACTGAAGAGTGCAAAAGAAGCTGGCTGCCAGTGGGGATTGTGCCTTGTGCCGGGCTACTTTGCTGGGGCGAGCACTCAAGATGGAATTATCCAGTGGTTTACAGCTGTTGCCGACCAGAGTCCTATTCCAGTTATGATGTATGAATAACCCCCCATTTGCCAAATCCACGCTGACAAGTCCTATAGCTATCACTACCCAGGAGTGTCCAACAATGTCAGAGTTGTCCCTTCTACCTACGCCACACTCTCGCAGCACCCAAATATCGTCGGATGCAAGCTATCTCACGGTGACGTTTCATACCACGCCCAAATCGGAGCAAGTCCCAAGATCGACCACGAAAAATTCCACACATTTACTGGCCTAGGTCAGCAACTTCTACCGGTCATTGCATTGGGTTGTGCGGGTACTATTGATGGAGCTGCTGGTTTCTTCCCCAAATCGGTCGTCCATCTGTACGAGCTTTCGGTGAAGAACCAACCCACAGATGAAGAGGTTAAGGAGAGGAGACTTCTGCAGTATAAGGTTAGCTGTGTTGAAGAGCTCGTGGTAAAATTCGGTACAGTTGGCATCAAGGAAGCTGTCAGCAGGATACTTGGGATGGGCGATCGGGATGGGACAAGACTCCCTCTCGCAGGAGGGATTCGAGGAGGTGATAAAGAATGGGAGAGCTGGAAAGAGGTTATTGGAGATCTACATGCGGTCGAGAAGAGCTTGTAGTATGGCCTGAGAACTGCACGTGCAATGCACAAGTTCTCTGCAGCGAGGCTGAAAGCTTGCAACCTTCACTCTGTGTCACTTCTTAGTCCCTTCTCGGCAGTTTCCTCTCAATTGCTTCATTTCTTCGTTTGTGTCTCACTGTGTCAGATTAGACGTATGACCTACCGTTTACGACGACTGGGCTAGACAGGTGGGCCATTTGCTGGATTCGCCTTAGTTCCCCTGCTTCGTTTTTCATCTCTCAACTGTCAGATGCTACTTGGGCGTTGTTATCGGGCCAGCGAAAGTAGTGATTGCTGGCGTTGATAAATAACATTGCCAGCCAGTGCTCCGTCATTCAGTCATTTTGTTCGTTGGATAGCACAGCTGCACAGCACATTCTTGGTATCAAGTATTAAGACGACCAAGCGATAAATTTTGGACTATTTTGTTCCTCCAATTCGTCTCTCTGTGTCTCTTTTCCCAGCTATGAGGAGGACATCTCCGACGCCAACACCCGCTTGGTCCTGCTCAAGGACCCTGACGGCGCATTTGACTTCATCTCACCACCAACCACTCCTGCTGTCGAAGTCAAGGGCAAGGTGGATTCTCTGTCAGTGCCCAAGGACTCGGCATTCCGGCTCTTGTTGTAAATGGCCTGTCGTTGTGAGTCGCTTTCACGAAGCCATTTACGTTGCCAGCCTCACAGGGCTATACGAACAGAGTGACTTAGATTGATTCTACTAGTCGCTCCAATACTGCGCATACGCATTTCTCTGTCACGAAGCTTGGCTTGGTGGTGAAGGGACGAACAACCACGAAATTCGTTCTTGGCACACTTTCACCACCAACGCCATCCTCACCCCTGGCTCTCTAGGTTAAAATTGCCTAGAGGTCCGTAGAATCCACCACTAGAAGGGTTAATGTGGATGGTTCATGGCTCAGTTCCAAAAGCAGTTCATACCTCCAACTTCGACTTTCAATTGAGATCCCTTAGCCGTGGTCCGTAGCTCTACGTCATTTTCATGTTGAGAATTATGATTGTGAGATATTCGCGGGTGAAAAGTCTTCTTCTCGTCCAGTCGGCCCGGGAAAGTAATCGAGCTGACTGTTCGAGATGGCCGTGAGCAACGTGGTTTTTTGATTGTGATGTGAAGCCTAGAAAGGATGGCATCTTTCAGTGACCGTATTTTGATCTCGCAGCTTGGTTCGTTGTTTGTATCAGAGGCGGCCAACACTCGCTTGTGGCGGCTGAGTTGTTGTGATTCGTACTGTAGCGGCATGGTTTGAAAGCCTTCTGACACTCACAGATATGTTCTGTCGATACATATACCACTCAAATATCTTGTAGGGGAGTGCCGAAGTACTGGTCGTAGCAAGCCAACGTGCTTTCTATTGCTTTCTGTTATGCGGAGTCATTACTGGACACATGGCGAGTATGATCTCTAGGGTAAAGGTCTATGCTCAGTTTGTTAAGCGTAGCGTAAGTCATTGGAAGCGTCGCGACCACAATGGACATCATGGAGGTGTTCACCAATTAGCACGTCGTGCTAGTCAATTCTGCTATTTGGTAAGCAAGGACGCAGCCACATGGTAGGGAAGAATGGATCTGGTCAGGCGAATTTCCGGCGAACCCTGTAGTATTTTGGTCGCCCAGCTGTTAGTCGTAGTCGTAGTCAAAGCCGGGCTGGCAGACTGTACCTGTTCCGGGTCCTATGTCGTCCCGAGACTGCAATTGTAGCTGCAGCAATCAGGAAATGGGAAGTACTGTCGCTAGAAATGGAGAAGTATAAGTCAAGATTTTTCTCTCGCTAGTTTCTGTCTGCTGGTGACAATAGTCTTGATCGGAGAGTAGGATGCCTTTACTTCTCTTTACTCGGTCGCTCTTCTGTTGTACTTAGGTTCCTATAATTATTTTACCATCGGTTCACACAACGCTTTATCTGACGGATGGGCATTCATTTAGTCAACCTAAGGTCCCAAAAGCTCTGCATGTCTGCCGTTCTCAAAATGTCTGTCTTTACCATCCCAAGATGTCCAAAATACCCTGCCGAATGCTAATTATCACGTCAATATCGGTTGTTCCCGATGGGGGCGGTTTGGAACGACTGAGTGGTTTCTCTCAAACTTATTCTCTTGGATGTAGAACAAACACAACCATAGATACGAGGATGAGTACAAGCAAATCGCTCTGACTTTCTGGGAAATGGCTTCCCCTCCGTAGTTGCTTCTCGTTGGCTAGGACTGCTGTTTCCTTTGCCGACACTTTTTTTAAACCTCTTGCACGGACGAAGCCTTCCGGGATAAAAGTTCATACTCTTTGACCACATACTGTTATAGTTCCCTCATCTTTTGACAGGTCACCAGAAGAAATAGTTGTGTACAAGGGGTGGGGTATTGTAAGCCGTGGCAATTTTTGATATTCCTCGCTGAGTCCACAGTGCATAATTACGAAGGATGCATGCTCGTGTGAAGATTGGTGGTGTACTTTGATTGAAGAGCGAGCTTGTTAGATGAGAGTTGTAAGCATACATACTTCAACCTGACATGTTTACCTGATTTCGATCTATCAGTGGCCGAGCGAGTTGCAAAAAACCTTCAATAAACGTATACGGCGCGGGGTCATCTCGCAAAGTCCCACTCTCCTGGCCCACCTCAAGTGCTGCAATGACTAGTCAGCCATACACGATTATATGTTAGATTCCGGGAACGCTTTTACCATTGTATCGCGGTCTGATGGGATCTCCATTACCTGGTTGACTCGAATCAACATATGGCTGGAGCCAGTTCCACATACTGAAACATGATGTTAGCAACTGGTAGAAAAGATAACCCGAAGAAGCGTACCCTTTTCCTCCAGCAATAGGTAGCTTGATAGGAAATGCTTCTTCTGTGGCCATTGGGTCAAACGCTTCCTGCATTGTGAGCCACGAGTCTGCTCTGAGAGGTCTCGATGTATCATAAAATTTTGGGACATCTTTCGTGACGAGAAGTGGACCGAGGACGAAAAAGGTAGCTGCAATTGATTGTCAATGATGCTACATCTGGGTTCTAGCATGTCGGACTTACTCATATTTTTCATCGCAGCCTCTAAAGACCAGCCAGGGAGTTTGATAGTCTTGATTGGCAACACGGCACTGTAGAGGTGCAGTGAAGTGTATGGATCTATCAATAAGGTTTTCACCATAAGTCTCTCTGCCTTTGCTTTGAGAAGACCTTTCTTCTCGTCCACGGAGGTGGGATCAATGAAGTATGGGGTAAGTGTTGGGAAAGTTGATGGTTCAATCATCACCCGAGGATCCGTAGCTGAGGATTCTGCTCTTGGTTCGGTAATAGAGGAGGGGAATGGATAGGTAAACACCTTGGTAAAGTCTGTTCTCCCAGCACTCTTAACGCTGTTGTCCAATGGATTGTCCCAGTAGCATATCACACCATCAAATGGGCGTTCCATCTGCAGAAACGTTAACAAGTCGATTTCTTGTTTTGCTATCGGAACATACGTCTCCAATCTTGACGGGAAACTTATATGAATCCATCATTCTCTGCTCATATCCAGTATCGGGAATTTGTCCCAGAGTATGCTGAGCTGTTTTCACGGGCTCAGCAAGTTCAAGTGACCAACCTGCGTTGACTAGAGCTAGAGGCTTCCCCACAATGGCATTCGCATAGGCGGAGTACTGTGACGGAGGAAAGGGCATGTTTCCGATTGCACCATTGATCATGCCCCAGATCGCTCGAAGATATTCTTGTGCCTTCGCAATGTCGTCTCCCTGCATCTGGTTTATCAAATCTACCAGCTGCTGCGAGACAAGTTTATCTGGCTCAGCTGGCTGTGCGAAAGGTGCCCATTGAAGGCCAGTCACCGTACCGGTAGGGCCACCAAAACGAAGCGAGGTATAGAAAATACCGTCTCCCGTAAAGAATTGTAAGGAGGAGTCCGGGTAGTTTACGACAATCCCTGAGTGGTGTAAGCGATAACCAGATGAGGAAACAGTCACACCTACAGCCGAAGATTGGATTGTCCCAATCGTTGCACACTCGCCAGGGTGGCGCCATCGCCTTGCCTGTTCGATCAAAATCTTTGATTAGGAAGCTGGCATTGATCCTAGCACTCTGGTTTATTGCTGGTGTGATTTGAACGAACGGGCTAAGAACCATATTAGAAGCTGTTCGAGCATCCGTGGTCTTGAATACCCTAGACAGCAAAGAAGAGCTCTAATTAGCGACCATTTGTAAAGCCATGAGTATGGCTGTGGAGCTAGGACTGAAAGCACCAGAGAAAAGCTGCAGCGAACTCCCATACAGCACGGGAGTATGAAGTACTCTTGACTGACTCACGTATTCAATGTCCCATCCTCAAGGACAGTTGCGCAGAGTTGATCAGCGACGCAGGGGTTGATGGGGAAGTCGGGAATATTAGGTTTGATCTTCTGAGCCTTGCGTGGGAGGGGACAACTGATAGCTTGACCAAATTTATCCACAATGGTCAGCTTCGTGATAGCTAGCTGTCCATGTTGAACGCCTTTGAAAGGCTGGAATTTACTGCCTTCAAAGTTGTGCATTGTGCCAAATGGGGTCTTCGAGGTCTGGCTATCCATCATACTGACCATCTCCTCCATGAGTTTGGGTCGATTCGCTGGAAGGCCAATTTTCGGCCCTTCACGAAATTAGCAATGGAGATGTCAATGGAATACATTCTTAGCTTACTTAAGTCGATGGCCTCTTGTAGGGCTACCACACCCTTCCCCTGCTCTCGGACATTGGGTTTGACATGAGAGCCTGTGCCCAAAGTCAATAAAGAGTCTGTAAATCCAGTCAAGTCGCCGCTGATGAATTTCAGCTGCTCGATCTTCCGAATAAATGCCTGAAATCTCGCCTGATCTAGTCTCCCACTAAGAACCTTTTCGCCTTCTTGGTCCAAGACAGGTTTCCCGTCCTTGCCAAGAACCTCCTCTTGTAGGGTCGTCGGAACATCGACGCCGGCAATATCCAGGACCTGTTTGACGACAGCGGCAAGGGCAAATGATGGCTGAGGGAGAACCAAAATTCGACCAGACACGGCTCTTGTATCCTGGTCGCTGAGGTTGAAAGGTTGGTGTAAAGGTTTCGGATTGATATATCGGACCTGGCTTTGGTTATTTGGACTCATGGGTGAACTGCTGAGCCCTACGGCCCATTGAGAGGCATCAACATTGTAGAACATTGCCTCCCACTCGATGAAAATAGGACAAAATGGCTGGCCTGACCAACTCTTATGACCTGTCTGAGATCTTTTCGTGCCGTCGCTTGCTTCACATAGTAGTTTAAAGATTGTTGGTACAATGTCTCCAGAGAGTACGGGTAAATTGAGATTGGAGAGGAGCGTGGTTATTTCCGGATTTGATGGAGGCTGGAAGGTATTGGTATCGAAACGAATCTGAACAGCATCTAGAAACTCAGCGGGCCAACCAGAGTCAATCCCGGCAACACAAATAGTGGGATCTGTCCTCATTTTGAAGGTGTCACAACCTATCTTCTTCACAGGAATTTGCGGTGTTCCAGAGTCAGGCACGATGTTCTTAATTGCAGATGTTAGTCGGGCCTTTGTGTCCAATAGCGACTTTAAGACGCTCTTTGGGATTTTCGGGTCGCTGGTCGTCTGCTCTCTGCCATAGAGGTCCAGCATTCTGTTAAGATATTGGCTTCTTCGGGCTTCAATCCCATTGTTCACATCGGTGCAGTACTTGAACCATTCTGCAAACAGAGCCCATCTACTGACTGCTAGTTTTCGCTCAGTGATGTCTAACTGTTGTTGAAGCTCGTTCAATCGGTTGAGGATGTCAAGCTCGGACAGCCCAGTGACCGGGTCTTCCTCTCTGGACGGAGACTGAGGCGGTCCGTTCTTTGCCTTCCTCTTGTCGTAATGCCATGCATACCCCCCGAGTGTTGTTTTGAAGCTTTGTCCAGATATCAAATCAGCAGCCTTGACACGCGAATCGTAGTCAGTCCCGGCCTCGTACAGCAATTCTGCCATTTCAAGAATCGTCGTTGCTGTTGCATTGATCCCTTCACCAAGCAATTGCTCTTGCGATGCATCGTCCCTATGGGCATGCAGGAACGTGATCACGGAGTCCAGGGGTGTAACACCAATCGAGACAGGTTCCATGGCAACATCCTTCGTAAAGTTTTCAGCGTACTTGTCAGCCGAAGTCTTTGGCCTCTGCTTTGAGTCGTAAAGGACATCAGATATCATGCCATGTGAGATGACTGCTGTTTTTTCTCGATTATTTTCGAGCTCTGCCGTAGCATCAACAGTGAGTTTACAAAAGAACTCTTCGAGTCTGGCCTTGAGATTGCCTCTATTTCCGTTCTTTCCCAATGGACCATCATCCATGGAGCTGTGCCAACCGACCACAACGTAATCACATAGCGCATGCTGAAGGTATTTGCCTTTCTCATACTCGAAGTTGTCTTTCATAGAGAAGACATTGGGGTTGTGGATGGTGTAATCCGCGAAAACCGGGTTAGATGAATTCATGATACTTAAAGAGACTCGTGGTACATCGGACTCCGTATACTTTGTTGTCAGCAAACTTGGGGATCTGTATCCGATATATTTTTCGGCCTGACTGTAAAGAAGATTTCCTTTCGGAGCTTTGTTATCATACTGATCAGGCTGTCAGTGCTGGTAAGATACGTGTACGAGCATTTGTCACTCACCATCACGAAAGGCGTAACTTCTGTCTCCAGATCAACATCGCCGGCAAGATCTTCGATCGTTTGCAAACGGTCTGACTCCACTACCCACGCATCTACCTTGGGAATTCTAGCATCTGCTGGGAGGAACTCCTTGAGAATTCGAACAACAAGCCATCTGTTTGGAACGAGACGAAATGTTGGATTTGGCGAGGTAGATGCTTCCGTACCATTATCTGGATTATGTCTCTCGGTCTCTGGAGCAGCACTCGCTCCAGTCCTGTAGCCCCGAGACAGGCTCCAGTGAAGATAGACACCAAGACGAGATTCAATGACTGAACCCTCTGGGTTGACTTCAAAGTTCGGAGCAGGATCTTGGATCACGACAGGTTTGGGCTCGCTAGAATATGCCTTTGAAATCCTAGGGTTCAATATAGCGGGCCGAGAAGCATGAAGATCAATAGGTGGGAGGACGTCATGCTGTCAAAGATCAGTTCTGATCAGCCGACGGTTTATGAGCTTTACCTTAATGACTGAACTATCAAGTCGTAGCCCGACATAATCTGGCTGCGTAATAGGAGCCACGAGCACTGTAGATCCTTGGGTATCGCAAGACGGCTTGTTTAGCACGAAGGCATCAAGATTGATCGGTATGCAGACATTGTCCAACATCTTTCCTGATAACCAAGAGACCAGCACATGCACGACAGCCAGAATATCTTTGGAAGCTATATCGGGGGTTCGAGGACGCTGGAGCTACCGTGGTTCTAGTCTCTTGACCACACACGGTACAGGTGCGACCTCTCCCAGTAAAGAGAGCTGCACAGCTCTGGACAATCAGTGTCATTCCAGCAGAAGCAACGGCGAGGTCGTCTGCTTTCGAGCGGTGCCAAGGGTTTCGTCTTCGGTGTTACAAGCAAGGAAGCAAGCAAGCAAGTGGCCATTGCAAAAGAGCAAGCTGACGATGGAGCTCTGCAAGGTGCCGTTGCAAGCACGTCCATTCGTGTTGGTCTGCCTGCAAGTGATCTGTCTGGAGGGCTGCATCGTGGAGAAATCTGGGGCTGGCTGAGCTCGTTGCATTGCATTGCATTGCATTCATAATTCATACGGAGGTAGGGTACAGACAGCCACAAAGCCTTACATGAGCTGAGCTGAGCTGATTTTGTTCTGGCTCGGAGCCGGAGCTGCAGCTCAACGACGAGACCAAGCTCAAGCTCAAGCTTCGAGAATCCGGCGTCGATGTCGATGTCGATGTCGATGTCGTGGAGCTGGAGCTGGAGCTGGAGCTGGAGCTGGAGCTGTTAACTCTGCTCCGGCAATTTACATCTGCGTCTGGGTGATATCGAGCCACAGTTTGGTCTGGGGCAGCAGGGGCAGGGGCAGGGGCAGGGGCAGGGGCAGGGCAATTTCCGTGGCAGTGGAAGTCTGGAAGGGGCACTGCGGGGCACTGCGGGGTGCGGGTGCGGGTGGGGTGGGGTGGACCGTGACCGTGGACATCAGCTCCCTTGTCAGTGGAAGTGTGCAGAATCTAGAGCACATAGGGAAAATTACCTACTCGTAGGTACACATATCTATCCCGCAGCTGGCATGCTAGAGCATCGCATCCAGTCGCAACGATAGATTTTTATATTTTGCTTTCGTTACAACATGCACGAGATTGATAGACTAACACCCTTCTTAGAGCAGCGAGCCAAATGCCAATCTACCTCACTGCATTTCAGCTCAGCCTTCCACTTGTACTTGTGGCTTGCAGTGAGACGAGATAAGATTCATCCAGATGAGTTACGGTTTACCTCAAAACTTTCCTTTGGCGATGCGATGCTCTGGATGCAAAGAGCGTTTTTTAGAGGAAACCCTGTGCCTCCAATTGGCATCTATTTGAGCGGTGAAACCAGCCAGCAAGCCACTGACTGCTCAGACACGTCGTCGCCCTGCTCTAGATCTTAGAGAGTCTGCAGCCCTTGGGGACTTAGTCTGAGACGTTCTGGCTCCATTTACCTACCTACCTTCTTGGTACCCGTCAACCACCGTCAACCAAATCCCTTCTTTTCAAAAACAACAACGTCAAACATGCGGCGAAGCGCAGCTGCGACGTCTCTCCTAATATTCGCCCTCTCAATCATCTCGACGACCTACGTTCTCCTTTCTCTGACATCCAAACGATGGTCTATCCAGAAGTACTACCTCAACAAAGAAGGAGACTTGGGATTTGGAGCAGGATGGGTGGATCCCATATGCAATGCTAGCAAATCTCCATTCTATCGTTGCGAACCACCAGTTCTCACCATCAAGAACAATATTGCTAGCTGCAACGTCCCGAATTGCCATTTCTATCGGCCGTATGGCAGGAATAAAACAAGTTGTAGGGTGGCTGTAGAGACAAAAGATGCGGAGCCGAACAGTGTGACAAACGCCGGCGAGCAAGAGTGTCAGGATGGTACGTGACCTCTCCACAAACTCTTTGTACACCTTCAACTAAGCAATGCAGTCCATTATACAGGAAACCTTCAAATCGCAGCATCAGTTTTCATTACTCTCAGCCTAATACTTCTTATCCCTCTCACTATCGCCAACTTCCTCCTCGGGGTCAAAGGTCCCAGATATGCAACACACACCCCAGCAGCTGCCACAATCTCGACCGAAGAAGCGGGCACTGAGCCAAAAGCCGCCACTCATACAATGGGACCACTAAATGGTCACAAAACCCCCATTAGGAAGAAACCGGCAACCTGGACTCCGTATTTGGTCTTTGTGCTCCTCGTATCTCTTTACATTGGTGCAATCCTCCAGATCCTGGCACAGTTTTTTGGAGTGATATCAATGACGATCATCGCAACCCCGACACAGGACCAAGCCATTCAGAGTAATGTTGACAACCTGGGAGCCACACCATGGATCATTGACAAGGCTTTGAGCGCGTATGCTACTGTTGCTTGGACAAGTGCGCTTGCTTGTGCCGGCTTGGTCAGCTTAGTGTATCGAACACCGAAGTTCACGAAACTTATATAGAGGAAGATCGTAGTTCTGAAAGAGCATTGACGTTGGATATGTTTGATTCAGAACGGACGCTGTGTATGTTTGTAGCTCATGCGTGATTAATGGCTTCGCATATGGACTGCTTTAATGATATGGTCATCTACTTCAACCTTGATAAATGTGCGACAAGTCATAGATATATTTCGAGTACAGTCAAACCTCCTGATTATAGAAATCCGTATCACCTTCCGCCTTCTTCAGAACCAAAAGCGGAACCGGAGCGCCTTTCTCACCGGGCCTTGCCTTCCTCGGCTCACCGTCTGTCACCCATGTGACTTTACTCCCATCTGCCATCACATATGTTTCTCGTAATACCAACTTCACAACTCCTCGAGGCTGTAATATGACCTTGTTCAGCCCGTTGCCTTTGTCATCAATCTGAGCGATGTTCTTCAGTTGCGGCTTAGCAATTCTTGCAATAGGTAGCTCCGCAAGCCTGATACTGGCATCGGTTGTCTTTTGGTCATTCCGAAGCTCGATAGTGGCGTCTGGTCTGCCAGACCTTGGAATCAGCTTGACACCGAGGATGGGCTTGCCAGCTGCATCTGTAGAGTTATACAACGTCGGAACAAAGCGCTGGTTCCTTACCATGCGAGCCCCTGGGCCGGTATACCCTCCCATCGGAATTAGGGGTTCGCGGGTGATGTTTTTGTTGTCGGGCAAGTCCTTGTCATCTGGGGAAATGGGCATCTCGATTCGAAGTTCTAGCAATCTGTAGCCAGGATTCTCTTGGGGACGTCTGCGTCTAATCGCGAAAATGACATCGTAAAGATACTTGGTGTCGGTTGGCACTGGTGAGATTGGCACGTTAGGCGGTTATCAATAGGGTTAAGCGAGCTGCTTACAAAAGTCGAGTGGCGCATAGCAGAACTGGCCATTGCCCGTTATCAACGGGGCTGGGGGGGGAGTGCGATAATCAACATGCACGAGTAACGTGAATTGAGGTTCTGGGATAGTTCCTGGCCCAGGCGTGCCAGTGGTTGTGAACGGAATAACCACAATAGAAGACAAATTTGGACGTGGCTGGCCTGGCAGTTTTGGTACACTGCTGCTTGGTGGTGAAGTTGGCGGCAGCTTGATGTCTTTCGGATCAGTACTTGTAGACCGTATCAAAGGCTCCGAAGGAAGATTTTGAGTGGAAAGGCGGCCCCTGGGCTCATGCGCAGGTGCAGCACGATTGAGCCCAGTCCAAAGCTGACGCCGAAAATTTGGGAAGGGAGACTCTCGAGTTGGTATTGGCTGCCTTATAATGAGTGAATCTAAAATTGTCAGCGGAGAGCGCCGTGATTGATGGTGTTTTAGCTCACAAGATGGATCGCTGAGTTCCAACCCGAGAACACATGCGTTGGCAACCTTATCCGTGTACATTCCCTTGTACTTTTGGGACCTCAAGAGAATCGAGTTCACAGAATCGGCAATAGTGATCGGCTTTATCAACCTGGTATTCTCATCGTAGTAATTCTTTTGGACTTCATCGAGAGGTTGTTCATTGGCGGCAGTCCCAGGACCTGGAAGTAAAGGCCACACTGCTTTCTCTCCAGTTCCTTCAGGAGCATTGTTGGTGTAAAGCATCCTAACCTGAAGTTCGGAAATGATCGGCTTCCCATCTTCAGCTTTCAATGAATAGCCCATCGCATAGCGTTGCTCTGTGTAATTACCAAGTCAGTGAGGGCGTCAGAACATAGGAAGGATACTCACGATGCGGTGGTTGGGCGATCTTAATCTGGTGTATCTCCTCAGGTAGGCAGTCCATCAGACACATAATTGTGAAATCATCCATCTTGGTTAATCTTACGACCGGGTTCCTTGGAGGTTGGTCAAGATCCTCGCCGAAACTTTTGGTGACAGGATCAAAGTTCCAACAGAGTACAGTGATCTTGAGATCTGGTATAGCTTTTACGACAGACGAACGGAAAATAAATCCAAACCTAGGTACCGGAGGTGAAACGTTTTTCAAATGCTGGATGTGACTGTCTAGATAGAAGTTGTAAACATCTTTAATTCGCAGGCGAGTGGAATCGTAGTCTGGTTCCAAATGGTTTGCGCAACTCAGGGCACCATCGATGAAACAATCGAGCCATGAATGATCAACAAAGAAAAAGCGAAGAGCCTCAGGTGGAAGATTTGGAGCAATTGGTTTTCCAGTTTCTGGCCTCGCACGAATATGAGAAGGTTCGGGGAAGAGATAATGCGCTAAATATGTTATTAGATCATCCAAGAGCATTTCAAGAGCTCTCACCTGGGATATGGGCCAAGTAGAGGCAATCACTGATCCATGAATGAATCAGCTCCCAGTCAGAATTTGCAGCCTCGTCCAAATTGAAGTCGTTGTAGAGAGAATTGCCACCGACCGTGCCAGCATATCGATCAATTGTGAGCTGAACGGCCTTTGCGAATATTGGAGCGACAGCAGGATCGGACAGTGGTGGAGCGACGGAATTGGTGGAGGGTGGACTGATACGTGAAACATCCCCAGAGAATGTTTCTGGCCTGTCTCGTGAGATTAGTATGCTTTCTCAATCCGCGGTTCTTGTCGTGCAGTGTCCAAATGCCTGGACTTTTTGAAAGTATTTAAATCGTGAAAAGTAGAGGTGCTCACCTGAAGCCACGGACAGTGCTTACCATCGCTGTTGATCTTTCCATCACCTCTCTCGGCTTTGGGATATTATTGGTCAGTAGGCGTGTGTTTGATGCAGCTTTTGTCCAAACCATAGATCGGAATCGAAGGAGGGCGGCATTGAAGGGCGAGTCTGAGATAGCAGTAACCTTACCCAGTGACCATGCTGATGAATAGGTCAAATCCATGATGCCGATGTCTCGATCGAAAACTTGGTAATCCTTCCCCGTCATGGAAATTTTGGGCCAGTTGTGTGTAACAGCGGCAGGCACAGTTGGGGTGGAGGCACCAACAAGAGGGCCTCTATTGAACGCCACAGTTTCTTCACCTGTGGCGGTTCTCCATCTCGAAAGAGTGTAAGACTTCTCAAGTCGGTCATGAAGAACTTTTGCTGCATGCTGCAACGCAGCCGTTGGATATTTCACGTCAAGCATAGCCTTTAGGGAGAGCGTTGGTGGCTTCAGCGGCTGCATGTCAGTGGCTATGGCTGCCATAGTGTCGACAAAGTCAACCGCTTGCGGGATACAGGTGTAGACCCAAGAATGCAGTGATATAAGTCCAATTCTTTTCTCGTCATCCTTGAGTTTTGGAAAGGGGGACTTTTCGTCCATGAGTGTTGAGTCGTAATGTTCTATAGAGATCAGGTGAACAACCTGGGCGCGAGGATTGTCACACCTGACTCTTCCAGTTCGTGAAGATATGACGACCGAAAAAAAGCCTTCTTCTTCGATACCAGCGTCAGGAAAGCCCATGGTATTCACCTGCCTCACATGAGACAATAACTGGGATCTTCATTAGCAAGTTCACCTGATCTCAACCCGGAGAATAGGGGCCAGGTAGGTACCTTCTGACCTTCGAATATTCGGTCTTCGTCCTGGCCATTCGGGATATTTGCAGTCACCCTGGACCCGAGGATTTTCTTTACCAATGACATCTTTGGGAATATTACAGATGTCATCTCGGCGGACACCTTCAGGTCATCAAAGTCTTGCTTTCCACTTCCTTCATACCCTGCTTCAAAATAGACCCTGTGCTTGGGAATTTTCGTGAAGTATTCCCCTACAGTCATTTGATAGGCGCCATTGGCTGGAAGTTTCTCTGGATCATAAGATGCTATCACTGTGACAGGCATAGGTGGGTCTATTGTTTCTGGAGTACGCGATCCAGCAAGAGATGTGGCTTCGGGGGAAGGAAGGACATGGAAACCAATGTCAATGGCATCAACTGGAGTCACCAAAAGTTCCTCCGGATCAAAGGTCACTAATGCCATCCAAGGAACGAGATTTCGCCCTTTGCCGTCAGAGCCCAAGTCAATCGGATCCGACAAGAATTTGTATGCCACACCAGCTTCACGGAGCCATGGCACATGACTACAGTAACGAAAGACAAAGATCAGCAAGCAAATCACTTGAATAGCTGATGTCCACCTCCAGCCACTTACGGATCATTGAAAACAATGTGGGGAAGGATTCGACCTTCATCATGATGCCCATCCGGGGGGTAAAAAGTATTAACGAGCTTTGGGTCAAGACTGAACTGCGGAGCTTGCACTTGGAATTTCTGTCTCAAGACTGGCTTGGGGTTGATTTTCAAATTCACTTCAGCTCCCTCGTAATTCCAGATAGGTAAGGAATCCGAGCCAACGGTGACTGCTTGCTGTGCTTCAATTCCGTACAGTCCAGCCTCTGAGATTCCAAGTTAGCTACATGCGGGAATCAGGAAACAGAAGATTACTTAGAGATGGCTTGTAGTAGCTAAAGAGACGCATGTGTCCAGGCGCAAGCTGGTCTTGAGGAGGTTCCTCGCCAATGGCCAGTTTGACAGCGGTCGCGACATTCTTCTTCACAAGGACCCGAGCCATGATCGAAGGCCGCCTGTACTCGAACACGGTGAAAATACGAAAGCGTAGAAAACATCCGAAACGACAATGATAGCATTTTGGTATCTTCACACACACAGCATCTGTGGAGCATTTCAACAGGAGATTTTCTTCGCCGTCTAGAGCAAGCCACAACTTGCTGCTCTAGGGCGCCTGCAGGAAGAAATCCCAAGCCAAGTTTTACGAACAAGTTGCTCAGCTCACTTAATAATTTATCAGAAGGATGTCGCACAAGAAGGCTACACGCACGCTCGAGAGAATAGGGCAGGCAGGCAGGGAGTCGGGACCTGTCGTTCCAATTGCAGCGGCTGGGCACGCTGTAGCCAAAGTAGGTAAGTTTACCTAGTTTACGATGTTTCCTCCAGTAAGGTTAGGTAAATTTACCAACCTGATGTACCTAGGTAAAATAACCTTTACATACTCAGCTCCTGCACCACAAGCCACCAACCTCCAACTCTTCCCTACCTACCTACATTACGTCCGCAAGTTGCTTCCACTCTCATGCAGTCATGCAGGCATGCAGGCATGCAGTGATATCGTGCAGTAAAGTTGCATTCAGCGCGGGCGGGTTGAATTAATGCTGCATCAGGTGCTCCAACCCGCATTTGGTTGATCGGGAGATGCAACCTCCCAGCCTGTGCCAGGACGCCTCATTCTTGAGCTTGGTGCGCATCCTATCTCACCATCAAACGATGGTTCCCCTGATCATCTGTGAAGCGGCGAGACACCGTGACGGTGTATTGCCAGCCACCGTTGCCCAAACGATGCAAGCTCTGGGGGTGCCATCGTCCAATCAGTGATTTGTTCCTCCAGCGAGGACTTTACTGCTTTGATTGTCCGCCTGAAGAGTGAGAGAACAAGGCGTGCCAAGCATCACGAAGGTGACAGAGAGACTTATATGCAGATCGTGCCCCAAGACTGCGGGTGTCTGGAGAGACTTGGAACCTCCCAAGATGGCCTCGAGTACCTTCCTCAAAGATGGCAAGCTTGCTTCAGATGGTGATTGGCCCGAGATATTGAGAAGAGCGAACCTGGAAGACCTCAACCCCCAATCGACAGGCAGCCCCGATGATGTAACAGTGACTGGTGAGCAGGTCTGGGAGCTTGAATTTTCATCAAAGGCGAATGCTACATACTTCAAAACTCCACTTGTAGCCGAGAAAGGTTCGGCATGGGTAGGAGACGAATTCGATTGTTCGTACTCTTTCAGTACATACGTTGGCTTCGAATATCGCTAATAGTCGAACAGCTGGGGTGATGCTACTCGCCTCAAATCAGGTTGAGAAATTTCACTCTGGTGGGCTCGGTGGGGTTGGAGATTCCAAAGATTCCCACCCAATCTCGTTGTTAGACGACGATGTGTTCTCTCGCCCAATTCCATTGCGAGGGGATATCGAGAATGGCGATGCTAGCATTTGGAAGACCTTCGAGATCTCAGATTCAAACAAGCAGCTCAATAGCTTCATAGCAGTTCTGGACCCCGTCAGGAACACCACCGTCAAGCTTCTCAAACCGGCAGAACCAGATTCCTCTCGAAGTCCCAGTGCTCTTTGGTGTATGACCACCCCCGAGGGCTGTAGGTAAAATCCATTATTTCTGCTTTTTGATGTCGTTCAAAGGTCTAGATGCATGGCTGATTCCCCTTTCCAAATATCTATGACTGACCCAACCGTTACTCCAGACGCTACCATTGTGAAATTGACCTTTGGGCTCACCATCTCGGACATTCCAATTCTCGCATGGGTCAACGAGAAGCTAGGCTTGAATATAGAGAGTCTGGATATCCCCGATATCTTCCTCTCTGCCACGAAAACAGTTCTTTACTCTCTGGAAGACCAAACTCCTTCAGACCCCATGTGGACGTGAGTATTCACTCCTACAGTTCTACAACTATTAACACTAGGCCCGAAACCAGATTTTCCGTTCAGGTGAGCATATTAGACTAAGTTTTGATCACCCTCGTAAGGATCATGCTCATTCAAAACAGTTCTCTATTCTGAACTTCGATGTTGCCATTGATTTCTCTGAGATCGACACCACATTCTATATCATGCCTACGAGGTCGATCAATAAGATAGTGACAGATCTGGGATCTGCTTTCGGGAACACAGACGGACTAGATGCCGACCAAGTGTGAGAACCTTCTTTTGTTCCTAGTATGCCGCTCAAGCCGCGAAATTATCCTGCACTGAAATGTCTTCGAGCTTGTCGTTTGTCATTATCTAACATATCGTAGTCCTTCAGACGATCCTAGTGATCCTTTTTCTCGGATCGCAAATCAGTTCAATCTTTGGTACGTCCATCTAGATAAGGATCTAGAGCTGGAGGAAGCAACAGAAGGGCCAGAGCCTGAGCTTGAGCCAGAAAAAGATGCAAGCGGAGTGGTAGATCATGGATTGATTGCAGCAAATGCAGTCAACGCAATGGAAGTGGCGACGTCATCTGAAGAGCCAAAAGGGAAAGGCTCTGCTCCTTTGCAAGTACGTAGACTTTACCAATATTCCATTCCGTACGATGCATCAATCAAGTCTGACTTTCGTGGAGTGGGGCATCAAGCTACTTATGAGCTGGAAAACAGGAGAAAATAATGATATCCCAGTTATCATCGGACTTGGCTACGAGTCGCGAATGAAGATATTTCACGGTGAGCTCATTCTCGCCAATAACCCGATTGTCCTGAATTCTCGCCTTCCCGACTATGATCACAGGTGAGTAGCCCAACTTGCTATCGTTGTGATTGTCACCAAAATTACGAAGTTCTTGATATCATTGCACATATTGACCCGACCTAAACTAGGCTCGCGCTACCCTACAAAATACTGGAATCCCAAGGTACCAAAATCGATACCTTTCATCCAATACCTGCATCAATCAGTCTGTGGGATCTCTTCTACAGTGATTGTGGACATCCTCCCAAGGAGCTTCATAGCATTCCCTTCAATATAAGCCTGGCCGAATTGTCCTACCAGGTTGGTTGATCCAGCTACGCACGAATCTCGTGTGATTCAGTGATGCAAGATCCAGCATTATCACGCGGAGCATCGCTGACATGTAGGGTAGACCATCCCTGGGGCCACGCCCGCAGACAAGACTTCATCAATAACTTTCGCCATGACTATCCAGAGAGATGGAGAGCAAGCGCCATTATCCGGAGAAGAGGCCCCTACCGGAGGACTTGTCTGGGAGGAGATCTCCGTCTTTGCTTCTAGAATGGCAGGAAAGGATCCCAAAACCAAATCTGCTTTGAAGTTGACCTCCATCCAGATTGCGTCTCAAGTAAAATTGACACCAAAGACCTTAACGGAACCCCCCATCAAGGAGGCCATCCTAGATGTAGCTCTGTCATACGACAATCTCGCAGGCGCGACCGATTGGACGCTAGAGGGATCAGTCCAAAACCTCTCGGTCGCACTACTGGCTGATTGTTATTTCGATGAGACTTGCAAGTCCGGAGCAATAGAAGTCCTTGGCAAGCTAAACCTGAGCTCGCTTAAGGTTCTGTATGTTTATTCCGCAGGTCAAGCCTCGTCTCTCCTGATCACCGGGACACTCACCCTTGGGGGCCTGGAGCTCGATTTGAGTTACCAATATGTTAGTACCAAGATCAAGCCAACCGCCAGATCTGCAGCTCAGGTTAGATGGGGAGGTAACCCCCCGAATGCCGAATTAAAACCAGTTTCGGCGACATCGGAGACAAATTGGTCATTCGAAGCTTATCTGAGAGTTACAGACCAAGAATCAACGATTGCTAGCATTGCAGACAGTATAATTCCTGGGAGTGGGCAGGATCTACCTGATTTCGTCGGTGGCATCAGAATTTCAGCTAGGGGCGACCCTCTGAACGCTCCAATTAAGTGAGTTGGCTCTCGAGACTGTTGCCCAATCCGCTTTGGAATCTAGCGAGCGCTGAAATACACTGACACACATCAAAGGCTGATCTACACTGGCAATAACACTGATGGTTCTCTTTTGGCTGTCTGGGTGAACTTAGGGCCCTTTAATATGACTTTCATACAGTACAGGTCAATGGCCACTGCTACGAAGATTGCGACAACGAAATCTATTTTGAGGGTTTCAGCAGACCAAATCCCTCTGCTTGATAAGGTTCCTCTGGTAAATGAGATGCCGCAGCCATTCGACAATCTAGTATACCTGTGGGTCGGGGATCCGGGGCAAACAACCCCTAATCCCAAGGGCTTCACCAGAGAAATGATTGAGATTGAGGCAGGAGGCAAGAGACCGATCAACAAAGCCCTGGAGCAAGCAGGTAACCCTCCAATATTGCTCAAAAAGAGCAAGAGTCAATTGACCGCAGCACATTCCGCCTCAACGAGTCCGGCTTTGGAGGCTGGGCATCATTTTATTGTTGTCACAAATGGTAAAGTGGTACTCGATCATGTCTTCGAGCCCGGAGAGAAAGATAAGCAGCCACCTATGGCCGGTAAGATCCAGAAATAAGTGTTCATGAATTGGCTGTGTTGACAAGCACCCTAGGAGCTTCCCCTACCCCACCAGTCCCTCCACGTCCTCCGAACCCACCATCCGTAACGACAGTCTCGGAAAAGCCACCAGCGAAGGGGGATACCAATACCAGAGCAGGTCCCTTAAGTATCTCCGGACTCACACTACAGTACAAGAATGGATCGCTCTTCATCGGCGTAGATGCTACCCTTGTCCTGGGACCTCTGACTTTCAGTGTTATTGATTTCACAATAGAGATCGAATTGAGTAAAGTGAAACTTGACAGTCTTGCTGACATCATCAAAGAAAAGCTAGTCAGAGTTAGCATCCACGGACTGGCAGTAGGTGTAGACAAGCCCCCACTTACCTTGAATGGCGTCTTCATCCATGATACGGCGGTAGCCGGCACAGCTGGAGGTTCTATCGAGAGTTATCGTGGAGGTATCGCTGTGGGCTTCAAGGCTTGGAAAATCCTTGCAGTGGGTGAGTATGCTATAGTCACAATGGTCAAAGACGGGCCCCAGTTCAAATCAGTATTTGTGTAAGTCAACCTCTGCGACAAGTGAACTTTCACTGATGCTTTATAGGTATGGTAAACTCGATGGACCTCTCGTCACACTTGAATTTGCTACGATATCTGGCGTTCGTCTTGGTTTTGGTTTCAACTCTCTTGTGCGTCTACCCAAGGCGGAGCAATTATACCAGTTCCCATTCATATGTGATACTGTGACTGGAGATGATCCTTTGAAGATTCTCAATGTAAGGGGGCCCAACTCCACTCTCTTGCGACTCGACCCCTGGTGACTAAATTATTTCTAGGCTCTGAAAGAAGGACCGAATCCCTTTGTCTACACCAAAGAAGGGGGTTGTTGGTTCTTGGCCGTAAGTAGTCACTCTTGAGACACAAGGAAGTGCTAATACCAATCTGAAGGGAATGACCATTACTTGCTTTGACTGCATCACTTTGACGGCTGTGCTGATGTTCGAGGTTGAGACAAAGTCAACTCATAACGGAGTTATCATTGCTCTTCTTGCCGATGGAGTATTCCAAATGCCCCCTCTCGCACAACCGGAAGTCTCGTTATTCTATATCGAGCTTTTGATCAAGGTCGAGCTCAATTTCATCGAAGGGTATATTGCTGCTGACGCAGCATTGGCTCCTGCTTCGTGAGTCCAAATTCCCTTTTTCAACATGGATTCGCTAACTCTTCTCTCTCTGAAAGGCACGTGTACGTCCCACAGGCAAAGTTGACAGGAACTGGTTCATTCTACTCGTGGTTTCCACCGAACGCGCATGCGGGAGACTGGGTAGTGACAATTGGTGCGTCACTATAGCCTTCATAATTACTTGGCAGAATGCCTGACAATGTCTAGGTGGTTATCATCGAGCTTATAAAGAGCCAGACCATTATCCCCATAATCTTACCCGTCTAGGGCTAAACTTTGTGGTAGGGAATGGAATCGTAAGTTATTCCCGTACCAATATGAACTGTACACTCGCTCACATGAAGTGTAGCATGTCATTGGGGGAGCGTAAGTAATCTACCTTGTGAATTGATGGGTGAATGTAAACTCAGAATAAATTAGCTACGTCGCTGTTACACCGAAGTGTGCTATGGCAGGTGGAGCTCTACATATCTCATTAGACGTGGGACCCGTGAGGTGAGCAGGAGATTCCTCACTTCTTACATTGTTGTGGTCCTAACATGTGCATCAGCGCTCATGCAGATATTGCATTGGATGTCTTCGTCAACTTCAAACCCTTCTACTTCATTGCTGAAATGCGCTTGTCGGTCGGCATTGAATGTGAAGTGGATCTTTTGTTTGTTTCATTCCATGTTTCAATGTCGTTGGGGGCAGATTTGGTTCTGTGGGGACCGGACCAATTTGGAGGAGTTGCTCACGTACATTTTTGGTTCTTCGGTAGGCATTTCCTCTTATCCTAGACTTTGTATGGACAGTGTACTGATCTTGATTCTAGGCTTTAGTATTGACTTCGGGAGTGGACTTAAAGATGTCCCAGGTGTGTCGTTGCTCGAATTCTTTGAAATAGTGAAGACGGCAGGCCCAGATAGCGAACCTCCACCAGGAGACCATACCTCGAATGTAAATCCCTGCCAAGCACTCCATAAATACACCATCGAGGAGGGACTCTTCCCACACAAGCCAATATCCGAAGATGAAACAACTTTTCCCAACACCGGTGCAAACACCGAATGGAAAGTGTTGGCTGGCCCTCTCCGGATCCGAATAGATGCCGATTTTGCTCTGAAATCCGCTTCTCTAGTCAATGCGGCAAAGGATCCCAGGAACTTCAATCACATTACCACCGCGCCACCGCAAGATCTGGATGATTTCTATGCATTTCCAATGCATCTGACCAGCCCTGTGGAAGCTTCGCACATGAACATAACGATCTACTTCCTAGGTGGTAAAGAAGAGGACAAAGAGCTCATGACAGACTTCCGAGCCGAGCTTGTGCTCAAGAATGCACCCAGAGCTGTCTGGGACAAGTACACAGCGGACAAGAACCCCCTATCCAGAATTAGTGGCCAGAAATCTAAAGCACTGGAAAATGGAAGCGACCCAACGATGGAACTTTGCCAAGGAGTGAGGATTCTACCGCCTCTTCCATACCTGGATCAATGTCCTGTTCTTGACTTCGATGCTACTGCTGCAATGATGGTGTATAACGACAACGAACCATTTCCTAGCTTTGACCCTGAGCAGAGCACTTATCTTGCAGAGCCATTCGAACCCGATTCCTCCCCAATCGTGCAGTGGGCCAACTTCGAGAAGCTGTGGAAGGGTGAAAACGAGCCTCTTGTAACTGGTCCATCTGGAGAGCAAGTTCTGAAGTCCGATATCCGAGGAGACAATGCCATTGGAGCCGGTATACTTGGCTTGATTGTGAACACCCTTGGTTGGAATGAGCGACGACCAGCTGAGAAAGAGCAGGGCACGGCTCCTGATGTGCTAAGCTCAGACGGCAAGGTTCAAAGGAAAGAGTGGCAGCTGGTCAGCATACCACCAACTGTTCTCGCGGAGGAATTGAAGTACTACTATCCATACTTGCCAATGGCTACAGGTCTGGTCGCAGCGTAGGCAAGTATCTACCTTGCCTAAGTTTTGATTGGTATCTCAATTTAGGGAGCAGATGATCCTGCGAGGGGTTGTGTCAATGGTGTTCACTCATTTCATTATCTTATTCCTGAGTTCTACAACGACAATTGCTGGATGGCCAGCTAAGTTTTAGTCATGATCGATGCTGTCGTTAATTCTCAACCGAACCCCAACAGTATTATAACCTAAAAGACCTTCATCCAAGGATTTCTTGAGAAAAAGTACAACACTGAGGATATCTCCAAATAATGGCTGAGAAGATCATAAGTTTCAACAGTCTTTCCCGAGGACAGGATTTTGGGGGCCACTCCTACTCCCCCCAGATGACTGGTAGAATCCCGGGTGACTTGCCATCCCAGTAGAAGAACCAACACAACCTCCCCTTTGCGCCAACTGCCCAGCATGGCCTGTCTGCACCGATCTTTGCATTGACAAACCACGTATTGACTTGGGCTGCGATATCGTTCAGACCATCTCGTGAGGTAGCACCTTTCCCTTCGAATTGAAGCACAGGGTAGAGCTCACCGGTGGACTTCCCCTTGATGTCGTGCACAAGCCTGGTGATTAATATGTCTGCTCGTAGCTTCTTGCTGCCATCTGGGGCTTGCCCTTCCGGCCCGAGAAGGTATGCGTTGCCCTAGTCAACGGAAACAGATAAGTCATACGGAATTTGAAATTCAGATGTGAATGACGTACAAAGGTGCCAAAATCTTGAACGTGGAAATACTCGTTGAAAAGACCATTCCACACTCTGTTCGCATTTGCTTCTGAATCTAGGAAGGAGTCGTCATGAGCCATTATGAGCTTGAGGCTGACCGGATGAATGGCGTTGACAGCAGGGGGCCATTTTGGCATCGCCATATTCGAAACAGTAACTTTCCAAGAGCTATTTATGTCAACCTTCTCAATCTGATAGAGCTGAAATGATACAACCCCTCGAACTAAGCAGTTCTTCGAGGGAAATATGAGGTTGACGAAGATCCGCTGGTTCTCCGGGAGCCACTACCATGGAGGCACACTCTTTAAATCCCCCTTGCAGTTGTAGGAAGAGTAATGTAACCTACCTACGTAGTCAATCGTTCTCACCGTGCTTCTCCTCTCCTGGCCACTAGGCCAAGATATACCCGATAGAGCAGCGACGCGCTAATGTACATGGACAATTTGATGTTGACTTCAGCCGTGTGGCTTCAGCTGAAACCTTGTACGCACATGCAAAAGACAAGGGTCTTTCCAAGTTGTACTTGAATGGGTACTGCCCTGCCTCCATCGCTTAAGAGCAATTGACCTTTTTCGAAGCTTCCAAAATCCAGGCAGGAAGATAATCGGGAGGACGACAAATGTTAGACAAACGAAGAATTTTGGCAAGATAAATAGATTACCTAGGTGGAATAAGTAACATTTGAGGAGCTAAGGGCAAAATTAAGCTAGCAGGCAGCCTCGGGCCTTCGCTATCGATGTCGATATTAAGTGGCCGAGTAAGGCACGGCAGAACACCAAAGTCAAGGCACCAGAGGATGATTTTCACGACGCATAATTATAGAAATCGTATTCTGTCTTCGGAATCATTCTGAAGATAGCTGGTCACTCTTCCCTACCTTGGCTTTTTTATTCATATTTCATTAAAGTGCCGTGGTTTAAAACACGATAATGCCAAATCTACGTCTCGCTAAAATCGGCCTCTTAACATCGATATCGATACCTTAGCCTCGATACCTTACCTAAGGTACTTTGGTTGAGGTACTTTGGTTGAGGTACTTTGGGTGAGGTACACAAATGTCCTAAGTAGAAGGGCTGCATCTCTCTGCTCTGCTCTGCTCTGCTCTGCTCTTAAATGCTCTTGACTTCAGTCTTGCAGATATGGGACGTGTAGTGCATCCTGGTACACTACAGTAACTACCTACCGACCTAGCGTATCTACCCTCGCTACCCTACTTATACCCGAGCCACCTACCAGGTCGAGGTCGAGGTCGAGCCGGTCCAGTCTTTGGCGTACAGTATTGCAGGGATCTAAGCGATTTCGGCCTCAACCGTAAAATCCCAATTCCAATCCCAATCCCTATCCCAACTTCTTCTCTCCTCATCTCCTCTCCTCCTCCCCTCCTCCCCTCCTCCCTCATCTTCACCATCGTGGCTCCTGCGATCCACATACTTGATATCCGACCATAAGCCCCCCCTCAAGATATACATAGGTTCTGTGAGGCTGGTAGCACGCACTTCCATTGCTCCTCAGTCTCACTCACACCTGAATGCCATGGCAGAGCTTGAAGGGGACGACAAAATAGGGGGGTTGCGTCAGGGCCCCGACGACGCTCAGGCTATAGGTGCTGTCCAGGATGAGGTTGATATCGCCAGGATTGAAAAGGTCTACAGGTACTTGGAATGAAGCAAACACAAACAGGCCGGGGGACTCTTGCTAACCGAAGCCGCCAGGAAAATTGATCGCCGCATTATTCCAGGTACAATCTACTAATCCCATGGCACTTAGTACTCTCATTTTAACTGATCCAGCTTTCTGGACGCTCTACTTCCTTTGCTCGGCAATCCGTTCCAACATCGGCCTTGCTCAGACTATGAACACGGCTTCAGGCCACAATCTCATGCAACGCTTGAACCTGACTGCAAAGCAGACTTCCACAGCTCTAGCACTCTTCTACGTTGCCTATGTTGTTTTCAATCTCCCATCAAGCTTGGTTATGACCAGACTAAGTCCACGAGTTTGGATGGCTAGAATTGTTTTTGCTGTAGGGTTGATTGGAGCTTGTTTCGCTGCAGTAGGAGCTGCTTGGAGTCTTCTGTCAGCGTTCCCGAAATCCAATGCACTGAAACTTTCGCTAATAACCACCCAGTCTCCTCCGCTTCCTCTTGGGAGTCGTGATTGCAGGTCTTTGGCCAGGCATGTCATACTACCTTACTCTCTTCTATCCGCCATCTCGCACAGGTCAGCGAATCGGGTACTACTTCACGGCATCTCAAGTATCCGCTGCAGTAGTAGGTCTTGTCTCAGCTGGTTTCCAGAAGATGGACGGCTCAGGCGGTCTTGTTGGATTCCAATGGATGTTCCTCCTTTGGGGCCTTTGTGCCGTCATCTTAGGCGTCGTTCTTCTCTGGTGGTTGCCAGATAGGCCTCTTCCTCCAGGAGAGACTAGAGTTCGAAGCGGGTTCTTGAAATGGCTCCCAGCTGTACCTCCCATCCTCAAAGGCGAGGATGCAGAGATCCACTACAGGGACCTGACAAGGGTCTACCACCCAAGACCATGGAACCTTAAGGATCTCCTCCACGTCCTGATTGACTGGCGTCTCTGGCCTCTCGTGATCATGTATTTCGGTGTCGTGGGCGTAGGTTTTGGAGTCCAATTGTATGGAACAGTTATCATCTCAGGTATCAATCCTTCATTCTCCGGTATTACACTGAGTTTGCTCTTTGCTCCAATCTGGATTGTGAGTTGTCCTTACCTCAACCAAAGAGTTCTCCATTGACGTCCTACAGATGGATCTCATAGCCATTCTCTTGGTAACCCCCATCTCCGACCGCTTCCACCATCACCGTGCCCTGTTCTTCTCCCTCGCAGTGTGCGTCCAAATCACTGGCCTCTTAACCACCACCTTCGCACCTCGCTCTCAACCCTGGGCACGCTACGGCGGTCTCCTCATGGTCGGCTTCGGACTCGGCCCAACTGTTCCCATCTGCATGACCTGGAGCAACGAGATCTTTCAGCGCCGCCACGGCGAAGTTGGCGTCGCCGCTGCTGCAGCCCTCATTTCCGGGCTGGGAAATCTTGGGACGGTAGTCACTACGTACGCCCTGTACACGGGCTGGCCAGAGGATGCGAAACCAGGACCGCATCGGTACCGCAAGAGTAACTTGGTTATGATCGGGATTCTCTGCTTGAGTATTCTGAGCAGTGTGGTCATGACTGTAGGACTGAAAATTGCAGGAAATAAACCTAGCAAAAAGATTACTGGCTGCTCAGATACTGATGATGAGTTCCTGGATGGTGCCGCGAGAAGGGAGCACCACCAAAGGGGCTTTGGAAAGATGAGGTGGAATAAGAGCCACTAGGCTCTTACTGTCACCACTCGAGCTGGGGATCTTCAACAGATGAACTTAGCGCTGGAAGTCTGGGGACATTACGGTGATTGAGCTGTGCTGGGGTTAGTACATTAAAAGGGGCGAGAAGCTCAACCTTCGGATGTGGTTGTTGCGTTGTTGTATTGTTTCCTGGGTTGATTTGGTCCAGATTTTGTTTTCCTACCAGCGAAGATACCCATTTGCGTTTGAATATGCTATCATTCGGGTTTGGCCACGGCCACCTGACAGTGAAAATGCTTTGAACGCTATCACTGGGACGGCGTATAGGACAGAGACGGTACCGGCGACAATGTTTTGCGCTATCGCTTAGGACCATCTCGTGGGATTTGTTTTTTTGATTATTTTGTAGTTTGCAATTTGTTTGAGATGTAGGCATTGCCTTTGCCAACCACTCGCTAAGTAGGAATGAATCGCCTTCCGACAGGCCTTTGATCAAAGACTATCAGACAGCTGCTGCATTGTAGAGGTGTGAGATTGCAAACATGAGATTATACACGGTTCAGCTTTCTGCCTTGACGAAATCCTCGCAGCATGGCCTGCTTTCTTTGACTTAACCTCAGAAGCCATGTCGCCGATCAGTCCATCTCAGTACATAGAACATGCGAGCTGGAACCAGACCCATTCGATTCTCGACACCCTTCTTCATTTGTGTGATGTTTGGAAACTAGAAATGTTTTACCCAAAGACGAATGTCCTCGGGTGACGCATAGCCTAAATTCCATGCCCCGAACGCCATCCCAAATCGCTCTCACCGAAAGGGGTTGAACGCCTGACATAAGAGTACTCCCCATAATCCTACAAAACAATCTCAGAAGCTCGTACAGATAGAAGTGCGGTATTATATGCAAATAAGCCGCGCTGTGAAACCGATGCCAGCGACCTAAACGCCTGACGCCTGAAAGGAAAATATGCAACTCAATATTCAATGTCCATAGAAGCACCAATCTCCTCGCTCACTCCTCGTACTGGACCTTTGAAGTCCTGCTCATCTGATTCGTCGTCAGCATCGGCCTCGTCGTCATAGTCGTCGCAGAAATCGTCTCCATCAAAGAGGACGTCGTTATCATCCGCATCGACTTCATCCTCGTTAGCCCACATTGTTACATCTCCATCCTCTTCTAAGTCTTCCTCGTTAGTGACGTTAGCAGCTTGGTCCCCAAGCCAATACTTCGCTCGCTTGTTCGCTCCCGAATCATATCCGCTGGCACTTCTTTTGGGTATGCTGCTACGTTGTCGAGGGCTGTGGGTCATTACTGGCACACCGCGAACATAAAGGTACGCTACTCGCTTCTTCTCTTTATTGAAGAAGAAATAGTTCAGACTCCAGATGGAAGCTTCCTCACCATCAAATGGCTCATCAGGTGGGGCCCAGCAGTAGACTGTACACTCTTTGAGGTTCATCTCCTTGTCGACCAATGACCACATCTGCGGGCCCCATGCCTGGCTTGTTGGCGATGGCGATGAGGCTGTTGTGTAGCTAATCTGTGACGGGACTTGGAGTGTCATCATACCTGAACTTGGCCTCAAGTTGTAGAGGGTAGAGTCGATCGTGTTGATGACAGCTTTCAGGCTTCGTTCCCTTCGAAAGTCCGCAGGTCTGAGGATGTGTGAGAAATCATAATCCGGGTGGCTCGCATTGAGCGTTGCAATGAGGTATGCAAAAGTACGGCGGCTAGAAACCTGGCTCAACGGGCCAAAAGGGCTAGAACGAGAGAGGTTGAGGGGCGATGGACCAGAGCCCTCGGGTGAGACCGAAGCCGACAATCGGAGGAGGGATTCGTATTGCGATTCCAACGACTTATCAATGTTGCGGTAGAGCTTCTTGTCTGAGCCGGCAGCTTTCGTAGTGTACAGATCGCAACCGCCAATGACGTGGCAATCGGGCGTGTCGAAATTCAACGCGCTTGTCACATCGTCGAAGTCGCGAAGGGGAAGGAACTTCATCTTTGCGTTTGACGGGGCCAGAAACTAGATTTGTTCTTATCAACGCGGATCTGGATGATGTGGGTGTTTGGGGATTGATGTGCGGAATTGAAGGAGGTAGAAGCGTGTGGCAACGGAGCCCGAGTGTTCTGTAGGAGAAGACGACCTTGCGGAGGACTCTGCAGACTCGGAGAACTGACAACCAGGAACTTGATCCCTCAGGTATCGCGATATGGACAGAACCTATCTGGCAGAGAGGTTTACTGCAGAGGCAGCAACGGAATTGTAGAGTTGATGATTTGGTTGACCTGCTGAGGCTGAGAAGCAGTGATGGACCCTTCCTCGCGCTGGCTGCGGAGGGCGAATCTATGTGATCTCGAGCTAGACTTGCGTCTAGCAGGTAGAAGGCATTGCGAGAGTTGGGAAATGTTTGGTTTGTGTTGCGGTGCTGGATGGCGTTGAGTTGAGGACGAGTTGTATTGTGTAGTTGTGTTGTGTTGTGCGGAAGGGAGTGAGGTGAGATCAGGTCATGGATGGACGTGGACGTGAGTCGGAGAAGTGGAGATGGGTGGGCCGTGGAGGCGATTGCGACTTCCCAGGTTGGCTTGGCCCGGGGAGCAACTGGAGCAGCAGCAGGCAGGTTTCCGCTAGTCCAGGAAAGGTTAGAAGGGCTTCCCCCACTATCGCTCCCTAACCAATTATGGGGCTGGAACTATCACGATGGAAAGAGCTCAGCAGTTGTTGGATGTTTTTGTTTTGGTTTGCTTTGTTTCGGACTGGAAACAGGACGGGCAGGGCAGGGCAGGGCAGGGCAGATTGATCGATTGCAGAAGGATGGAGGAGGTGTCTATAGGACGAAGTCAGCAGCAGCAGTTGCTTGCCTTGCCTTGCCTTGCCACATGTCCAAATCTGAAATGCCGAATGGTGCAGCTGCTGCTTTGTCTGAAACCTGGTTTTCGAAGTCTTTGTTCGTCAGCAACTGCGTGAGAAATGGCATGTGATGGAAGGGGGAATGTCTAGCGTTCAGCCAGACACACTTCTACTATTGCGTATAAATCCAGTGGGATATTGACAGGCCAGGGTCCCTTTGAAGTGAACCGGGTCTCCCTGTAGGTAGCACAAACATGAAATGGCGATACTTCCTGAACGTGAATGTACTAGATGGGAATCGGTCCTGGGGAAATGAGAACACGTCGAGTTGCCCGGGTCCGAGCAACCTAGGAGAGAGCTTGGGGAATAGTGAAAAGACGGCAGTAACAATTCCAGGCACGTAGGGCGAGCTGAGGGCAAAGCAGGCCATTAGCGAGTCGCAGTAAACTAAAGCGTTATCCATAGAAGTGCCCCCAAGGCCGTACTTATCACAAATCCACTCAGTCATTCTTGTAGTGGAACGAGAACCCAACGCCAAATACCTCCATGCATTCAGCAGCCTCAGTCTATCCTGACACCAAGTACAAAGCATCGCTATGCCAAAGGGGATACTGTTCTTCTCTCCTAGTTCGGAGAAGCAATCAACAGTCCGAAGACCAGGAAAATATCGAATCAAATGATGCCAAGCTCTTTCAGATTGTCCGCAACTCCTTCTTCATCCTAAGTCAAGCGGATTCTTGTTAGCATGAAGAATATATTGCAGAAGATGTATTCGTGTTGTTCATTCTCAAGCGCCAGACTCCAGCCACCAGTAGCATAGTTTTGTATACATGCATAAAGACCGCACTTCACATGATCTTCGTGACCTCTTCGTCGACCTGATACAGAGGAGAGATGTGTCAGTGTTTGAGAGAATGTGGGATAATTGGAACGCGTCCAGGGCAAGTGTAAATCATAATCCAAGCAATGCTCGACTCACCTCCGTGTCCTCTATTGAGTCTTGAGCTGAGATAACTCGCAAAACATTCTTCTTGCTGCTCTCCTGCATTTCCCCTGCTAATAACAGCTCGTCTAGAATGAAGTATGCTTTTTGGAAGTTGAAGATCTGGCTAACATTAGGACCCGCTTGTGCTTTCCGGGGATTGATACATACGATATCCAACTAGGTAGATGTCAGTATGCAGACGCCGATGATAGTAATAAGACTTACCTCGCAGACATTGCCATAGTATTTGTCCATCTGCTCGACGTACCTATGTACGATTTCGAGAGTGATCAGTTCGTTATCGGTTGAATTGCACCCGGCAATGAAAAATAGAGAGGCGTAACGGCGGTAGACTATCTTCGAATCTGCAGAACAGTTCAGCCCGCACTCTTAATGGCCGCCGCTGGAAGATGGCTGACCCTTGTATTCCAGAAAATTGCACATCCTCGTCCGCCGTGCCAGCACGAGCTGGGAAACATCTTTAATGATCTTGGCCTTCTCCTTGGGTGAGAGTGTCGTGAACCACTTCGCAAGCCTCTATTGACCGCTTAGCTTGGAGGGGTTGGATGTCTTGTGGAGGGTACGTACGACTTTGCCCTGCCGCGAAAGCAGAATCAGGTAGCTGTAGCATGTTAGCAGAGGTTGAACATAGCGGCAGCGCAGACTTACTTGATAGGCATCTTTGCAGATGGAAATGGGCCTCTGCAGAAGTTTTGTTTGACAGAAGGGTTCTGCGTGAGGATGGCAGGATAGTCATGGTAATCCATGCAAGGATGGCAATGCTTTGCATATGGCTTGGCAAGCGTGCAGGGGTGTATTTTGGAGCGAGGAGTTGATTCCGCGTCCAGTCCCCGATAGCCCTCGCCGAAGAAAAAGCGCCTTAGTAATGATGAGTTCTAATTATTTTCGACTGGATGGATGGATACACATTGAGCACCCACTTCTTTGCCTGTATATTATCCTCCTTGTCCTGTCTATACTCTCTTTCGCGACTTGTACTAGACTGGTTTGGTCCTCACTGTGCCTCTTATCCCGTAGATAAGACGTCAATTGCATCCCGCTTTGCAAATATACCCCCACCACTCAATCCCCGATTACAATATTCCTCCCGACCGACCACTACTCCTCGACGGCTTTCGGAATTTCCACTTTGTTGCCCATCTGCTCCTGGCTGTCAGCCTTGCTTCGAAAAGAAATCCCACCATGACGCGACTGATACTTTCCACCTCGTACGTTGATCCAATTCGCTCCTGAAAAAGTATGCGCCTCCTGCTAACTAGTGTGACGAATCAGCAATATCATGACCGGAGGCCCTTCGATCATAAGGAAGCCTGGCGCAGATCGGTCAAACCTTGAGCTGACAAATTCCCTCCGAAGCAACTTTCTTGCTGCCCAGCAAGACTATTCTCCTCCCTTATCCGCGACGAATGGCAGCGGCAGTCCTAGAAGCAGTTCTGATGAAGACCTCCCTTCTCGCCGACCGCAGTCCTCAATATGGACTACACGAGATGGCTCTGACTACTATGTTCCAACAATAGACTGGTCTCTTTCAGGCCTCTGTGAAGAGAGGAGTCAGTATGATATCACAGTCAAACTGTTCTACTTGCACGGCGCACATGTCAAGGATCGGGCAAGGCACACCAAGGATGCCATAAGTCTGGTATTGAAGGAACTGGGAGTGGAGTCTATCGATTTGCTCATTGTATCTTTTCCTGGAATGTCGTTTGACGGAGACTGTGAATGGGAAGCCGACAAAAAGAACTCGGCGCAAGGCAACGATGAAGAAGAAATAGCATCTTGGCCAGCAATCGAGGAACTTTACAACCAAGGAATTGTCAAGAGGTTAGGCCTATCGGAATTTGGTAGTGAGAAGCTAGCTAGATTCCTTGCGCGCGTACAGGTACGCCCACAGGTGGATCAGGTCAACATCAAAGATTGCTGCAACGTCCCTCCACCTCTCCTGAAGTTGGCCAAGATGGAGCAGATCGAACTTCTTACGCACAATGACTGCACGGATATATTGCCCAGTGGAACGTTGAGAGAACTGCTGGGCCAAGGAATTAGAGGAGCTGGCGTGCTGTCTGAATCCAAGAGAGGCATGGACGGGATGAGAGGAGACCTTAACCCAGAGTGGGTTGTCAAATACACAGCTGTTGTTCGCGACAGAGGCGTTATCGAGAACAAGGGGTACTTTGCAGTTGCAGAGTTGAACGAATGATTTGTGATTGCTAATTCATGGAGACGCTTGCATATGGGATTTGGTAGCGCTGGGGGTTTGGCGTTCAGGATTTTGTTTGTTATGGTGTCATATTTGTCTGGATCATACAGACCTGTGGTCCCTGCCCTGGTATCTCCTTGCTAAACTAGATGATTGGTTTAGCATTCCCAATTGAGCAATCAGCCGATCATGCTCCTCTTCCTTCCTCTCATCCTGACCTCCTCCAGTTTCTTAAGGACGACATTACCACCTTTGAAGCTCTTCCCATACGCACTTAGAAACTCCTTGAACAAGCTCTCTGCCTTTGGATGTGTACTCCCAAAAGCTCTTTCCAGCACGTACAAATCTACAGCTCGGTCCTCGTCCTGAGTGCTTTGACTTGCCAGGCCAAAATCTATCAGCACAATCTCACCGTCCAGCACCTTATTCTCGACCGTGTCTCCATTTACAGCCTCCTTGGCTCTCGGCCTGAGCATCAAATTACTTGTCGTCAAATCCCCATGCACAACTCCCACTGCATGCATTCTGCCCACAGCATCTCCCACCCTTCCCATCAACCCTACCAACTCCTCATCATCAACACCCTCTTGCACGCCAGCATCCTTCCTCCGCTTCAGCCATTCATTCAGTCGTATTCTAACCACCTCTCCCTCAATCCACTCTATCATCAGCCATCCCTTCAATTCATCCAGCGCATATACCGCAGGAACCGGCACACCCTCTTTCCTACATTTGACCAGCACTCTGGCCTCGGACAGGATACGATGTTTCGTTAAGCGTTGATCGAGAATGGGATGCCGGTAGGGTTTTGAAGGTCGGTATTTGAGCGCGCAGGGCAGATCGGTGACGAGGTAGGTGCTGCGGAAGAGGAGAGCTTCTGCGCCTTGTGTGATGAGTTGGGGAGGGGTCGAGGAGGGGTAGAGAAAGGTCGCAGGCAGTGAGGGTCGGTCGGAGATAGGAAGATCTAAAGATGGCGTGCCTTGGACTTGGACTTGGACTGCCATCTTGCTGAGTATTGGCCTGCACGTAGGCTGTACTGCGTTGAGTCTGCAAGTTCGTGTTGTGGAGGTGGTCTGCGCGATGTTGGACCCTTGACAAGGCCGCAGAAATTTGGAGGGGTTCCTGTGTTTGGCCTGTCAGCCTTGGAGGGGTGCGGGTGCGCGGTGCGGGTGTGCCTTGACAAGTCAGAGCGACAGTCTTCATTTCAGACTTCACATATAGTATCCTATCGTACCAACAAGCCATGGACCGCTCAACAGCCACTTCACCTCTTGCTGATTTGTTGTTTGCTCGAGAATATATACCGCGAATATCCTCAGGATACGCCCAGAATGCCTCCCGCCACGCGCTTTTATTGGCCGCATGTGACTCTCCTGCAAGTGCAAGGATCGAGACAAGCTCAATTGGCCACGAAATACGGATACTCATACTGTTCGCCCACACCGACATCGACTCCAACCACAGAAGGTTGCACCCGTCTATCTGTCTGCCCGTCTCGCCCGTACCGGACAATACTCGTACAGCCTACAGGAAACACGTCCAGTCCGGTGCAGTACATACATGAAGTCATCTTGCCTTCCCTTCCCTCTCCCTCGTCCGACTCTCCGAACCACCGTCTTGACAGCATGCCCCGATAGCGTCAACTCTCCACTTCCCACTCTACTTCCTCTTCTCCAATGGCAGACACAGCTGATCTGCCCTTATTGACTATCCTCCTCCTCCTGACCGCTTGTCTAGTGAGCGTTTTCGTGCTGGCGACTTTCGGAACTACATACATCACTGCGTACCTCGCCGCCCCCAATGAAATCACCACCTTCGTAGACGCCGTCGACTTCTCCATCCAGGAGAACGAGTCATACGATCGCGATGTCGCCAAGGTGCAGCGGTTAGAGGACAAGCTGAGGATGGGGAAGTTGTTGAGGGAGATACAGAAATGTGGTGATGATTTGAGGGAGGATCTGAATGGGCTGCTGATCGATGAAGGGGGAACGAGGTTACGATCGAGTACGCGATTGCTATGGGCGACCAAGAGGAAGAGGTTGGAGGAGCAAGTCAGGAGATTGGACCTCTTGCGGATGCGCTTCCTGGTGGTGTACATGGGCTTGGTAGCTGCAAAAGGAACATCGGAGCAGACCCATACAAGAGATCCAGAGAAGCATTTCACACCCAAGATGACAGTACGGCCTGCATTGCCACATGCATTAACCGAAGGAATCACCAGGAAACCCCCGCTCCGAAGACTCACAACGCAGGCTATGGGTCATAATGATCATGTCGGGAGTCCTCAAAAGCAAGGATGGATGGGAGTTGTCGCGGAATTGCAGAACTCACCTCTCATGCATAAGCGGCATGCTTCCATTGAAAGGAATATGGCCAGTCCTGGATGAAGGCGCACTGTTGGACCACGTCTCTTCTGATTTCTTTGGATGACATGCCTAATCTCTACCCAGCAAAATTGGAGCCAGACAGGAGGGATCATATATGGCTTTGTAAAGCTGATACCGGTCATTCAACATCACGCCACGGGTCTTGCTTCTCAATTCATCCTCCTATTATCCTCCACCAAATATTCTACCCTAATCACCACACAACCTTCTTATCCTCACCCAGTTCACGATTATCAACGACGACCATGTTTTGACGCCACTCTACGAGACCACATTCGAGACCCCTTCACGAGTCCATATTTACCGCTCACGCCCATCTACGAATAACGTCTCATTATGACCTTCATCTCACGACCGCACTTTACAATATTACAGCATAGCATTCGAGGGAGCACGGTTGGCAGCCACTATAGAGGTCCCATATTGTCAACCCATCAACATCAGACGAGCTCTAGACGTTGTATGCGACTAGGAAGTATTTGTATGCTGGATTTGGCGTGGCGTGGCGTTCGCATTTGCAGGAAGTCACTATTTGCTTGCTTGATTGCTTACTTCTTCGCTTCAAGATACCCCCTGTTTTAGATTAGCTACCATTTTCTGCTATATGCATGCATTTTCAAAAAACACATCGATCCTCAATAAACCTTTAAATTTAACCTTTAAATTGATATTGGGAACGGAGCTGGGAAGTGGGGTGCTTTGATGCTAGCTCGATAGCGAAATCCGCTTTTGATTTACTGTCGCCGCCACGCCAACAGGATCATCTAAACCAGTTCTGTGAAGACGTCCTAAAGCCTCAAGTTCATCACATGCCATTGTGATAAATGCCTAGGTCCCATCTGATCAGTCTCATATTCGCGCTCGCTGAATTAAGCAGCCCCTCCGTTCAACCAAATAAATAAGCGTGAGGTGTTGAATTTTTGTTGGTGTTATTTGTTATTGTTTTAGTATCCCGTGTGCTAAGCGAGGAACGCCTGACGCATCACTATCCTTTCGAAGCTCCCGAATGACATTTTCATACCTTCGGAATGTTCGATCTACTTAGTCATCCTCGAAATCTCCTTTAGACCCACCTGAACATCCGCAACAACCTGTCACTCACCACCACCGTCCCGCAAACTCTATATAATCCTCCTCCCCCGCCACTGCAAGCGCCTCACTCCGCTGCGCCAATGACCTCGCATTCTCGAAGCCCGGTGGACTCCACGCATGATCATCTTGTACACCTTGAACCTCCTGCCCTACGTCTCCATCATTCCTACCCGACAAAATCGAAATAGTGGTGCATTCCTTGCGATCGACGCTATATCCCCAGCTGGCATAGAGACCGGCAACGAAGTGGGTGCTAGGTGGCGGTTCGAAGATGGTGTGAGCGTTCTTTTGGTTAGTGCCGAAGAAACAAATGCGGTTTCTGGAGGTGGTGAGCTGTTCATGTGTGAGTATCGTCATGCCTTTTCCCTCCGCTTCATACTAGAGAAGGGAAAGAGCTGCTACATACCTTAACAGCCATTGGCAGGTGATTCATGCCAACTTCCACCTTCTTCACCACCTCTCCTCCCCTTCCATCAATACTAAAAACTTTCCTTTCTCTCTCAATCCCATCTCTTGGCCCAATTGATCTTTCACTCCCATCCGCAAATTGCACAGCAAACGATCTCAATTTCGCATCGGATGAAATGCCCGTTATGCTTGCGAGTTCAGATGGTGTGGTACCGAAGAGGAGGAAAGACATGGGTATTGTGTCAAAAGATCTTTCGGGTGTCCAGTACCCAGTCTTGTAGGTTGATACTTGGAGGTTTGGGGGTGGAATATCCCTTTTCCAGAGGTGGCGTTGGAGGGTTGCAGGGTTCAGCACAGCCGGTGACAAAGCTGTGGTAAATTAGTAGATATACACTCGAGGCGTAAATATGAGCTGTTCAGGCAAACTCACTGATTTCTCTTGGACATTCAAGGAGGCCGAAACGTTGGATAACGCCGTTCTGGGTAAATATTTAGTTACTTGATTACAAAACTTTGGTGCATGAGAAGTTGACTTACGACGAGCTCACCAACCAGCCCAGTAAGAACCCTACCTTCGCTCACCTTAACAAGGCGTTTGTCCCCTTCATGGGATCCAACTTGAATCTCACTCCCGTCATGGAATAGGACCTATCATACCATCAAAAAATTACACGTGTAATCACAATGGAGCCATGCACTTACCTTGACACCAGTAACACCCACCCTAGCACCCTTTCCCAGCTCCCCCGCCCCACTCACATTCAAGACAAAGCCATCAACCATCACCGTCTCTCGCACAATAATACTCACTTCCTCACCCCTTCTCACCCCAAATATCCTCCCCCCAATCCTCTCCACTCCACATAATCTCCCCTGTCTCTCTTGCTCACCATTTTCGACCCCCTCAAAATAGAACTTCAGCTCCCACTCTTTCTGCAAATCAAGCCACTTCTCCAGCAAATACACGCTCAAAGGTTTCGCATCCAAACTCACAGGCGCTGACACAATCGGCATGGCCACACTCATACTCCCATTAACAATCTCCTCATCTACCTCTGCAGCATCCTGCTCCCCTTTATTCCCCCTAATGTCTTTCTCATACAACTCAGCAAGCTGCAGACAAGCCTTCCAAACCCTCCTCCTGTTCGCCAGTCCCAAAACGAGAGTTGCGTCTCGCTCACCAAGCAGTTGATGAACATTACCTTGCTCATCTACCTGGGAATCTCCTAATTCGGGCGTCGTAGCGAAACACTGCCGTCTCATCTCCCGATACCACGCGAATCCATTGCCAGGGGGGCTTGACATGACAGGTAGGTCCCAGAGGAACGGCATATCTAGCAGGAGTTTGCGTTTCCAGAATGATGATATGGAGGGGAGGTGGAAGGGGAGGAGGCCTGACAGTGTAAAGTCCTGGAGGGAATTGTATGGGAGATGGAGGAGGATCTCGCAGATTATTTCTTTGGCAAGAGTGGTAAACCGGTTGCATGCTTGTAAAGCTGCCCGGGCTGGGGATACGAGCTCTTCTGTAGTGGGTGCGGAATTATTGCTTTTGTTTTGATCCTGAATGGCTGAGAGGAATGATGTAATCTGGGGACGTGTGAGAGGATTCGAAACCCATGCCTATTCCTCAGCATCAATATCCATCTGACCTCAAACAACAAGGTGTGGGGATAGACACACCTCATTCCCAGGCTGACAAGCCCAGTACTGCTCAGTTGCCGAGTCTGCCAACTCACCATAATCCAAGCTAAGAGCATTGTGATACTCCTCGGTCAACTTGCTCATCGTAGCATAAAGCACATCTTTATTCAGTACAGACAGGTCTGGCTCGACTCCACACTTGCCGTGCATTTGAAATGTCACTACTTGAGAGAAGAGCTTGAGGCAGTCTGTGTGAAACGGGAAACACATTGGCTCATCAGGGTCATAGGTTGAGTATCTTTTGAAGCTCAGTCCGAGTCCATACCTAGCTAGAGATGGATATTACTTACGCAGTGAGTGTTATCTTTGGTGGAGATCCTTGATCAGTTGATGGTGGTATATTCGCATCATCGCCAATTTCGCAGTCGAAGGATCCCTTCCCACTAAGTCAGCTTGATGACATGGATAAAGAAATTTACTGAAAGACATTAATCTCCCGGGATCACCTACATAGTTCGAACTCGACGCAGGTCCCGTAATGTAGCACCTGAGCATGGCTTAGTACTAACAACACTCCGACCTCGTGGCCCTGATCGAAAGAAATACCCACTTGCTAACACCAGGAGCATTTGGATTGAACCCCAGAAGCATCAACTTCTCCAACCAAGCCATATCTGTTCCAATTAGCACTGCCCATAGATCGGAGTGTATAATAGAAGACAATACAAGGCAGAGTGAAAAGCGGAAAGCATGAACGTACCTTCTACACTTATAATCTCCGGATCAAATGCATCCCTAGGCCATTTTCCCTCATCAGCTAATGCTCTCTCCCCCTAACAGTAAATGTGTGCTTCTGGAACTCGGAATATCAAAGAAGAAGAAAGACACCTCAGAGGAGACAGCCGCAGAGACGAGAAGACACATACCCTCGTTGCCCAAACTCCTCATTGAATGGATCAAAACAATGAAACGGCGCAGCGCAGAGCGCACAGTAGCAATCCCAATCTCCCATCTTACGTTCTCGTTACTCCACCGCCAGCTCCCTATTAAATGCCGTGGAATATGGTGCTTTCTGAATCTATCACGAGGCCGCAGGGCTTCGACGGGAATTTCCAATTGACAATAAATGAACAACAAGATGGAGGGAGGATATTCTTTTTGCTCGAGCGAGGGATTGGGTGTCACACGAAGATGTGCTTAGCTTGAGCTTGGATGTATGTATGTAGTCACGAGAAATGCAGGCAGAGCAGGCTACAGCGTCAGATAGTGGGACCTCTGGAAGGGTTCAGTGGCGATGAATACCTGGACATCCGGCTAACACTACCCTTCGTACTTAGGCGAGACTTGGCCTTGTCATCTCCTCACGTACCCTCTAGTGGTCGTAAACATCACCCATTGCTTCTCTTTCGCGCAGGCAGCAAAGACGAGTCATCATAAGTTTGAAATTGACATGACCATACAGTATAAAGTTATCGATTTTGGCTATATTATCTCATCTCTCCGCACCGAAGAGAAGAATAAAGTAGGCCCTATCTTATCGTAATCCCCTTTCGTCCCATCCTAGTGGCCCATCCAGTCATCGAACGAAAAAAACCTAGGAGATGTAATCCATGAAAAAGTCTCGAGAGGCTAGGTATCCTCAACCCTATACAAACACAAACATACAAACAGAGGATGGGTTGTCCTACGAAGTCATCAAGAAATGAAATGCGTAAAGCATTATCATCTGGTATCTAAATATCAAAGATGCAATAAAAACGGATACATAATCAAACATCTGACAGCGGCCGGTTGCATGAAGAGGATAATTTTTGCAGCAGCGTCAAGAAGTGTAGGTGGTATAAACAAGATAATATCCTCCCAATTTTGGAAAATGAAGTGAAAGCATTGAGAAAAGGTCGTGAAGAGGTGAGAGTGCTTTAATGCGCCTTCTTGCGACCAAACATCCGCTGGAAAGCATTTGCTTCGTCTTTTGGAAGGGCTGGTGCGAAGGTTTGAGGCTGGGTTTGCATGCTGCTGGGAGGTTCGCTGCTGAGGAGGAAGTCGGCAAGATCGCTGGTTCGAGTTGAAGCATAGACTGCCTCTCGTGGTTGGTAGCTCTTTTGAACAACTCTTCTTCGGCCGGCATCATTATTTCGGGCAGTATCGAGTTGTGAGACGTAGTTGGCATTTCGAGGCTGCTCATATGACGGAGTGGTCGTACTGTATTTTGCCGCGATCGGAGTGTAGAGAGGAGTCTTACGAGGTCCCGGAACGGAAGAATCAATGCCGTTAGATTGTGTTTTTGGGGGAAGGGATGGGCCGGAAGTGGAGCCATTACGACCAAATCGTGACATGAGGCTACCTGAGCTGGGCTTCTTCTTCATCTTCTTGCTTCCGGGTCTAGGTACATCATCAAGCGCGGAATTTGTACGGACTGGATCAGGAGGTGGCGGCGGGGCGTTTCTCAAGAACTCTGCCAAACTCTCCTCCTTGATCGGTGGTGGTCTGGACGGAAACAGGTCGTCGTCTTCCTCGTCAGAAAAGTCGATGGCGTAAGGATCACGAACTCGGCGAGTCTTGCGCTTGGGCATCATATCCTCTTCTTCAAAATCATTCCGAGTCTGAGTTGGCAGTGGTTTGTTCCTGGATCCGTTAAGTAAGGCGCTCTGCGATGTCACAGAGCTGGTGACCGAAGCAGTATTGCTGAATCGGACGTCTGGGATGTTAGCATCGACAGCTTTGCCCCCTACAGCACCAGTCATTTGATCCGAATCCATTGTACTGCGAAATGGCGCGACGGTACGCGGAATTCGGTGATCTTGCTTTTCCAATTGGGGACCAGATCTGACAAAGTCGATTAGATCACTGACGCTGTCACCACGTGGTACAACAGCATCACGAGCTTGGAGCCTGCTGCGACCTGCCGAGGATTGGGAACGCTTTGGCACTGAAGTTGCAGTACCAACTCGTGGAGGTCCTCCTGAGCTGAAGTTTCGCGGAGCGCCATTTGTACTGCGATTCGTAGAAGCGCTTCTGATTGGTACAGGCTCGTAAGAGTTGGCAGGGCCTGAAAGCAGTTAGCAATACACTCTGAATGGATATGGAAAGGGCCAAACTTGCCTGTGCTTCTGATAAATTCGGCGAAATCACCAATTGAATCTCGGTCAATCCGAGCGTCACGAGCCTGTGGAGCATTCGGCCGCAGTCTTGCTCCCGTATTGTTTGTTTGAGGTCTTGCGACAGGTTTGAATGACTTCGCCGATTTGACAGATCTTGCCACCTCCATGGGTGGATTGGAGTTCAGTCCATTTTGCTTACTGACAGAGGATGAATGGGATCGGCCCGTCATAGGTCTTGCGTCAGGAATCGTGGGTGGAGTAATGTAGCGTGGTGAATCGGGAGACTGGGGAAAGTTAGCAAGCCCGGGCATATAATACGGGAGTTGCATACCTCAATATCACGCATGTTCTGTGGAGTCAGGGTATACTGAATGGTTTGATCACTTCGAATGAGCTGCTCAAAACTCTGTCCTTTACGTTCCACAGTTCTTGTGCCACTATCTTCGGAAGTACGAACTGGCTTCAATTTGTAAGAGCCTGAGGATGACCCAGATCCTGAGGTATGGATTGATCGCTGGCCCTTCGCGATATGTTCCGCTGCGATTGAACGAGGTGGGGACGACCGTGTAGCTTGAGCACGAGTTTGAGATTGTGGTTCCACAGCTGGCTGGGAGTAAGTGTCGGCGGCACTGTAGGCACTAGGTGCAATCGAGCTGTACTCATCGGAAGTACCCCGAGCTCCATCCATCATTTCCCGCAATGGGGTCAGTGGAGGGGCTCCATTCTCAACATCGACAGCCGAGTTGAAAGCCGGATTCTCCTTCGGCGAATCAACGCGTGGATAGCTGGTAACTTCTCGTGCTGTTCGAGAGATAGGTGCAGCATCGAGGATGAACGGTGCTGGCTGTGATGGCTCATAAGTGGTCACAAATGGAGCCGAATGAGATTCTATGAGCGACTCGACTGGAATCGGCATTGAAGGGTTGAGTTCGATATCTCTCTCCTCGACTTCTGAGATTGAATCTCCAGCACTGTTCCTGGCACGTCTTACACTGTGAGATGATCCATGACGGTCGATTGGACTGGCAGTATGACCTCGTGAGACTGGGCTGGTCATTCGAGGAGTTTGAATTGCAGAGTAAACACTGTTTGGTCGAGAAACAACAGTGGGTCGACCCATATCTGCTGCACCGAGAGAACCTTCTCGTGATCTAGTAGGACTTCTTGGCGAAGTGACATCGATCAGGCGGAGAGAATGCACGCTGGGAGATCGGACGCTCGAGTGTTTCGAGGAATACTCCTTGCTCTCATCTGGAGAAGCACGGCCACCAATGGAAACACGAGAAGATGTCAAGATCTGAGGTTCTTCAGTGAAGTCTTCCTCGAACTCGGGTTCGTCAGTAACGAGGAAGGTCTGTGGTGCTTCGCCCTTCGCAGCAGCCACGATTCCTGCGACAGCTGTAGCCCCTGCAGCAGCAGCACCTGCAACTAGTCCGACAATCTTCCCAGTTCCCGAGTTTGATTCGGCCTTGACAGGCTCTTCCAAGTTCTCCTTTTCGACTGTGGAGTTGTTTGGTTCTGTAGAATCTACTGCAGCGGTTTCTGCGTCAACTGAGGGCTGTTCTACTTCAACTTCTTCGACGGACGGCTTCTGGCGCTTCGAATACCTGAACGGCAATGGAGTAGACGAAGGTAAAGAGTTCGAACGTTTCCTTGACCCGGAAATCGAGGATAGTGGTCGCTCGGTTTTCGGAGAAGTGGGCGAAGTGGGCGAAGGCAAGGAGCCAACAAAGATCATCATGCTCCTAGGCCGTGGTGGAAGCTGAAGCTCTTCCTCGTCATTAGACGATTCTTCGTCCTCGTCGTCACTCTGGCGAGCAAGTCCAGGAATCTCAATTTCTCTAATATCATTGGCGTTGATAGGAAGGGGAATTGAAGCAGCATGTTCATGTTCAGCCAATACTGCAGCTAGTGATGGACGTCGTAGGTCCTCGGGGATCGGATCCTCAGGCCCAACGCTTGCAGCCCTGCTACTTTGGAGTTGAGACTTCAATGACTCTCGTGAAAACGAGTGAGACATCGAAACTGAGGTCGTAGGGGATCGTATTCGCTTCTTCCAGCCTCGCCATAATCGGCCCAAAGTTCTGTCCAGTGCAACGCGCTCCATGTCATTTTCTTCGACCACAACGCGCTCAGCGATGTCTGCCGGCGTTTGCGTGCCGTCTCTCTCTTCTTTCTCAAGCTTGACTTTCAGTCTGTAGTATGCAGCTTGTCCAGCGACAACCAAGACTTGCTCTCCCATGAACTCCAAGATGGAAGTGAGGAAGATGGCAACTGCAGGCGAAACAACGCCAGGATTGTTTGAGAATCGGTTGTTGGATCCTGGAGGACCATCCAACTGGTCTTGCTCGGTATAGAAATCCTCGTCCTCTTCCTCCATGTCTCCAAGAGACGAGTATACCATACATCGTAGTCGAGTGCGCTTCCAGACCAACTCCAAATCCCAGTCTCCGCTCGGTTCGAGTCCATTGTGAAACGCAAGAAGTTCTTCTTCTTCGCCACCACCGAGATATTCGTGCAACTCCTGGTCGGCACCAGCAATCGCCTCTTTGGCGAGTTTTGGCTTCAGCACCTCTGCAACAGCCGGTCGAAGTGATGCGAGAGACGTTGATCGAGAAATAGATAGGAAATTGAATAGAAGCTGGTCCAAAAATCTGTTCACAAGTCTCAAGGCAGGTGGTGCAACCAGTGCCGTCTCTCCAGAAGGCTCAATGCCATGTTGGTCGAACCAAGTATCGGCATGGCTGTCGTGGTCGTTCGTGACAATTTGGGACGCTGCGGATGCCGCAATAAAAGCTGGATCTGGCGAAACGGTTGATGGAGGTGAGAGCAAGCCGCCGAAGCCACCAAGAGATGGGCGGTCACTCGAAATACTTTGTGACCGTCTCGACCTGGTGGAAGCGTCGGTAAGAATTGAGAGTTCGGCAGGGGCCATCGTGACGATTTCACAGCACAAAGAGCCTTCGTTCCTCTGCTATCATCCAATTTCCGTTGATTCGTATCAGCGACAGGTCGAAATCATTTGTCCTGACGATAGAAATCTTCCCGAATTAATGCGATGGTTGTGGGAGGCTGGTTTAGATGGGAAAATAATTGGAGATCAGATTGAACTCCGGTCGAGTCTGTGCAATTGGATATGATTAGCCTCTAAGGAGATCGGGAAAGGCAGAGCGACGAAACAGGGCGAGGGAGAAGGGGGAGTCCGTGTTGCAGGATCGCCGCTGTCGTCAATGCATGTACAATGGGGGATGGAGAGGACTCGGCTTGTGTGGGCTCGTTGCGACGGGTCGCACTGCACGCTGTGTTCACGACAGATTGTGCGACGGAATGCGCATGGTGAACTCGTGGTCGTGAAGTATTCGAGTTCAGCGAGTCCGACTGCTTCTTGTCTGCTCCTCCAGTGTCCGTCCCCATTTACCGCTGTTGTGAGGGCAGTGCTTGATGTGGTAGGTAAGAAAGATGAAACATACCCAGAATGCCGGTCCACTCAGAAGCAGCTATGTCCCAGCCAGAAGGTCCGGAGAAAAGGCGAGCGAGCGAGCAATGGCAGAAGATGAAAGCAATGGAAGGTAAAGTTGCCGCTGATGTGAGAGGATATGAAAACCCCCGGCGCAGCTCGTGTCAGACTCCAGTCGAGTGAAAGAAAATTTTGTATGTAGTGGTTTACAAAGAGCACAGGAGGTGAGGTGCAGGTGGGTGAACAAACGACGGGAGTAACCAGACCAGACCAGACCAGACCAGACCAAACCAGACGAGGCGAATTGAGCGAGGGGGGGAGGAGGAGGAGGTGGGCCAGTAGTACTGTAGTAGTGACCGGGGGAAAACAGTAGACCAGAGTCAGGCGTTCTCGAAGCGAGCTGCCATCCGGATTCAGGGGATAGATACCAGGACCAGGACCGGGACCAGGACCTCCACTACCTTACCAACCGGACCTTGCCTGGGTGGGGTGGGGTTGGAGACTTGGAGTGCGAGTGGAGTGGGACTTTTGCTTGCTTAGGTTGTCTTCCAGCTCAATTTCAGGGACCACCCCAATAATACTGTACTGTACTGTACTGTACTGTACTGTACGGTGCACTGTGGATTCTGTGGCGTTGGATGCGGAGAATATCAGCGAAACAGCGCTCTCTCCGTCCTTGCGTGCTGGGTCGGAGGAGAGGTTGGATTAAGGGCGAGGTCCGCAATCGTAAGTCTTATTTCCTGCTTGACATGGGAGGAGGGGGAGGAAGAGGGAGAAGGAGAGGGGCTGGGAGGCTGGGAGACTGAGGAAGAGGAGAGGAGAGGAGAGGAGAGGAGAGGAAATAAGTGAAAGAGGTGAAACTCGGATGCAGGAGCTGGTGGTTATCAACAAAACTGAAGTGGGTATCTAAGTTAGCTACAGTAGGGGATCTGGAGCAGGGGTTAAAGTTAAAGGAACAGTCCGCAGAGATGATATGATATGCAGCAGATAATGTAGATTTAGATTTACTTACCTACGGAGTACAGGTGCGCTTGCGACTAGACACTCCGTTTCTGGTACTCGAGTAGGTAAATTTACATTGCATTCCATTATTCTTGCCTGTGGAGGCAGAACGCTTTAGCTTTCAAGGGACTAATTCACATTACTCCAGTACTCACTACAGAGTGATAGGCTCGATAGGGTAGGTAAGAGGTAAGGTACTAGGTAGTAGTAGGAGGCACTTCCAACCTGCTACTGTAGATGTCTGCTGTACTGTACTGTGCTACTGCTACTGCTACTGCACCTGCACCTGCACCTGCACCTGCACCTGCACCTGCAGGAGCCAGGCCGGGTTTGTTCAGTTCTCGAACCTTGTTGTTGCTTTGACATGTTCATCATGTTCATGTCCATGTACTTCCAGCTTCAACTTCAGCTAATAGATTAACTTTGACCAAGCAACTCCAGCCTTTTCTTCGTCCACTACTGCTTTCCGTGCTTCTCCTCTCCTCGTATCGCATCGCATCGCACAAACCACAGAACCTTCCTGCCTCCTCATTACTTAGAATGATCAGATGCCACGGCCACGGCCACGGCCTTCCAAGCCCAGGGCCGTGCGACTGGTAAACTCTACCTCCGTGGCACCAAAACTAACATCGACACTAGAATGTTTGAGGAAGCCGATGGCAGACCAGAGTCACCAGACGGGAAAAGACTCTGCATCAGCTCTGTCGGCCCCATTATTATTGTTATTTGACATCCCACCGCTTGAAATAAATCCTCAGCTCCCACTCTGCCACTTCACGCCCTCGCCCTCGCCCTCGTCGTCCATGGTGTTCTCGCTTGACTCGCCCAGCTTCCGTTTATTGAATTATTGGTGGCTGCGAACGCAACAACGATGACCCCTACGCAAGCTTTCCACAATGATCTTCGGATTGTCACCTTTCGCGTTTGCTTCTTTGGAAAGGGGTGCGGCATGGCGCGGTATGGCGCGGGAGGGCATGGCCTGCTACTGCTTTTCATTTGCAGACCTTTGCGCTTCATGGCTTGACTGCAGGTGCTTTGCCGAGAGAGCGACGAGGAGACGGTGCTGCTCCCGGCAAAGTGACCGAAACCAATAGGGTGGCTGCGGCTCCCTTGAAGAAAGCCCGGCGTCTTTACTGAGTTTACTCTCATCCTACCCATACAGAGGCCAGCATTCCAAGGTTAGGTAATTTACCTACTGATGAATTATATCAACATCAACACCCTCCGAAGCTGGAGTCGCAGTCATGTTTAATGTTTAATCTCGATTCAGGTACAGTACTGGACGGAAACGGCTGATACGGGGTTTAGCTTCCATGGAGCCAACAAGACACGCGAAGACGGGAATCTTGGGATATCGGAATGTTGCTTTTTGAAGTTCCAGCCATGACCCCTCCACATATTTCTCTTTGCACCCCACGCACATACCTATGGTTCATGGGATCGGTATTTGTTTCTTTGGTAAGGATTGATCGATCATCGATAATCGATCGAGGGGGATGCTTTAAATTACAGCCTCAGCTACGGCCTCCAAATCCCCAGGTTTTTGCACTCTTGTGGATGTAATGTAGACTATCTCGTGTACTCCTCGTAGACTAACACTTGGCTCTTCACGGCCAATACATGACAAGTCAAATCCCAAATTTGCGAAGCTAAACATGTCTCGGCTCTCGATAAAAATTCTCCTCCCGGGGTGAGACAGCCCTTCGTCATGGGAACGGATAAAAATCGATCGTCTGAAATTTGATGGCGTCGGCGAACAACTTTTGCGTTTGACGGCGGCAACCCCTAGTTCTTTGGATCAGTGAAGGCTGTGAATTCGTCCTGTGTTTTGACTTCAGACTCGCAACCATGTCATAACGCAGTGAAGGGACGTACTGTATAGGTAATTTCTACCCTCTCCCGCTTGTGCAGGTGCAATGGCAGGCCACAGCCAACATTTACAGTGCACAGGGTGGTTCTCTTTGGATAACTCGAGGCTGCAATTGGACCCGGTGGCCGTCTTTGCCTTTCAGGCACATTATTCTTATTGAGTTGCTGCAATTTGCTGCAGGATGCTGCCCATGCTGCAGGATGCGTCGCACCCCTCACTCCTCCACACCAACGCCTGGAGCACCTTGTCCTTTGTCCTCCCAGAACCCAGGACTATCTCGACAGCATCACATCACGTCCAACTAGTCCTTTCATCGTTCACCCCAGCCTCGATGAAGGAAATGCAAGCGGCCCCGATCCCATAACATGGAAACTATGTAATTTAGGATATGGCACAACCTGCACCTCACACATCATGCCTGGTGCCTGGTGCCTCATGCCTCATGCCTCACAGTCGATTTGTGCCTTCCCCATCATGCTTTCGTCCAGCACCCGTTTTCTGGATTCCCTCGATACTTTGCGTGGCCTTTCATGATTTCATCCCAACAATTACGCTTCTGGTCCCAATTGTCTGTTTGACTTCGCCCAGCCCTCTCCGCACCTCTCCCGGCTACCGAAAATCTGGGGCTAATCCGTTCTACTGTCGGCCTTTAGCACGCTACTGCGTTCGAGCCGTGTTACCAACAGAACTACCAACATGTACAAAGCGGAGGCGTTCTTGGCTGGTCCCGTTTGATGTCTTCGTGGCATTGGCTGGACCATTTTCAGAGCAGTTTCAGAGTTAATTTACATTACCAACGACTCTTAACTTCCTAGCCAAACTCCAGTCCCTCAGGCCAAAGCTGAGGACTTTGACGCCGACAGTAAGCAGTGCATTGCGGTGCGGTGAAGTGCGTGCAGAATACCTTCGCACGCCGCACGTCTGTGCCACACCTGCTGATGATTGCTCGGGACGGGAGGGATCAACAAGGGTGCACCCACGGCCCGGATAATCACCACACTCTCTTTGTTAGTTAGGACATCGACTTGACTGCTTCTGTGTCCAACAGTGCTAAAACAACAATGCGAGTCAAAACGGCGGAGACCGTCTACAAACGTGCTGCGCCGCTGTCCTTCCATGGAAAGTATCTGCTCTCACGGTCTCACCACGTAAATTTACCAAACACTGTTGATACCCTTGGACTGTAACCGAGAGTGGGGTACGTACCTGTCAACAACCAGCACCCCTGGCCACCTCATCTGACTTCCTCACGGTGCCTCGCATATCATTGCCAACCTTTTCAAGATCTCGTCCAACGCTCGGCTTCCTGCACGAGAAGGATGCAGGAGCAACGTCTTCGTCCCGAATTGGACACACACATACCTCCCGTCTACCAATCATCTCGCAGGCAAGAAAGCACTCATCCGAATCCGATCTGGACAACTGACGAGATGGATCCGAGGCCAACCAAGCAAGGGCTGTAGCAAGCCGTTCTGCAGGTGTCCAATCACCTGGCACGTACCCAGCAATCTCAAGTGTCCGACTCGCGTTTGTTATTTGTTATAATTTTACCTTCCTGCTCCCATGTTCTATTTGCGTCCCGTGATTAAGTTCAGTCCTGGCGTTGACTTTTGCTGCCAATGCAAGTACTTTTGTTCCCTTTCCCGGGACTAATACCCGGTAATTCTATCCGTAACCTACATTCTGTTACTCTACCTACCTCTGCGTCAAAGCCAATTTCATACCCCTTGCCATATCCTCGTCATTCCCTAAGTGCGTACAATTATTCTCCATCCTCCGCTGGGATTGCAGCCCTTACGTTCTCCCCTCCACATACTTCCAATGAATCTTTCTTGATACAGCAAATTGCGGATTATCGATATTACTTCTCGAGAGCGTGTTGGTGAGTTCGTCCACGGTGTTGAACTGCCCACTTAAGTCTTGCATAAGCGAGTTGGCGAGGGCGTTCATCAGAGGATCTTGGCGGTCGTTGGTGATGGCGCCTATATGTTCCTTGCGTCAGTCATATCTCCGTACTTCAATTTCGTTCGTTTTAACCTAGAAGGTAGCCATGCCTCAAAATTACGCTGTCAGCAATTATGACGGGAAGAAGGACAACTAACCCCCGACCCCATCCTACGGATTCGGATCGCTCAAAAGTGTCTCCAGAATCCCAGTCCGATCCTACTTGAAATCCATCATCAGATCAATCTCCGCCAGAACCCTGCCATCCCTACAACCTTTCGCATATGCCAGCTCCTCACTCTGAGTATAACCTCCCTGTTGGCATACTTCTGTCAATCGCCGCAGCCGGTTCGGTCGATATGTGAGGCAGTTGAAGCAGAAGCGCGAGTGTAGGACTTGGACGTTGGGTGCGTACGGGTCAGGTGAGGGGTCTTGCACGCGGAGGCATGCTGCAAAGAAGGTGCAAATCGGAGTAGGTTTGGATTTTGAAACAGTGTATATTGGGAACGGGGGGGGGGAGGGGGGGGGGTATGAGACCAGGGCAGATGCCTGGGATGTAAGCATGTTTGCAGACGCTGTGGATCCGCTATAAGGTAGCCAATTAGCTTGGTACTTGTAGAAACCTTCATGAGAAATGGGATAAACATACGGGTTTATCCTGTACAGCAGCACCGCCAAAGGTGCAAGCTGAGCAAAGGAGAGCTATTGTTTAAGTATTTTTGTCAACTAATCACATCTCTCCTACTGCTCTTGTCGTCTCAAAGCACGTCAAGAAAACGAACGGAATGCATAATCCAAACGACTTACGGTCCAAAATCTATCTCGTATCAGGACTGTTCCCCGGCATCGTCTGCCACGGCGCAGGCCGATCTCTGAAATGTCCTAACCACTCGTGCTCACAGTTCTGATATAGGTACATGCTATCTTCTTGGTCTGGTCGGTCGCGTTAGTCGGCCATCTTATGTACGCTTGAATAAGATTGGACGAAAAGAATCCTTGTATAAATATTCAATTTCGTTTGAATTCGGCTAAGGTGGATTATAATACGGAATTATTTAGTGGTTTGTGACGAGGCGTTGTGCCGGGCTCGAGGGATAAAGAAGGTTTCCAAAAAACGGGTCCGGACTTTGTGGGTTTCAGAAGACAGGGAGACACATCTTTATCTTTGCTCTGCTTCTTGGACAAAAATTTGCTGTCAAATCACTTTGATAGAGGCTTGTAATTTGACTTGGTCGTCCTTGACAGGGGTGAGATTCTGTTGTTTAGATCGACATAGGTTAAGCGAGGGCGCTGATTCATGAGATGTTGCCCCACATTGTTCGACAAAGTTCGGTGTTAAAAATCCAAGTGGAATCTCTTTATCAAGAAACTATCTTACACGCATTTATCTTCCATCGCATCGCATCGTCAGATCAAAACTATGGTAGAGTCCCAGCCTCTGAACAATATAATAATCTTACAAAAGTTTCACTCAAGTTCCCCACTAAAACTTCCTCTTCGCCAACCTTCTCCCCTCCTTCCGCCCCTGCACACCTACGCCATCCGCAATCCCGTTCTCTCTCAATTCTCCCAACTCGATCTCTCTCATCAGATCATACTCCAAAACATCATACTCGACCTCCATCCCCTGAATCCCCGCCACCAACTCCTCCTCAATCGCCTCATCCGACTTCACATTGAGCCTCTCCATCAAATTCGCCATTTCCCTCGTTACTTTCCCACCTTTCCGGCTCCCATAAATCTCACTCCAATCGAGCGATAAATCCAACGCCATAATTCTCCCATCGCGAACTCCTTCCTCATAGGCTATCATTCGATTCTTGATTTCTTCGGAGATCGGCTTGGCGGAAATCGCTTCGCAACGCGCTTTCGCCGTGTAGTAGATGCGTTGCGATTCAGCCCAGCTACACATTTTGCAGTGCAAAGAATGAATGATCCAGAGCTTTGCTGGTATCGTCTGGTCTTGTGAGCATGCTTGAGATAGAAAGGATCTGCTGCTTTCTGGTGGCTCCCAGAGTTGCATGGGGCTGTTTGGAAACGTTTCTGGTTTGACTTTGCAGAGACATCCGACGTGGCGGTATTCGTAAAAGGCGGCGAGTGGAAAGTCCTGTGTAGGTGGTGCGAAATGGGAAGCGTTGCTCAGGGAGCTGGACGCTAGTGACTGGGGTTGAGACTGAGCGAGCAGGACTGGATCGATGCTAGCATTGCTGGAAGAATTCAGGAAGGTGTCCTCGTCAATGACCATCTCGTCTTCACGGTGAGGCATGAAATCCATGCTTGCTGTTGTTCGATGCCTCGTTCTGAGACGTGATTGGATGATGAGTGGTATCTACGGTGCAGATCGAACTGCTCCCGCATGCAAGGTTGTTGCAATTTTATTTTATTTTATTTTTTGTGGAAGATTAGAGGAGGTGAGAAGTGTTATTTCGTGGAAAATATAAACAAAACAGTGTGACTCGTTGTTCCAAAAGCGCTAGCTTACTGAAAATGAGGCAGAAAGCGGAAAAGACGCTACGTGTGCTGAGGTTTCAGCGTAGAGTAGTGACTTGACGCCTGGACTTAAAGCTATAGAATGCCTGACATCAACATCATCAACATCGGCTGAATTAAGCGACTGTTGCATTCACCTTCCCCCTAACTCATTCACTGTTGAGCAGATCAAAAATTGATCCGCTGGCTAAGAAGGCTTGTCTGGTAGGAACATGGACTCTGTGGCTATGAAGTCCCGGAGATAATTTGCTTTTCTGAGAAGAATTGGTATGTACCGCTCCTATCTGAAGCTTGACTTACTTCCTTCTACTGTAAAAACATAGTTCATCTACCCACACTCTCCAGAACTCTAGGGAGGGCCTAGTCATTGACGATATATCTCCCCCTTTAAGGGATTTGCTAATGAAACAATTTCAAGAGTAACAAATGGTCTTACGTACAGTCGAGAGTCTTAGATGGAGACTCATAGAAACTGTTCAGCCACTTCAGTGAAACAATTACTCTTGAAAGCGAGCAGATTGGGATGTCGTTCATTGCTCTTAGGTTACCTGTTCCTGACACCACCTAGACAGGCCTGACAAATGAACCCCTCCTTAGTGAATATACCACTGGGCCGGATTGATAGCCATCGTCAAACATTGTCCCTGCATGGTAAGTAACCGTCGTGGGTGCCAAGAACCCCTAATAGCTTCCTCGCTTAAAATCCAACCAAAACAACATACCTCGGTATGTTCGAATTATAAAAACGAAAACACGCACTGATCACATTAGGCTCAAAACAGTCCAACAGATAAAATTGAACAGGACTCGAAAGTAAAAGAAGGGCTCCACTTTGCCATCAGAAAGGCGCTGGGCCCGAAGCTCGTTAGCTGGCAACCTAAGTCGCACAGAAAAACCCTCACCTTGATACGCGCGGGGCTGCGACGTCATTGGCTGGTAAAGAGTATGTGCAAATATACGCGGTGAGCTTTAAAGTCATTGACTGGCAAAGTAGTGGTACAGTGGGAGAAAACTGCATACTTGGTTCTCGTTGATAAGTCTTTATAGCGGGTGGCGAGAATGATCGAATTGAGTGGGGGAGGTCACTTCTTGGAGCTGGAGGCCTCGTCAACCAGCTAAGAGAGCGCAGATTACTGAGTGATCGGCTCATGTCGTGCGTAAAGAACACAAGTTCACGTTAGAGCAGTCTGTATAGCGATATCTAGACTGCATTGCATCTGGTCCGAATAGCTGTAAGAGTTTTCTGACGCTGTTGGAGGAAAGCAAATCGATATTGTAGTCTCAATCTCTATCGCTCTTGTCATAGGAGTTATGGCAACAATACTGTGCGAGTCCTAGTGAGAATATCACTTGCGAATGCCAGCATTATTGCCTCAAGTCATGTCAGTTCGCTGTTAGAGTTGTGACATATCCTGTATTGTTAGAATCAAACCTGATAGAGGCTACGTCTTGTAATCCCGAGGAGTTTGACAATGATTGGATTATACCAGCTGTGGTAATGGATCTCTTAGGGTCAGGGAAAGCGGAAAATGAACAAGTAACATCCATCCGAGAAGCCTCACATGAGCCTGGCTAAGTGAATCGTGTTTCTAAGCTTCTGGAGAGCTTCCACCACAACTTGAAAAATGTCTGTGCAAGGGTATCTATTGCTCCCGCCCAAAAAGTCTCGCTTGATCACCATCCTCTCGAACGAACTATCATCTCAACTCCTCAACAATTCAGCAGTACTCTTATGATACCTCCAAGCACACCATTTCCCGTGTCTCGAATTCTTTGTCTTATGCTTATGCTTCGCCTCCTCTTCCGTCCTCACTGCTTCCTTTGTCTCAATCCAATTAGCCTCCCACCTTACCTCCAAATCCTCCACCCACTCTGTCTCGCTTCCCTCTGAACTTCTCCTCTCTTTATTGGCAGCAGGCTTGTCCAGTGTTAGTGGCTTGATCTTCAAACTCTCGCGGGACAGTTCTCTTACCTCAAATTCACCTTCTGATGAACTGCTATCATGAAGCACATGGGAGACTTGGAAAGTTATCTCCATTTCAGCACGATATATACAGCTCGGACAAGCCAATGGTTGTTTGGCGACGCCGAGGATGATATTATCCCAGCAACCGGTCACCGATTTGGAGGATTCGCCTCGCGCGCAAGCTGTGTGTACTTTGCGAGGTCCCCAGTGAGAACAGATGTGGTAGCTTTCCGTTAGCCAGCACATATTGTGGTTTCACTCATCGCCACCAGTGGCTATGAGTTGAGATATGGTCGAGGAGGTGCTTGAGTTGCAGTCGAAGATGATGAAGCTGGAGTAATTAAGAACTGCTTTGGATACCAGCGGAACAGATATAGTTTCCCATATCCTAGATCATTTTTCAATTCTCGTCTGAATGAACCCACTCACAATGAACCGACTGTGCTGTAACCTGTGAGTGGCCGAGTTCTTCACTATGATCAAAGAAAGTCATTGTAGTGAGAGTCGCGAAACAAAGGCATTATCAGTGGATTCCCGTTCTTTTGATAGACAGAAAATAGAGCTGTTCTTTGACACCGGGAAGGAAGAGACAAGAGAGAAGCCAAGCCATTGTTTGACGTTTCGTTATATATGTTTCTTTGTCTGTTGTTAGATGATAGGAACTGTGCTGGCGGGTCGTGCACGTGTTCTGAGTGTTTGGCTTCGTGCATTGTGCTGAGAGAGGCATGATCTGTCTAGTTCAATGTGCGGGTACCGTTTGTAGAGGAAGTAGCCTGGACTGCCTGGTGTGACTTTGTGGACCTGCGAAACAAATAGTGCTGGGAACATGCGTTCACTTGAATAAAAGGAGTAAAAGGCACGTGATGGATACACTACCTCCTGGGCAAACTTGGTACACTACTTTATCTGAACAAATCAAAGTGCTCAATCGATGGTCCATTCCTTAAACTAAAGAAAAACCTTTTGTTAGAGGATTTCCGATGACATAACGTTGTTAAGCTACCTCGGAAACCCGATTATAATCTGGTAGCAGGTGACTGATGGCGCAACTCTCACGAGAACGTATTGTATATCGAATGCTACACATCGATGAAAATTGGCCATAGACACTTGTCTTGCAAGAAACTTAGAGAAGAAGATCGTAGCGAAGATATACGCAATAAACAAAAGGAGCACTCCTCATATTCAGCAACAAATCCCTAATTAGTACCAAATATTACATGAGCCCTATCAAAAACACTAACGCCTAGCTTCCACACACTAAACAACCACCAAAAGAATGGAAGGATCTTTCATTGTTGAGGACGAGGAAAGGGTAAGAGCCAGCTATCAAAAAAAACTTCGAGTACATATCGAAGCAAAAAAGACAACCGCCTATCACCCCCACATGTCTATACATCGTCGCTCCTGTGGCGTGGAGAGCTTTTTATTGAGAGGAGCGAGAGTCCATGCAATTATACCTCCTAGGGATGTAGCTACTGTGAGGTTGTTTACAACATGTAAACGGCGACAGCAGCGAGGCCAAGGAGAGCTCCAGACGAGATAGTGCTGGCAGTGCTAGCTGAAACAAGGGTGTTGTCATCATTGCTACCGCCGTTGGAGCCTGGGGTGCTAAGGTATTGTAAGTATGGTGAAGTTTTAATGGGGACAGGCGAGACCTACTTTTCAGAGGGATTGTTGCCAGAAGTGCCTGGAGTACCTGGGCTACCTGGGGTACCATTACCACCTGGAGTACTACATATTGTTAATCACTGTCAAGTCAGAAAGCTTGGGTGAGCAAACTTACGTGCCGTTGGTCCCTGGGCTGGCACATGGGCAATCCTTCTTACCCTTGGGGCAAGGGCAAGCAGGGATAGTGCCGTTATTGTACTTTGGCTTCTCACCAACGGGGACAACGGTTGGATTGGATGGGTTGTAGGTGATGGTGCACTTCATGGGGCAGTGCTTGACGGTAACCCACTCATCCTTGGTGGCAGTGTAGGTCTTGGTGCCCTCAGTGAAGGTGGTTGGCTTAGGGCACTGTCTCAAAGTCAGAAATATTCAGATGTAGTGACTTGTTGTATCTTATTTTCAAGTCACTCAGGCACATACGTAGGTCTCGTAGGCGGTAACAGTACGAGTGATGACGGAAGTTGTGTTGTCGTAAGGGCCAGCAGTATTACCGAGGACAGGTGCAGCCGCAGCAATGGCAAAGATGAGAGTGGAGGTGAGTTGCATTTTGAAAGAGTTAGCGACTGACTTGGGCAAGTTGAAGATGCAAGAGTATTCAAATGAGAACCGAGAAATGCGAGAAAAGTTGGAAGGAAAGTGCTTCGACGGAAGGGGAGAGATTCTCTTTAAACACTCTGCCTGAGGAGCCAGCTAACCTAGTGGGAAGATGGCTGCAGATGCAGAGTGTGATACTAAGGGTACGCGAAACAGATAGATGATGAAATGCCACTGAATTTTCAGCCTGGACCTTGTCCGGCGAAGATATTGCAAAGCTGTCGAGAACTAAAGTAGTGCCCGAACCAGAATTCCCCCAATGCTTGCCCACACGTTACCTTGGATAAAGCCAACCTTGAGGTCCTTTCCCCACAAAAGTTGGCCATGACCCTGCAAAAAGTGCTTCCAAAAACCGCTGTAATTCAAGTAGCCAAGACCGACTCCTCTTACGTCTCTCTAGATACACCTCTGGCTGCCCAATCACCCCCCAAGTGGGTTTCTCGTAGTCATTCGGAATAGTCGAAGCCTCAAAATATCGTACAAACGCTATGCAATGATCCACCCACCATGCTACCTATCTTCCGGTGCGCCAGAGAACAACCCCACTCTAGTTCGGTGACTCTAGAAGAGGAATCAGTATTTGATCAACAAGGACAAATTTCGTAACATACGTATGGTAATTTTGGTATCACAACCCCCAGCACCGCCAGAAAGTTGATCGTGAAATATGTGAGGTCGTAATGGGTATAATGTGTGCTCAAAAGGAACAGCACTATCGGAACACTCAGAAGGAACTTTTTCGCTGGTGTGTATTGAGCCCCGTTGTCGATTTGCTCCCACATGTTCAGATTATCGTATGCTCCTGCGTTGAATTCGAAAGGAACTCCCCGAACCCAATGAAACATGAGAAAGGAGCCAAACATGTATGAAATGTTGGTCAAGGTCCAAGATGTCTCCTGTGACACGCCAGGAATTATATCGAACAGGACCTTGAGGCAAGCAATGAGAACCAAGTGTATTGTCCAGGCACCTGCCTGAAGTCAGCAAAGCTGGTCTGTGGAATTCGCCGAATATTGCAGAACAACAGGTAGCTGTAAGATCCTTGGCATATTCACAACGGTGTTTGGGGGATTAACTGACCCTTCGCATTTACCCAATTGGCATTCAGATTTGGCAAGGCAGCTTGATCACTCATATGCTCTATCGTCTCCGGGGGTTCTTGATATAACAGACTACTGGATCGCCGCCTCCTGCCCTGCTTTTGTTCGCTCATGGTTCTGTACGGGCCACTCGGACGTGGGGGCTTCGAGGTCGCGTCGTAGGAGACGGTACGAGGGAGGAGTATTGGGGAAGACACTTTGGCGGTAGTCGAAGGAGGAATGGTGAAGGCTGGGGCGCTCAAAGGAGCGTATTTTTGAGAGTATGTTTCTTGTTGTCTCCTGTAGTCAGCACCGCAGGAGAAGAGTCGGATGGGAGGAAGCTTCGTGTCCTAGATGTACAAATATCGTTAGACTCTTATTCCAAGCAGGACACCGTAAAAGAGACAAAGCACGTGTGTCTCGGAATGTGCGGCCGGTGGATAAGGCTCGTGTCCCTGGAAGAGGGAGCTCACCTCTTTGACCAGTACTGGCTGGGGTGCGGCGTAATATTGAGGTGGAAAAGAGCACAGGAATGGGCCTGCCGCGCTGTGATCTGCAGAGGAGGTTCAAGTTGGACGGCGTTGAGAAGCTGCAAGATACGCACGAGGAGGGACGTCAAAGGAAGAAGCAGATGAGATCGAACGGGGAATGGGAATGGGAATGGGAATGGAAACGGAAATGGGATGGAATTGGGATCTGATTCTGGGATGCGGTCGTTCCTTGGAGTTCTGGCCTTGACTGGAAGGTGTGGTTAGTGGTCAGTGGTCAGTGGTCAGTGGTCACTGGCAGGGCACCACAGCGCAGCTTGCAGGGATTGCTAGCGTCTTGGTCGAGGAGGGTGGTGGGAGTGACGAGGTATCGGGCAAAATAATTCAACGCCGACAAGAAGAGAAGAGAAGAGATGAGACGAGACGAGACCAAAGTTACCACTGACCTCACGCATTCCTCCACATCTACGGCCTCAACTTGACGGCAAACCCATCATAGAAGCTGTGTGGACGTGCCGCACTGAATTGCGCACAATATCATACATCCTCTCCAGCAAGGAAAAGATCTGATTCGATCACTTGAAGCTGTCAATTGAAGGTTTTCAAGCAGTTCAAGGCTAATGTCTAGGCCGTCCTGATTTTAGTCCTTACACTCTCACCCTCGCCTGTCGATATTCACCTATGGAAAGATAAGGAAGCATGGCTGATCCGCAAGAACCTGCGGAGCTTGCAGGAGAAGGTGATCTTCGGGAGGACAAAGGCATGCGTCAAGAAGACTCCACCCGTGCCCCCATGGCAGAAGCAGAGCAAGCTACGGCAATTGTCAACGAAGACATGGACTCGAGAACCTCCCTCGCTGGTCGCAAGAGAAACCTGCAGGGGTTGGGCCACGGTGACAAGGAAAACGGCGAGGAGGTGGATGATGAGAGACTGCGAAAGCGTGTCAAGGACCATCAAGATCCTCCACTCGAAGGAGGATTGGTGGCCGGTATCACTTCACCACCTCTGGAGGTCTTATCAGTTGCACAGGCTGAAGCTGATACTGGACACCAATCTTCTGCTAGTGAGCCGTCCGTGTTCAAACTTCTGCAGGAGGAATCGCAGAAGAGCCAAGGCCCTGGGGCAGAGTCACACTCGATCTTTAATCTTATGGGTAAGGGTCCTAGAGACTCCGCGCCAAACGGAAGCACAAAGTCGGCAGCTGTGCCTTCTGCCTCATGGAATGGAGGTATTTCGACCGGACTACGGACTTCTTTTGCAGGCAAAGCACGATCATCATTTGGCCTCAAAAGTACTACAACACCTGCGCTTGTATTTCAAGATACTGTCACGTCAGCAGATCCTGTTGGTGGAGTTTCTGGTACTTCTTCAGTGCTCTCTACATATGCCGAATCTCCTATTGTTCCTTCGTCTAGCGAGCTCAACAAAGAAGAACAGGACAATCTCGATAGTGAGGAGAAGAAACTCCATCTGAAGGCTATCTTTGCTCAGTTCAGAGAACCGGCAGCCAGCAAGGTTGTAATGCCGCCTGTCAATAATGACAAAAATGCTACAGGTAAGTACATCTCGCAGAACCCTGCCACCATCTCGTCAGAACGTGGAGGAAACAGTTCTCTGTAACAACTTCAGTATTGTGTTTCTCAAGTTGCACAACGTTCTAGATTACAAACTAACTTTACATTCCCATTCTTAGGTGCAACTTCCAGATACACTGCGAAAGTAGATGACGACCGAGCCCAGTCATCTACTGCTGGCCAGGATCAACACGTACCGTTTCGGAAGCTGAAAAAGGCCGCGAGAGATAATCTGAGTCCTGTAGACCGGTTGCAATACAACGCTGCCCTAAAGGCACATAATGTCGCGAAGCGGGAGAAACGGGAGCGAAAACGAGGTCTAAAATCTAAAGAACAACCAGCCTCGTCCCTCGAGGAATCCGAAGTGTCAACAGGTTCCCAGAGTCTTGAGGGCAAGTCGCCTAATCCAATCCTTATCACCTCTGATAGCGAAGGACACCAGGACGAGGAGAATGCCACCAAATTGGATATCAGTCAGACTGGACTGAAACAGCCAGCGCCATTTGTGAAGCTAACCAAAAATCAAATCAAATTGCTGAATGAGGAGCAGCTTGAGGAGTATAATCGTTCTGTCAATACTCAGCTGGCCCAAAAGAGGCTTGAGAAAAAAGCCATGAAAGCCCAATCAAGAATTGAGGAGCTTCAACAAGCTAGCGAGAAGGTATCGGTTGCATTCACAAAAACATCTTCTCCATCCTACACCTTTCCAACCAGCCTTACGAAGATGATTGAATCGGGAAAGACATTTTACGCTCGCAAACTGCCTGCAGTGCCCGAATATGGGAACAAGAATGGTAGCTGGAAGCTGTACGAAATACTAAGCACAGATGCCAAACCTCTGCAAATCCATGACGTATCGTTCAACAGGTTTGCTCCGTACTTCTTGAGCTGTTGGAAGGCTGATTGGAGCTCCATGACCCAGAAGGTTCTTACTGCAGCATTTAGTATATATGTCACAAATTACTATGGCCATCTGATCGGTGTCGGCTCTGCACTTGAGAGTTGTCGCACAACAGCCTCAGCTTCCGATGCCATCACTCTCAAAGATGCTAAAGTGTTGGCAAATCAGCTCCTGCAACATTCAGGTCCTCCGCAAACATTACAGACAGTTCCCCTAACCATCCAGCCGGAGTCTGTCAACATATCTGATCCTGGCATCTCTAAGCCATATGTCAACAACGACACTGACACGATGATGGAAGATGCGGCAGATACTGTTGCCTCGAACGCTGGTCATGAGGTGGCTTTCGCGAACCCCCCAGATGCCGACGAAGAGCCAATCGATTTTGACCTGCGTCAAGCAGAATTGTATCTCCAACAGAGATATTACCCATCATCGGATCTGAACATCATGCATTGTCTTGCATGCTCAAAGACTGGCCACAAGACTCTGGAGTGCCCTTTGATGAAGTGTAGTATCTGTCAAACCAGGGGTATCCATTCGGAAGCCATGTGCCCTCAGAAGAAGCGCTGCAACAGGTGCAGAGAACGAGGCCATCAAACCGAGGCTTGCAAAGAAAAGTTGTCGCTGCCCAAGTCTGAGATGTCTTGTGATATATGTCACTCCCCAGATCACTTGGAAATGGCATGCCATTATGTCTGGCGCAGTTTTGATCCAAGACCAGAAGAAATCTTCACCGTTCAGAACATTCCCGTCGAATGCTACATTTGTGGTAACTCCGATCACTTTGGACCCGAATGTGGACTGCATAGAGGTGTCGCCCTTTCTGGGGGTCTCACATGGTCAAAGCATAATTTGAGTATGTATGTCGACCCTTCAAGCAATAACCGTGCAATATCTGCTGGAAAGGACTATTCAATACCACCTAAAGGACCAAAGAGGGGTAACGCGAACGATCCCATCACTATTGATGAGGAGAGTGATGCTGAACCCTTCATTCGTCCCAAGGTCTTGCCTTCGCACCCGAAAGGCGGAAAGATTCAGGTGCAACCAGTGCAGCAGAATCAACAGGCAGCAACGAAAAATGGAAAGCAGAACAAAAGCTGGCAGCCAGCTCCACCATCCCCTCCCTACCAGCGTCATCCGAACCCACCGAGAGCCTCGCGGCCAGACTTCGGATTTGACTACCCCTTCAATAATGCTTCTCAGAATCCTCCTTTAGGACCACGAGGTGGAGGGCCTAACAACTTTGGAGATGCCAATCGAGGTGGGAGGGGAGGAAGAGGAATAGGCAGAAGGGGTGGTGGCGTACCAACCAGAGCAGAACGACGCCGCATGGCAAATCAAGCCGGTGCCTAGGCTCCTCCTGGAGAGATATGAGTCACTCTGCCTGGATATCTTAGAGAGCAGGAAAAGACTAAGACTGCGCTATATGCTGTGGAAGAGCTCGTCGGGTATCATAATTTGTGACGAAGAGTTACTGGGCTCCTTCAATACATCAGGCCTCGAGAGGACACTGATAAGCGCCTCATCTGCACGTTCGTGGACATTACCGTTTCATGAAGATTCATTGTACTGTACGATATGTGGTTACATTTCCTCTATGAGCGTAAGCAGCGACACGATTCTCATTTTCATAAGAAACGCATCACAAGTGGCGTATGGCTGTAATGGGATTGACCATAAAAGAGTCCGAAGGCTCAGGATTTGCATGATAGATGGATAAACGGATGCATGGTAGCTCAGCTCAGCTAATTCATGATCATTTTCTCGCACCATTTGCATACTCTTAGATATTGACTTGTAACATGTCCTGTCTTCGTCCCGGAAGTGTCTGGTCAAAGAGTTGAGTAAACAGGAGTCGATGATTTCCTGGGGGGACGTATTCTTGTGCACTAGTGGGTGGTTACATAAAGCAACCCCGCAAAGTGAGAATTGCCCATCCAACAAGTCCGTCGACTCCAACCCCTCATTACTTTCCATTGTTAAAGCAAGTTGGCATCATAAGCAATTTCCAGAAAGTTATGACCATCGTATCCAGTCACAAGATGTTAGAGTATGAATATCTTCCTCCCATTCCTTAAAGTGCTAAGACAGGCAGGCCATGCCTTACTCCTAACGCCTGTTTGGAACATCACATTGACTTGACCACGCAGTCTCATCTCACTCGGCGAGAAACTCGCTTCAGAAGGCCCTCACAAAACCGAAGACACTCCCCGTCGAGTTCGCGGTCTCTTGGGTGGAAAATACATCTTCGACACCCTTGAAGCTAAATATGTGTGGGAGCATCCCTACTGTTCGTCAACGTCTCTTATTCAACATTACATCTCTACAGTCCAGATCCCCGAACTAATTCGCGTTCAGATCCATACTTCTATATTCCTTACAACACATTCTCGAGTGATGTTAAATTCGAGAAAGTCGTTTCCAAGAAAGGTTTCTACATCGCCAAGCTCACTTCGGGAAGTAAAAGTACAGATCGGGTAATCGTTTTCGAGACTTCCAAAGGGGAACTGAGTGACCTCGTCCGCATCGAAGTATCTGCTCTCGGTATGTACCACTGCCCTACCTTTGCCTCCCCCCACCCCCCATATTACATCTGCGCCAAAAAAAACATCTCCACTAAAGCTCCTTCAGACGCCTGGTTCGTAGAAGACGAGAAACTCCTTGGGCCACACCCGAAAGACCCCTACAAACGTGTAGAAACTATCCCTTCGTCCCGCGAGATCCGCATCGAAGTCGATGGCGTGGTCGTGGCGAAGAGCTCGCAGAATGTATTTCTGTTCGAGACGATGTTGAGGCCGAGATTTTACTTGGACCCGACTAAGGTCAACTGGAGTGTTTTGAGGGAGAGTGAGACGATTAGTTATTGTCCATACAAGGGGATGGCAAAGTAAGTTATCTTTTGATCTTTGGGGTGTATGAGTGGGTCTGGGAGAAGACGGAGAGACTATGATGCTAACGATGAATTTAGTTACTATCATGTTGATATTGGGAGCAAAACAATTGAGGATGCGGTATGGTATTATAAGGTAAGTCTGCTCCTCGAACAATATTTCTGTCATATTGCACATAGTACAACCTTTCCCTCATCAGCTAAGCAAGTCGAGGGCTTGAAGAGGAGCTTTGTACTAACTGTGTGTGAAGTACCCGACTGCTGAATCGGCACTGGTTGCTGGAAGACTGTGCTTTTACAATGAGAAGGTGGATGTGTTCATTGATGGTGTACAGGAGAAGAAGTGACCACATGGGTCATCTCCAAGACATCATTTATCATTAAAAGTCATTTACCGAGGGCAGCACAACTCACCCGTAGAATATGTTATTGACATGTGCTTTGTGAGTAAGGCAGTCCAACTCTGCTCCTTTCTTCTAATCACTCTATGGGTTCTTCTCAATCCCATCTAGCTTTTGTCCAGTCTATGGGCCAACATAGTAGAATATTCCACACCTCTACTATGACTGCAGTTTTGGAACTACCAAGCGTTTTGGGCGTCTCTTCCGGTATTCCAATATCACGAAACACTGCTGTCTTTGCATTAATCTTGTATATATTACAAAACCCTTGCTACTTGAAGAATAGATCAGGAATTGTACTTCGGGTCCGACTTCTCTGGGTTAGGAGTTATGAGATTAATGGATTGGTTGGGGGCAAGGATGTCAACAATGTCTCGCTTATAGAAAACCACCCTTTTTGCAAGGCATAAAGTCAGACTTACATATGAAGCAATCCTGAACGTATCTAGAACTTAATAGTCTTCTAAAGAGAGTATTGAATACATCCAAAAATGCATCAGGAAGTAAAATGGTACCAGAAGCCCGAAAGGCGGCAGATAAAGGTACTGAGTGCACTCGACGACATAGATACCTTCAATTCGGATCTGAGTCAAAGTTATAGCATCTATGAAAGAGATACGATTACATAGAGCATTAAATTTTCACTTTTAAGAAGAGAAAATCAAGCCACAAAATACTTACCCAGGTAAGTTAGCAGTTGAAGCTGTGGATTGTATCACGTGCAGAGCTCTTTACGCGGTCGCGTCGCGTCTTCTCCAGAATTTCAAACTTCAGCATCATCACCACCCAACGTCCAATCCACACAACCACTCCCAAAATGGCTCTCCTCGTCGATAAACACCGCCCCCGATCCCTCGATCAACTAACCTATCACCCTGAGCTCTCAGACCGTCTCCGTTCACTCGTACGTCCCTTCTTCTTCTCTCGAATCAATCTAACCACTTCCAGGCGCAAAGCGGCGACTTTCCTCACCTCCTAGTCTACGGTCCCTCTGGCGCAGGCAAGAAAACCCGCATTGTTGCAACACTCAAAGAACTCTACGGGCCCGGCGTGGAAAAGATCAAAATCGACTCCCGTGTCTTCCAAACAACCTCCAATCGCAAACTCGAATTCAACATCGTCTCCTCCGTTTACCATCTCGAAATTACACCCTCAGATGTCGGCAACTATGACCGCGTTGTGGTACAGGACCTCTTGAAAGAAGTTGCACAAACGCAGCAAGTAGATACGTTCGCCAAGCAGCGTTTTAAAGTAGTCGTTATCAATGAAGCCGACCATTTGACGCGAGATGCCCAGGCGGCGTTGAGGCGGACGATGGAGAAGTACAGTCCGAATTTGAGGTTGATATTGTTAGCGAACAGCACGGCCAATATAATTGCGCCGATTCGGAGTCGAACGTTGCTGGTTAGGGTGGCGGCGCCGACAGAAGGGGAGATATGTGACGTGCTAGAGAGGAGTGGCAGAAGGGAGGGTTGGGCAGCGAGTAAAGGGTTGAATGAGAGGATTGCGAGGGAGAGTGGGCGGAATCTGAGGAGAGCGTTGTTGATGTATGAGGCGGTACATGCGCAAAAGTGAGTTCCTCTCTACAAAGGGCGTACACAATCACAGATAACTAATGATTCCCAGCGAGAAAATAACCGACACAACACCCATCCCACCTCCCGACTGGGAAGCCCTCATCTCTCAAGTCGCCTCCGAAATCATGCAAGAACACTCCCCAGCCCGTATCCTCGAAGTCCGCGCCAAACTCTACGATCTCCTGACACATTGTATCCCTCCTACGACTATATTGAAGACCCTGACGTTTAAGCTGGTCACGCAAGTGGATGATGGGTTGAAAGCAGATGTGATCAAATGGAGTGCGTTCTATGAGCATCGGATTCGGATGGGTACGAAGGTTATCTTCCATTTGGAGGCGTTCGTGGCGAAGTTCATGAGGATTTTGGAGGAGTATACTATGGAGATGGATTTCAACTAGGGACGGGTGGAAAAGAGCCCAATGTTGTCAGATATTCTGGGATAGCGGCGTTGGTAGACAGGTATGGCATCTGTGGAGTAATGGGTACGAGTATATTAAGAGTTTTAGACATGTCTGCTCGTGAAGTAAACATGTTTCGCTTCCAGACCTCATCTTATGGATGATCTGGGCTACGTGTAAGGTCTTCAACCCGCCTTTATGTCGCCAGTAATCGGCTAATGATACATGTTTGATAATAATATACTGTAAGCCCCTCGATGACTTGCGGATACGGATTTACTAGATGTGATTCCTCTCAGGAGATCTCATCCTGTCAATAAGCCCCTCCAACATCCCCTATCTAAATCTGCCCCGTCCATATAATATCCAACCGCTAAGATTTCACTTCCCCATCTTCCATCTCACTCCTATCCCTCTTCCGTCCAGCTGAATCAAGAGGCAAAATCTTAATTGGCTCCTCCCTCTCCAACATCTCAACACTCAGTCCTCCTCCACTCGGTCCCTCCTTGAGCGTCGGCGGTCTAAACTCCCCATCCTCAACCCGCCACCCTTCCCTCTTCATCCTCTCCCACTCATTCTTCAACGCCAACTTGACCAAATCCCCCGCTGCATTCGCATCCTCTTTACTATCATGGCCTTCCATTTTACCATCAACAACAACCTGGATATGCCGGTTCAGATGAGTGGCCATGAGAGCTTTTAGACCATTGCGGTAGGGCAATCCTGCTTTATGAGGGTACAGGAGCGCGGTGTCAATTATGGTTGGGTGAATCATGCGGATGGCGTTGAGGTCGTTTTCGAGGCCGTGGCCGATGAGAGGGGTGGCAGGTGAGAGGTACGAGAAGAGGAGGGAACGAGCTGCAGCCGGGGAGTCGACTATGCGGAGTTTGGGCTTGGAATCCTTAGGTGTGGTTTCGTCTGGCATGGAGGCTGACCAGGGTAGAGCAGTAGCTATATCTTTTGGCCAGACTCCCGAGTAGCGAGAATTGAGATCAAGTATAGGACCCATAGGACGAACGAGGACGTCGAAGAGAGGATCTCCTGTGGGCCAGGACGTAGCAGTCAGACGAATGAGTTCGAGTCCGTAGACTGTATATCCCATCTCGCCATCGATACAAACCGGTCTATCGGATACTTTCTCCAGATTCTCCGGCGTTGTCTCGAAATTCAGAATAGCAGCTAATCGCTTAACCTCCGTGATCTTGAAAACATGATTCTCGGAATGTGTACACCCAGCTGAATCACCCATAGATTCTCCACAACATCTGTATTTCTTCTCTCGCTTTGCTTTGGGCTCAGCTGGGTTCTTGTCTGGCCAGTACGGCTTACCGAAATGGTAGGTACATTTCCCACCCGATGTTAGAGCGCCGTCTTCTTCTCTGCGGCCGGGGAAGACTTCGAAGCGGGTTTTGCATCGATCGCAGACTTCCCAGCCTTTGGCTGCTTCAATGCCTTCTTTCGCGGTTTGAATCTCGGCGTCTGTTGGAATGCTCGGGACATAGCCGTGTTTGACTAGCCCTGAAATGGGGGTATAAAGGCGGCGAAGGAGGGCGAGTTCTTCGTGGATGTTGAGACCGGTTTCGATTACTACTGGGGTAGTTGTAGGCTTGATGGTCGGGGCGGTGGCTTGGAGTGCCGCTTGTTTTGCTTCTTCTTGAGCGACTTCTTTTGTTCTTTCGTCGACCCATTGTTTGACGCTCATGCGTTTGTAGGTCATAATCTTGTTCTTTACAAGATTTGAATAGACAGATTGAGAAGCGGCAGCAATTTCTTCGAGATCCAAAGCTCGTATGATGAGTTCTTGATCGGAGAGGACGAGTTTCTGCTCATTATCGCTTGCATCCTTGCCTAATTCCGAGTTGAGTCGAACAAACTCCGTATGAAGAGCCTTTAGTAGCTTGAATCGTAGATCGTGAGATGCCGGGGATGGGTGCTTTAGGACACGTGGGTTCAAGCCTTCTTTTTTCAGTGGTGCCTTGACTGGAGCTTTTGGCGTAGGCTTCGACGGATGAGAAGCAGTAGATGAAGCTCCATTTTCAACCTTTCGCTTCAAAGGAGGTGGTGAGATTTCTCGAGTTGCTGCAAAACTCTTCTTGGCTAGCTTTTGGATCGGCTTTGAGATCTCTTTGTCCACCACGGCGGCATTTCTCTCAGACAATGGCCTGTCATTCTCATCATTGAGCTTTCGTCGTTTGCGTTCCCCACCGTAATCACTTTTAGAGCTCAGATGATCCTGAATTATGTTTGCTGGGTCTGAATCCCTCAGCTTGGGATCAACGTGCTTGAAGATACATCTCGGTAGGTTGCATGCTCCCTGATGTGGACAAAGAACCTCTGAAAAGAGGCCTTTGGCAGTGAACATGACGACCTGTGTTGGTGGTGACGATGAGAGGGATAACCAAAAGTTCGAGTTGCCTTTGCTGGTCGAAGATACTGTAGAGCTCTCAAGATTCGAGGAGCAAAGATGTTCTTGCTATGTCATGTGGTCTGAGGAGCTACGCAAAGCTGAAATTTTTGAATCATTGATCCGATAAGTAGATCAGACTGATTTCAATCGACCGAGAGCCGGTGGGAGTATGGATCCAAATTCAGAGAACTGGTCTTGAGATTGGACCTGATCATGTGGCTCGTGAAAGCCCTGGATGGTTGAAAGAGAGTTAGGATCTCGGATCTTGGGAAGCGCCTTGCTCCGAGTCCAACTAGTTTGAACCCATGTAACTGCCTGAACCTCAAGTCCGTCTGTTAGTTTCCTTCCTGGACGATGTATCTGAGGCAGTCGGGATAGCTTTGCGGTGTCGATGGGATGGATAAGGGCGAGGATCGATTGTCTTGTTTGCTGAAAACAGAAGCTTTGAGGTCCAGGATGTTACCAACGCCACAAGTTTAGCGAGAGAGCTTCAGCCTCTGTGGCTTGACCTTATTTACAATTCTAACCATGGACTTGTAGGGGTCCCAGTGATGTCCATTACAGGCATCTGTTCCCCTGCAACATTCCAATGCCCGATATCCGGATCTTGTCACACAACACATTCCCATCTTGGAAATGTGTCTCATGTCTTGCCAGCAGGCCTTGTCTTTCAACGACGACTTAAAGAACTCGCTTGCGCAACAAAGAATCATTTGGCCTAGGTAAGGTACGTAATTGGGATGGACATAATACCTACCTAAGGTAAGGTGCCTAGGTATCTACAGATATTAGAATCATTCATGCTGAATTACAGAATAAATAATATATCTTCGGACTTTCCCTCCGAGTACACATCGACATTCACCACCTGGACCCTTGCTATCAAGTGAATGCTGGGCAGTTTGAGCGGTGAGTGTCCTCAACCTTAACTTAATCCTTATCTTTGCTGCCTTATCGACGTGAGCTCTGATTCACTTGCGCAAGATAACAACCAAAACATCCCACCCATCTCTTCACATATTCTGTCCTCTTCCTCGCAAGATTCGGATTTTACACAGGTACACCTGCATTTGTCCTGCATCATTGATTGTCCTGCACTGCACTGCACTGCACTGCAGAGTGATCCCAGGGTCTCTCTGCACACCCAGACACCCTCCCTACAGCGCCCTATCGTCATTGTGCAGGCACCTGAACCCGTCCTACCCACTCACTACACTACACCACGCTACAGGCCACTGGAGCCCAGCGCATCGGCACGCGGCGCAGCCCAGCCAAGCTCGTTACTGGTCAGCTGTTTGTCTCGACCTCGTTCGAGGCAGACGCTGTCCACCTACAACTATCGCCGCATTGCTCCCCTTCACTGTCTGTTGGGACCGGGCCTTCCTATCGACTACAACAGTCATGGATTATACCGGAGGAGGTCGTGAGGCCCAGCATCTTTGTGTGCTGGTTCATGGGTATGCTATGACGTCCTGGATCTCCAGTGTACCTTCACCGTGGACAGCATGCTGACAAGACAATCAATAGCCTATGGGGAAACCCAAACCATCTCAAGGTGATGGCCCAGAGCCTTCGAGCAAAATATCCCGAGGAAAATCTGCACATTCTCGTCGCTAAGCGCAACTCTGGCAGCTTTACATACGATGGGATTGAACGTGGTGGCGAACGTGTCTGTTTTGAGATCGAGGAAGAGATAGAGAAGTTGGCACGCGCGGGGCAAGAAATCACACGGATATCTCTAGTTGGGTATTCCCTGGGAGGACTTGTGGCCCGTTTCTGTGTTGGCTTACTCGATAGCAAAGGATTCTTCGAAAAGATCAAGCCGGTAGTATGTCAATCCTGAAACGTGGAGAGGAAGACCCAAGTCGGAGTCAAGGGCAGTGTCCAGACCCAGTGTGGTCGTAGATTACGAAGAGTTGAATGTCGCTGACTTTGGCAGAACTTTACCACCTTTGCTACTCCTCATCTCGGCGTTCGAACTCCTCTCCGCGGATGGTTAGTACGCTTGGGTAATATAGGCGGAATGTATACTGATTGGATATAGGCACAACCATGTTTGGAATGTCTTGGGTGCACGAACACTGTCAGCCTCTGGGCGACAGTTGTTCACTATTGACAAGTTTCGAGAGACTGGCATGCCTTTGTTGGAAGTTCTGGCAGACCCCGAGTCGATCTTCATCAAGGGACTGGCCAAATTCGAACGCCGAACCCTCTATTCCAACATTGTCAATGATAGAAGTGCGGTCCACTACACTACCGGTATCACCAAGACTGATCCCTTCACAAACCTTGAAAAGGTCAAGATCAATTATTTAAAAGGTTACGAAGATGTTATTATTGATCCCGAGAACCCAGTTGCGCCAGTCGATCCGGAAGACAACGATACTAGTTTCTACAGTAGTCTCATCAGAGGTAGCCAGACCACTGTTGGGAGAGTTCCGTTTCTGATTGCCATGATATTCTTCATCCCACTTGGTGTCGTCGCATTCCTGATCAATTCTGGTGTCCAATCTTTCCGAAGCAACAGAAGGATCAGACTACATGAGAGAGGTCTTGCTGGTATTCAACCTGGAAACTACCGTGTCCCACTTCTGATCACCGGAATGCGAGAAGCAGTCGAAGACGTGTACGAGAACCTCAACAGTGCCCAGAGTCATGAGTATCTCGTTGCAGGAACCGAAGAGGAAGCGGCTCAAGAGGAACCAGGCTCTCCTATCATCGAGCGAACTCAATCCCATCTGCGATCCAAGTCTGATGTCTCGGTTGGAAAAGAAAAGACTGATCGACATGACCCTCCAACTCTTGCCCTTGCGCCCTACCAATTCCGTATGATTCAAGCTCTGGACAGTGTTGGCTGGCGTAAGTACCCCGTGTACATTCACAAAGTGAGACACAGCCACGCTGCCATCATTGTTCGAATGGAGAAGGCCAGTTTTGACGAAGGTCATGTCGTTTTGCGACACTGGCTTGATGAGGAGTTTATACTGTGATCCATTTCACTCGAGTTGGATTCCATCCAGAATCTCCATGAGATAGGCATATGATGATTGGTACGAAGATGATGGGTATTTCATTGGCACTTGAGTGAGCGTTTTTCTAGATGGTCATATTTGCTTCCAGCGACGGGCGTTACTCTAGAAGCGGCTTTGAAGCTTTTCTTTCCATTTACAGTCATTCCGAGCGTGAATATGTAAACTAGCAACGAAAAGCTACGTGCCTTGCAAGCTTCCTGGTCTTTGATGTGCTATTGTGCGGCAAATGACATGCCTTAGTTGAGTATGTCGAGAATGTTTCGACTCCTAGGACTTTAGTCCAAAGCGATCCTGTTGTGGATACCGCTCTCGGGAAAGCCATTTAAGTACCGTACCAGCTGCGATTCATGTCCTTTGCCTCGGAGTTAGCACGATCTTACGTTGCAAGCAGACTTTCCAAAGGCCACCTGATTCTTTCTGTTGTTCCAGTGGAGGGTGTAAGACATGGCAGAAGCTTATCTTTGCAGAATATTGTACATTTATTTGCTATACTATCCCAGGATCACGCATAGACAGTGAAACTAACAATATTAGTCACTCTTCCCCTTCCTCTCCCTCTACCCGTCCTCTTTCCAGATCTGCGCTCACTCCTAGATCCAAAGGATCCATCAAACTCACTGTCGAAGTCGTCTCCCCAGCTCTCTCCGAACAGCCTACCTCTCTTCCCTCTTACTCTAGGGAACTCATATTCATCACCAGACCACTTTATTATCCTGCGATCTCGACTCATTTGACTCGAGTCCCATTCCGGTTCAGACCAGACCGAGGAGTCGAAGGCCGTACTCGTCCCATCATCGAAGGATATAGACGAAGCTGGTGATCTGCCTCTCGTACTCGAGCGTGTAAAGCTGGGACTTTGCTTTCTCACATATCGAGTCACTCGCCCACTGTACTGGTCGCCTCTCAAAGTCTCATCACTCTTCTCGCTGATCTCATCAAATGCGGTCTCACTCATGAATCCATTTCTCGAACGTCCCCGTCCTGCAGAGCGAGCATACGAATTCAGCAAATCCACAATCGCAAAATCGAACCTCCCACCCGCATCCTTGACAGCTTCGTCCAGCGCCGCCTCAACACCTTCATCTCTCCTCGCCCCAGCTCTGAGCAAAACCTCAATCGCTTCCACAGGTCTACTCTTCCTAACCGCAATCTCCAACGGCGTCTGCGCCATCTCATTCCTGCAATTCACATCTGCCCCAGCTTCCACCAAGCACTCCAGCACTTCCTTCCTCGCCCACGCAGCCGCAACACTAATCGCAGTCTCTCCCGCCGTGTCCCTACACTCAATCGTACTGCCCGCCCCATGGCCCGTCAAACACCTCACCAAACCCACATCATCCAAACAACACGCGGCCATCAGCGGCGTCCCTCCCGATCCATCTACTGCGGCGTGAATACCGATCCCTGAGCTGAGAAGTAAGTCAACCATAGCAATACTACGATTGGCAATCGCTTCCGCGAGAGCAAGTTCTCCAGACGACGTGTGCAATTCCACAGCAGCGCCGTGAGCGATGAGGACTTTAGCTGAGGCGAGAGAGTCGTAGTAGGATGCAATATGCAAAGCCGTCACGCCTTCTCTCCCATTCCTACGATTCCTCATCTCAGAAGAAGCTGCAGAACCCGCTCCAGACCTCGAAACTCTGTCCACCTCCACACCCCAAACACACAACATATCGACCACACCACTCCAATCCCTCCTCGTAGCCCAATGTAGCGGCTCTCCAACAGTCAAGTCAGCACCCCGCGAAATCAACATCTTCGCAATACTCTCTCTGCTGTCCTTCTCGCGTATCGCAGCTTGGAGCGGAGATATTCCTTGAGCATTGAGACCGTTGATATCGGCTCCGTGGTCGAGGAGGATTCGGATGCATTCTTTGGAACCGTGGGCGATGGCTTGGTGTAGGGAATGTGTTTTCTGAAGGAGGGAGATGGAGTTGTGAGTCAAGATGGAGAGAAGAGCTGAGTGGGAGGAGGTGCTGATTGCGTGGGAGAGGGCGAGGGTTGGATCTGGGCGTTTGGCAGAGGTGCACGAGGACGTATATCTCCTGCTGCTGGTGCTGCTTCTGACACTTCCGTGATCTGAGAGTGAAGAGATGGAGGGGTAGACGTGTCGTGCTTGTCCTGGGACGTGGAATGGGTCTTGCCTTCGGAAAGACGGTCTCTTAACGGGCTCCATTGTTGGCTTTTTCGGTAGGTCGGGAATCTGGTCAGGCTGGGAAAAAGAGAGCAGGTCCGGCCTATTCGACGTGATATCGTGCGCCAGAGTTAATGATTCCAAATTGAGGAAGAATATACCGTCCAGATCATCCAGTAAAGCTGTCAGGACAATCGGCTTGACATAACAAACTCAACCAAGATACTTCGTAGAACAATCAACATATATTCATATTCTCTAACTCCCATTCTCGGGAGGCAAGACAGATAAGTCTCATCACCATCAGGCTGGGCTCTCAGAGCGGGCGCGTTCACGATCGGTCCACGCCCGAGAGAAGTGCCAGTCTCTCTCTCCTCAACTTGTACCAGCCCAGGGCACACTTTGTGACGAGGCTGCAACATCCACCCATTCAGCTGCGATGCGGTGCGGGGTGAGAGACCTGCATGCCTGCTCTGCCTGCATATGCATGTTCCTCATGCAGGGCCAGGGCACGAAACGAAACACCTGTGTTCCTCCTGAGCAAGACGCAGCCAATCGCTTAAGGAGAGCAGGGCGGCATAATGAGGCTTAGATGTGCTTCTTAGATACAGTACAGGAACCGGGCGATTAAATTGCCTGGTATTGTTCCGGGCGAGCGATGGGGATGGACGCATGAGATGAGTCCACTTCCAGTCGTTGGGTCCGCGTGAAAGATATGGGAAATGTATCAGAATTCTGTAGGCTGAGAGACTGTCACCCAGTTTTGACTTCAGCGCCGTGCTTCGCCTTTTTCCAGGCTAAGCGAAGGCGGCCCTCCATTCGCTTCGAATAGGGGCTCGACTGCTCTATGGTTAATGAAGTAGAGCTTTCAGATAGGCGAAGGCGTATGAAATGATCACCGGATAGGGGAACGAGTAGTCTTGACGTTTATTTCATTGTTGTTGGTATTGAGAAATTAACCTTGCTCTCTCAAGGAGCACATTATGAATTCATGTAGTATCCCTCCTATCCATGGCAGCCTTGCCATCCGTCCATCCGTCCATCCTCCCACTCATCCCATCCCCATATTGCCTGAAATGTAAGAGGCGAATCAACACCCGGCCCTCCTTCCTAGGACTAATAAAAGCAAAGAACTCCTTCCTAGCCTAGCGTCGCTCAGCTAGGCTGTTTAAAATGACTCCGAGAACGTACATACACCAAGCTTGACTTCAAAGCCCAAGAAAATCAGATACCCCATCGAACGCCCCGCCCTAGCCCTAGAGATCATAGCCAACCTGAACGCCAAATGCTCTTCCCTAGTAAAGCAAATTTTCGAACGAACGAAGCACCCGTCTAGAATGTAAAGCGAAAGTGAACTGCAAATTAAGTTATTGCTGCTGGCGAAGCAAGTGGTATAGTGCCAGCTGTCTTTGGTCGTTCTTCAAGTTCTGGAATCGGTAACTCGTTCGAATCTTGTCGTGATAACCTGAGTTTCTCGTCGAATAATGAAACCAGTCTGTCAGAGTACGAATCTAGCAATCCTGTCAGGACTGTCTCGCTGATGGCTTTTGCCTTCAGATTCTTCTCCCCTAATGCCATTGCCGTGAGGCGCAGCTCTTGGTCCAATTCCTGCAAAGCTTCCTCCCTTACTGTTTCGGATGAGAGCAGTTTCTTCCGATATGCTCGAAGTGTTCGACAGGCTTGCTCTGTCGCCATATTTAATGTGCCGAACTCACTAAAGTTTCCTGTACTCTTTGTTCTTCCTCGGGAGTCAAGCGAGGCAAGTGACGGACGTCTCATATCCTTTCCTTTCGGACTTGGTGGGCTCCGTGATCGATTTCGAACCGTACGGCGGATACCTGAATCGTCAGACGCAGAGACGAAATGCTTCGAGTTTACGGTAGGCACAGGTGGGGCCAGTGTAGGAGATTGCGTTGAGAGTCCATATCTCGATGTTTTCCTTCGAACTGCTCTCGGTGGTGAACGATTACCTGTTGGTGTCGAAAGAGGTGAGGCTCGCTGAAATTCGGCTAATTCTGCCTTTGAAAGTACTCGTCTGAGCGGCGGCCGACTCGACGCTGTGTCCTTGGGAGGAGATGGATCACGATTTATATTCGCGTCAATTGGTTCCGGAAATTCAGGTGTCCTGGGAGAAAGATCCCAGATCATGATCGTCCCATCAGCTCCTGTACTGATAAGAGTTTTCTGGTCAGAATCAGGGATTTCGAGCAACGCCACATCAGTGACACTAGCTGTGTGTCCCCATTCTCTGTCCAGGAAAGAGCCTGTGTTTCCGTCATATATTCTGACCGACTTGTCTGTACTCGAAACTCCGGCAAGTATGGTTGGCCGTCCAGGGGAAACGCTCGGCATGCCCATAACCAGAGAATCCAACACCACAGCATCTTGTGCCTCGTTATCGCTAACCTTGAAGGAACTGATAAGTCGCCCACTAGATATCTCATAGGTTGCCACAGTCCTGTCCAGTAAAGAGACCACAAAGTTGCCCATCTGATCCGCAAAACAGGCAGCCATCGATACTGGAGTTGCCTTGAGTGTGATGATGCGGACCGGTACCGCTCCCATCACCTCCTGACCACCCACATCTTTCTTCACTATCTGTCTGATGTGAATTGTTCTGTCTGTAGAGCAAGAGATCAACTTCTCACCATTCTCTGCAAAGAACAGGCCGCAAACGCTGGCGGAGTGGTCGTCCAGTGTCTGCATCAGAACCCATTGATCTGACATCAACCGGAACAGCTGGACTGTACGATCTCTACCACAGGTTGCTATTAATGTGCAATCTTCGGTTTCGTAGATTGCAATATCTTGAATGTTCGACATATGAGCCCTCGTTTCGAAGACACAGCTCTGGGTAACTGGGTTTATCACTCTCAATACCCCATACCTATCTCCAGTAACCAGAAATGCGACTCCTTTCGAAGCGCGCACAATTTGACACTGGTTCGGAAGTTCTTCCTCGTTTGCTGGGAGCTGTTCTACTTCCACTGCTAAGGAAGCTTTACTGCTACCATCTAGATCCCAGAAGACGACAGTACCATTTGCAGACCAGGTTAGAAATGCAGCTTTCATCTCGTTGTCGGGTGAGAGCAGCCTGACACCAAGTACCGAGTCACCATGCGCTGGAAATGGTGTGTTCTGCATTTGGGGATCCGCATCATCTGATCCTGGCATTGATATCTCTATCGAATGTTTTGAATCGACAGTTATCAAGCTTCTAGCGGCGTATCCCATTGCACAGAGACGTCCGGCGTCATTTGACGGGTTAGACTCCACGACCGAAGGAGTTGGAGATTCGGGAGGTGTCGCAGGATTCAATAAATGGTCTAGGCTCATCGACCTCACGTTCCCATTCCGTCCTCCGATTCGTACTCTTCTCGCTTCCGTATCCACGGCGATACATGTGATATTGAAACCGGTGGTCGCGAGCTTCATCAGTCTTGAACCTTCTGTATCGTCAAGTAAGCATACGTCCCCCTTCTCAGAGCAGACGATTGCTTTATGTTCCGAGATTGCTGCCAAAGTCGTGAATGTCGCCTCTACCAAAGGACCAAGTAGGACATTTCTTCCTGTCAAGGTCTTCAGGGTAGGTATTGCTGGTAGTGGTATTGGTGTTCCATCAAGAGCAAAACGCTGTTTTGATGGTGATACTGGCCGACTGTCTTCCACTCTCCATATCTTAATATGTCGAGTCCCGATGCTATTAACATTAGATGTGCATTCCCAGAGCTCCTGAAGTAGGCTTACGTGACTATACTGCTTCCCAGCCACACCATCTGCTTGATAAAGCTGGTGCATTTGTTACTAGAATGTAGTTTCGCAGCACCCGTTCTCTGATTGATCGACCAAACATAAAGAAATCCATCGTTTGGAGACCCCAAGCTCGCCAGGTATTTCTGGTCCGGACTGAACGCAACAGCGCGAACACCAAATGTATGCTCGTTCAAGATCGCCAAGGGCCTGTCGGAAGAAGTATCCTGGAGAGAAAATATGAGAACTCGAGGCGAATATCCTGTCTGCGCAATGTCAACAAGCGGTAAACACAGCACCCACACCAGCAACTCCTACCTCGCCAACGGCTAGAAACCTCCCATCCTGGCTTATGGATAGACATGTAGCCGCCTTTATCCTCTCCCTGCTAGTCCACGTCTTGGAAGCCGAGGAGTCACCCCATTCCAAGCTCGTATGTGGTGTAGAAGGAGAATAAGGGACCACCGAATCGCGTAGAGCTATTACCGCTCTATTGCGGCTATCGTTGGCAGTATTCGTGGGCGTAGAAGGTGAAAAGGATGTCGCAATTGCCGTATTTAAAGCAACGGCAGTCGGACGGGCTCTGAAGAACCGCTGGGAGTATTTCGAGGTATCGTCAACATTGACCACGACAGCTGCCGCACCAGCTGTGTACGCAAATAGTCGGGAAGATGAAAGGCTGTCGAAAGCGGTAGGCGAAGAGACTGTGGTTCCAATTATCCTCTTGAGAGATAATCCGGACTCGTATAACCCGCGAGGCTTGAATGGTGAGCGTGGTGTACGTGGGAAGGGAGAGTTCGAGGGAGTGAGTTTGAGGCCGAGTCCTGTATTTGCTGCGAATGTTCGCTGGTTCGACGGAGTTGACGCCATAATCAAGCCATGAAGAGGTGATCAATTGGACTCGGAAGCTGGCTATCGGAATCGATTCGTGATCTCGAGTATTGCCTCTCTGTTCCTGAAAGAAAAGTGCGAGGTATTGTCGTTGTCGCTTTCGCTGGGGTGAGCTCGAACATGGGAAACAAATGCTATTGTTTATTTTGTCTTAGACTTGCACGACAAACAATCCGTTAATGGTTTAGCATTGTACTTACAGTGGCAGATCGTCACGATCAAGAGCTGTAAAACACGACGGCGACAGAAGTGAGTTGAATTGAATTGAACGACAGTGACAGTGAGAAAAGTGCAGTGACTAAACTCTGTTTTCGAGGATGGAGACTCGTCTGTATCTAAAGTGCATCCGTGCCCCAGCTTGCAGAGGAGCCGACGCTTGTCAGCCCGGAGAAAGGCCTGTGCGAGCGCGCCGCTTGCAGCGTGTTCAGGGGGCCACAGAGGAAAGGTTCCCTGTAGCAATAACGGGCAAGCCCTCAATGTCACCACAATGCCGCTGTTGAAGCTCCTTATTGGCCACCACAGAACATCTCAGTCCTTAATTCAGTGGCTATCACATGGACATGGGATGTAGTCCTGACGTGCAAGTTTTGTTACCTATCCGAGATCTCTCCTTATCGGTACCAACTTTTCTTCTTGCAATATGCCTCTCGAAATAGCAAAAAAATAGTCAATGCGATGTGTTTCCCCATAATCAATGGCCAACATTTGACAAATAGAACGGCTTCCGTGAAGAAACTTCAATGTCATACATCTGCTATGGATATAGCATGAACCAATCAAATTATGTACAGGGTGCTACTCCTAGGACTGCCATTTTCAACCAAGATCCAGCTGAACCATGGTTTACAGATCTCTGCAAGGCTACCTTTTAGCATGAGAAGATGCTTGCGCAGTCTTCCAGCTGCAAGGCTAGCTTCCATCTGTACCGCCAATCACTTTGCGGAATCCAGTACCTCTCCAATACCGTGTAACACCAGCATAACTTTCCCAAATGATCCTACAACATCTTATCAGAAAGGCTTCCAGCCTCATCACCAGACTCAGGCTTCTGTACAATCCGTCTGGCTGTAGTAACGAGAGCTGGAGGTCCTGGTCTATCCTGCTCAAGTTGCTTTCTCAACATCCATTCTGGCTTTCCATTTCCAATACCTAGTTCCCTCCACTTTTTAGGCGGTTTGACTCCCAGGTCCGCATATCTGGCCCAAATAGCTTCTCCCCTCTTTTTCCATCGTCGCTGTCGATCCGTCTCCTCTTCTGGATCAGGTGTCCATTTGGACTTGAGAATTCGGCGGATGGACTCCGGCGATACTTCGAATTCCTGAGATAGTGCCCAAGTCGTGTAATATTCCGGCATTTGGGCGTGTAGAGCTCGGATACCTGCCATTGCGTCCGGAGATAGCTTCTTCATTGGTTTGTATCCGTCTGGGTATTTCGCTTTGATTCTCTCCTTCTCTATCATCCAGGGTGCTCGTGGAGGAGGAACCCAACCGTCCTTAGGTCGTTGCCTGTCATCTTCTCTGCCTCTGGGGCTCCTGGATTGGGACCTTGCATCCTTTAATAAAGAGTCCTGCCGTGGAGGAGCCCGAGGGTTATCGAAATGTATTGTCAGACCCGTGTTACCGGTTCCTCCAGTCCTCCTTACTAATTTCTTTGACCCATCCTCAGCCGGATGTGTATCCGTTTTCGTGAAGGTTCTGGCATTTTCGCTTTTCCTTACAGCCCAATCTTCACTCTTGGATTTTTTCTGCGGCATATCCTTGAGCAGAGACTCCAAGGGCGTTTCATGTTCTGGTTCTCTCTTCGGTTCCGTTTTTTTGGCTGGCGAGTTCAACGGTGATTCAGCTAAAATGGAATCTATCGCATCGAGTGAAAACTCCACAACTGGATTCTGAGAAGTTGCCTCTGATTGAGGCTCCGTTGTGCCAGCTTCGAGAGATGTTGCAGAAGAGTAAGTTCGTCTGGATGAAAGAGGTGTGTTGAGAGCTCGAGAAGTTCCAGTTCGAATTGGAAATCTTCGCACTTGGTGCGCTGCTTGCCTGGGCAAGGAGACATCTACATGTGCTACATTTCGAATAAAGAAGCTGAGGGTATTAACAGTGCAGCGGCAAGTCATCGTCGATTTTGTTGTGGACTGGTAAAGGAGAGTGAAAAAGTCCAAGCTGCTTGCTGTACCGAATATAGGTGGAATAAATTTATTCCGTACCCGGTTATCGTTGTCTTATCGACACAAGCGAGGCAATTCAGGGGCTGTCGATGGAGTACAAAGTCTGACAAAATAAAAACATCTCGGTAACGGAGTCTGGTGTTATTATTTGAAGTTATCCATTTTAGCCTCAGTTTCGGAACTATCAGGGGTTTTATGTATCCGAATGCTGCCATATGTTTTGAACAGTTTATTGCCACCAAGGCCTTCGCTTCCGAACGTGGAATCAATGATGCTTCCATGTGATCCCTTCATGATGGCGGGGAAGTTTACCAACCCTCTACATACTTTCCTAGAACGAGAACATTCACTTAGTGGCATACAGTTCCATTATACTTTTCTCGTTGGATATTTTCGCTTCCTAAATATTGATCTTTCATTTCCTCTATTCTTGCACATATGTCGTGGACAAACCCGTTCAGGAGGAATGATGAAAATACTCGCCATGCTTGGGGATATACTTTTCAATGGACGCCTCAGCATATGGTGCCAGAAGATATGCATCATATGAAATTCTCTTATGACACACTGGGAGAAGAATGTTTGAATCGTAAGCAAATTATCTTTGGCATTTGCTCCTAGGGACATTGAATTGTCAAGCTTTACATTTGCCACCTGGATGTGTACGAACATCCACCTGGACAACATTCTGGGCCAATATGCTCTACCACGACTAACAATTTACAGGCCTTGACAAGATTTCACCACCTACTACAGGTGAAATCCCTCGAAATCAAAGCAGATTTCCCTCCAAAGAGACAAGCGAAATTCCGAGAAGAGACTTGTACGCTCTGTTACGAGATAATGCTTCCTCAGATGAGAAACTAGGCCAACTATGGAAAGAAGTGAACACTATTCCGGACTGGGTGGACTGGGACCAAATTGCTCGAGGTCAAGATGTATTCTACAGATACGGAGGAGTAGCTTTCACAGCTGTAAGTGGTCTCATCTCTGCCGTCGAGCCATATATTGACAACATCAAAGCTCGCATATCAATCTCTACTAGGAGGCATGGGAGCAGCAAGAGTATCCGAAGTCCTCGCTCGAACAGGTGGCTTCTCAACCAAAGTCGCCAAAGCCCGAATGTACGAAACGACACAACATATCCTGCAAGTAACACGCTCGATTGAAGCAATTCAACCTGGCGGCGAAGGCCATGCTTCGACCATCCGAGTCCGCCTCCTTCACGCCGCCGTTCGACGACGTATCATGACCCTTGCAAAGGAGAAACCGTCTTACTACTCTGTCTCAGACTTTGGTGTTCCCATCAACGACCTCGATAGTATTGGAACTATCAGTACTTTCTCTTCCACTTTGATCTGGGTCGGTTTCCCGCGGCAAGGGATCTGGCTCCGTAAACAAGAAATTCTGGATTATCTTGCGCTGTGGAGATTAGTGGCGTACTATGTCGGGACGCCAGATGACTATTTCGCCACGCCGGAAAGTTCAAAAGCTATTATGGAATCTTTGTTGATTTCGGAGATCCAGCCGAGTGATATGTCGAGGGTGCTAGCGAACAACATCATCCTTTCGTTGCAGGGACAGCCGCCCGCTTATGTTTCTCGGGACTTTCTAAATGCGAGCGCGAGGTGGCTGAACGGGGATGATTTGGCGGATGAGTTGGGCTTAGGGAAGCCGAACTTGTACTACAAGGCGTTAGTTGCTGGGCAGTGCTTGTTCTTCATGTTTTTGTGTTACACGAATCGTTCGGTGGCATCGTGGGATAGGAAGCATGTCAAAGTATGTAGGACTGCGAGATTTGAGTGATTTACTGACAATTACAGGCTTTGAGACGCATTTTCTACCACGTTATTGTTGAGAACAAGGCACATGGTTTAGGGGAAGAAACGAATTTCGAGTTCAAGTATATTCCCAGTCTAGATACTACTACCTCCATGGGAGATTATATATCTGAAGGGAAGGAATCAGTCGTTGAACGACGGAACTTGCAGGCGTTTGTCATAGGCAGTACGATCGTGGGTTTAGTTTCATTGATTGGGCTTCGGATGACATGGGGAGTTTTCGGTGGCCTAAGGGCGCTGTGGATATCACGGAATTAAAGAGTAAATGGAAATGGTTGTTATTACAGCGATGAGATCTACTCTCATCCAATGAGTTCCTATTGTACAATTTCCATATTCCTCATCATGCAAACGCCAAAGACACATGCTCGATGCAAACGCAGAGCTTCCCTGGTACGCCACCAATGAACTCCAGATGCCATCTCAAATAACCATGCTCGGTTCCGTTCCCATTCTCATGACTTCTGCTCCATCAACTCTACGGGTGGCCGTGACGTATGCGCAAAAATAGGCTTCTCTTGTTCGATCGGGCTGATCTCATTCTCGCCTGTCAGATCCTCCACCGAAATAGCCGGCAAGTTCGGACTGTGGCCATGCTCGCTTGGGTTGTAGATGGTGGTACTGGAGCCGCTTCTCGTCCTGATGACTCTGCCCTCCTCTCCATCACTGATCGGACTGGCCGGCAAGTCAGTTCTAGGCTTAGCATGCAGCTTGGCCAAGGCCTCCGCCAGATCCTCTGCATGTACCAGCTTATTCGGCGCATCCTCGAGCTTCATTTCCCAGCCGTGAGGTGGAGATGGTGGTGGCGAGATGAAGAATAGCTTGCCTGCGTCTGGCAAGTTCAGGTGCTCATCCTTGACTTCGATGGAGGTTGGTTGGCCGAAGTAGACTTTTACGCGCTCACCCATGATGGCTTCACCGTCGAGAATCTGGCGGATTCGGATGGCAGATGCTTCATCGAAGAAAGAGACAATAATGCGTCGGAATGATTTGAGAGGTGCCCATGAGTGGATTGGGGCGGAGGTGTTGATAAGCTCTCGGATGGTTTGGAGGTTGTCGGCGCGGAATACCGAGGAATCCTGCAGGTTCGTAATAATGAGAGTGTTTGATGGAGGTGTGGGCATTTGCAAAGGAGGAATTGCAGAAAGATCGATAGACATCTTCACTCTTGATGCGCGCGAAGATGGTCGAGATGTTGGTGGCGAGTTGGGAGAGGTGGGGGAGGATAATGTATCGGTCGACATCTTTGAAGGTTGGTGTTGAGAAGCTTGTGCTATCGCATAAAGAGTTGGTTTAGTCTGTTGTATTTGAGTGTAGTGCAATGCAAGTGACTGTTGTGAGTGTCAAGCTGTTGTCTTTACCAGAAAGATCTCAGAGGCATCTGGGTGGTTTATCTATCTTGTCGGTCAAGTGTCAAGCGTGGATGCGGCAATGCGCTGGAAGCCGAGATGTGCTTGGCCTTTCGAGGCTATGCTCTTGAACGGAAATTTCTGACCACTCAGCCCCAGCCAACAGCACTTCAAGACGCAAACAGAGACTTCTGGAACCCCACAGACTGACGGAGCGAGTCCGTTGATTCCAACCTCTTACTCGTGCCGTATCCTAAGCCTCTGTGGAGCTGCTGTTCCGTCATCAGTAATTTTCCCTGCCGAGCATAGTCTCTCGCTTGTTGTCAACACTGCCCGTCAGAGGATTGGCTCGATCGCCCTCACGACACTAGGTATGCGCTCTATCACGTTCGAGAGAGGCTTGGCCATGGAGAGAAAGAATGCGGAGGAGGAGTTATCCGATCCATTCTGGCATACGTTGCGGCAGTTGTGGATCTGTCGGATTGTTGAGAGGGGCTGGGTAAGGGTTTATGCCGTTAGTTCCAATTATCAAGGAAGTTCTTCATTGCTGGCTCTTGGATCAATAGTCAACTCAGCTTGCGTTGTAGGGCTGGTACGGTCAAGATCTTTGACGCCCTCCTGATCTCACATGCTCAACAGCGGCAAATCCGCTTGAGAATTGTTTGGTATCTCCAAGCGGTCAAGAGGTGGCCATGAAACACCTTCGACTGCTGCGGCAAGAAATAAGGCGTTCTGTGAATTACAATCGTGTTTGGTCATTCATTGACATGGGTATCCTGATCACCAGGGCAGTATCAAAAGTGTCATATGCTTTTTGTGTTTGTTTGACTTTTGGCGGAGTAACTGGAGGGGCTTTGGCAAGACAAGACGGCCGATCTCTGGACATCGACATCGAGGTCACCTAAGAAGCCTGAGGTGACAAAGCATGTTCACTGCCTCTATGGACCACAAATTATACTTTCAGGACAATTCAAGTGGAAGAAGTCCAAGGCAGTGTCAAATGAGTACGTTCACGTGACCGATCAGTAGCGTGCCAGATGCGGCTTTCAGATTCAGCCTCGAAGACTCGTAACTCCAATCTCCCTACACAGCACCGCAGCGCAGTAAATTGGATACAGCAAAAGGCTGAGCTGTCAACTATACGCCAGCCTTGCAGACCGCCTACGTCTCCTCTGTAGAGCTTTCGCCATCGCTCATCCCTTTTACGATCCCTCTGCTGCGCGCATACCTGGTCTTGCCCAAGATGGATTTCGACCCCATGGTGATGGACACGGAGGCTTCTGGGCCATCTGTGAAAATTACTGAGGTAACAGCTTCTGAAGAGGCGATCAAGATGAAGCTCACGCGCGATAGGTTGGTTCCGATCATGTTGACTTTGAACTTGAGAATGTCGACCTCGCCTTCGCGAATTCCTTGCGCCGAGTCATCATGGCCGAGGTCCCAACAATGGCAATCGATTTGGTAGAGATCGAGGCCAATACATCAGTTCTGGCAGATGAGTTTATCGCTCACCGACTGGGTCTGATTCCTCTGGTGTCAAAGAATATTGAGGATGTGGCATACACCCGCGACTGCGAATGCGAACAGTACTGCGAACTCTGCAGCGTCACCCTGAACCTCCAGGCAAAATGCACCAGCACAGATATCATGAAAGTTTATGCGCGGGATCTAGTGGTTGACCCAAGACGAGCAAACCAATGGGTGGGAAATCCAGTCATTACGGATCCAGAAGGTCAGGGAACCGTGATTTGCAAGTTGCGCCAGAACCAAGAGCTTCGAATCAAGTGTATCGCAAAGAAGGGTATTGCTAAGGAACATGCGAAATGGGCACCCACATCCGCTGTTGCTTTCGAATACGATCCAAACAACAAGCTGAGACATACAGATCTATGGTACGAGGCGGATGCTGCGTCCGAATGGTAAGGTTGAAAGGACTTTTTATTGGAGAATCGATGTTGACAATCCCAGGCCAAAGAGCAAGTACGCCGATTGGGAGGAGCCAGAGCAAGAAGGCGTGCCCTTTGACTACGATGCCGTCCCAAGCAAATTCTACTTCGAGGTTGAGAGTGTGGGAAACTTGGACCCGGATGCCATCATTCAACAGGGTATCAAAGTTATGCAGACGAAGTTGGCTTCTGTGATTCAAGAATTGACTGAAGGCGACGAGGGAGCGAACGGCATTAATGGATACGAGGACGGACCAAGAAGTCCAGATGTCAACATGAACGGAGGCCAGAACTGGGGAGACGATGCAGGTGGCTATTCTACACCTTATGGCAATGGAGCTGCCGCTGGTCAATGGGGAACTGGCGCGGGTGCTGCTACACCTTACGGAGCAACACCATACGGTCAAAACGGAGCAAACGGATGGAATTAGAGGCAGTTGGCTTCGTTCTACATTTCAAATAATAAGTTCTGGGCCAACTAGAAAGACTGTACCACCAATTGCATAACTGGCAGGCGTTGGGAGGAAAATATTGGGCATTGAGGGGATATGGCCAAAATAGACCAGAGAATGATATTATGATGATACCCTATAATACAGAACAGAACGCCGGTGTTATGCCTCTAATCTATGTGTTCCCAACACCGCAGATTTGCAAAAACTCCAGCGCCTCATTAAGTCACCCAGTGGTGTTCCCAGCATATCTAATTACCAAACCTTCATCAACCATGACACTGCTCAAATCGGCTGTTCTCCCTCCTCGATCCCCTTCAACTTCCTATAGATCTTTTTATGCTGCTCCAAGAATAGGAACGTAGCAATGGTATGTGGACCCAGGCGAATGAATGACGGTACCCAACCCCTAAACATCCATCCTACACCCTCCATCTTATACACATCTGCCAGAAGTGTTGCCAAACCCTTACTCTCCTGCGACGACATGACTCTCGTCTTAATCACATCCACCGGCGAGCATACCGTCGTAGCCACAAAACCAGCCAGGAAAGAAGCAGAGAAGTGCGTCTTGAGGTTGTCCTCCATGGGCGTAAACTCAATCAGCACATTCTTAAACCCATCATACGAAGCCAACTGACTAGCAGTCATGAGAACAGCACGCATGGAATTAGGCCACACGCCTCGGAATAAACTCTTCCAGCCTTCTTCCCTTGTCATACGTATCAGTCCATCCACGGCATTCTTGTAATTTCTCCTCTCTGCCACAGGGAGCGCCGCATCGTGCTGCATCCGCACGTTCAATACATCTGCCGGATTTCCTGCTACACCTCCTATGAATCCGGATGCCGATGCCATGGCGATCAGGGTCGGAAATGTGGGCTTGGATTTCTGGCCGGATTTGAGCTCCTCGTATATGCCGAAGCGGGTGGTGGAGTAGGTGATTTGACGGAGGAGGGAGGCGCTGAGTCCGCGGTAGAGACCTAGGATTCCATCTGTTTTCAAGACGTGCCCGAAGGTTCCTATCATTGTTTTGGGCGCATCGCCGCGGCGGGTTTGTAGGCGGACCTAGATGGATAAGCTTGGGTCTTGCTCTCTAAAGTTGCACTGTTTACCTTGACTTTAAATGCGTTAGTAGATCATGATTGCTTGTAGGGTGGAAGGACATACCTAAATCCAAAGGATGTGTCACACAAGCTGCAAAACAACTCGCGCTTCCCCCGAACCAAAACGGATACCGCACCGGATCTCTCTTCGCAGGAGTCCTCTTGCGGACCTGCTTGGATGGCTTCAACGCTGTCTCGGACGACATGATGGTATTTGTTCTTGTCTGAGCATTCCGTGTCGTTTCTTCAGAACGACGCGACGGACTCGTGGGAAGGACGAAAGATGGGGGTGAGGACTTGAGGAGCTCCTCGTTCGCTCGTTTGTCTTGGGATCAAAATAAAAAAAATGTCCGAGAGCTGCAGACCCACTGAAAATGACTGGAGTGCTAAGGTTACAATTGCGAATTGAGTTCACGGCACTGGGTGAAGATCGATGATAGAACCATGAAGAGTTCACTGAATGTATTGAGCAAACACTGAGACTGCCTATGTAGGATGTCAACCCTTCTCTTCCGACAACCTCGGAAACTTGCCTCAACACCTGCATCGTCATCGGTGAGCTTTCGCTTTCGTTTCCTGTATCGGAGCTGGCCACGGATCGGAATAACCAATGAGCCTAAATTGTTCTTGGGATTCTGAAGCTTGGGGAAGCTTGAACGAATCTTTCCTGGAAAGGTAACTAGCTTTCCTTATTGAAAATGCGAACTTTTATGAGGAGACAACGGGTCTCGACTGGAAGTGAAGCGCTGTCTCTTTTCATTGGCCTTGGAAATGCAACTTCGAGACGGATTGGGAGATGTACACAATGCCTGCATAATTCTTCCAGTAAGTGATTCAACATGCGGCGAACTTTACTAATATCTATAGCTTCACAACCCACTATTCAACTCGAAGGGAAATCCTACACCAAGGATTCATGGCACAATCTTGCCCCAAATATAACCTCCTCCATCTCCCGGCGTCTCCACATTCAACCCGACCACCCCATCTCCCTCACCCGTTCAATAATCGAATCCAAATTCCCCACCCCAACCTACAAATACCACAACACCTTTTCCCCTATCGTAACCACCTTTCAGAACTTCGACTCTCTAGGCTTCCCACCAGATCATCCCGGGCGCAGTAAAACAGACACATACTACATCAACGGGCAGACCGTCCTTCGAACACACACCAGCGCCCACCAAGCAGATGTCTTCCGCGCGAACGAGAGCGAGGGATACCTCATCTCCGCAGATGTATACAGAAGAGATGCAATTGATAGAAGCCATTACCCTATCTTCCACCAAATGGAAGGAGCGCGTATGTGGGATCGTAGGAAAGTCCCGAACAGGGACATTGCTGCTGCGGTGTGGAAAGACATCGCTGCGTTACCTACCCATGAGATGAAAGTCGAGGATCCGAATCCACCTACACATCCTGAGCGAAACCCACTGCAGAAAGACCACTCGTTGGAAGAAGCGGAGGCTATCGCTGCGCATTTGAAGAAATCACTAGAGTTGATGGTTGTGGAGATCTTTTCGAGAGCGAAGAAAGCTGCTGTGGCTGCGGATCCCGGGTTTGTGGATGAGCCGCTGAAGGTTAGATGGATAGAAGCTTATTTCCCATTCACGAGTCCATCCTGGGAACTGGAGATCTTCTGGCAAGGCGACTGGTTGGAAGTTTTGGGCTGTGGAGTAGTAAAGCAGGAGATTCTCACAAATGCAGATGTGCCTGATCAATTGGGTTGGGCATTTGGAATCGGTCTTGAGAGGATCGCTATGCTTCTCTTTGAGATTCCTGACATCCGGCTTTTCTGGTCACAAGACGAGCGATTCCTCGGACAATTTAAAGGCCTGTCCCAGAACCTGGACAACCTGAAGCGATTCGTCCCATTCTCAAAGTATCCAGCGTGTTACAAAGATGTTGCATTCTGGCTTCGATCTTCATCATCTGCAGCTGGTGGCAACACCACGAAGAACTTTCATGAGAATGATGTGATGGAGATTGTAAGAGGAATTGGAGGGGATGTTGTGGAAGATGTACAGTTGACGGATGAGTTTGTGCATCCGAAGACCGGGAGGCGCAGCATGTGCTATAGAATTAACTATAGGAGTTTAGAGAGGACATTGACAAATGCGGAGGTCAATGAATTGCACGAGCAAGTAAGGCATGAGCTGGTGAAGGAGTTGGGAGTTGAATTGAGGTAGAGGTGGTTGTACGATGGTCGCTGTGCATTGATGTATCATAGAATACCCAGACATGTACTCTGCTCATGCTACATTTCTTGGGGTAAATTAAAGCTTGTAATAGCCAATTGGATAATGCAACTGATTGGAATGATCTTGTACTCTTCTGGCTGTAAAGAAACTGTTGAGCTCACCCCACATACGTCATGAAGCATTGAGAGCTTCAACCCCGCAAGAGTGATGAAGAAGCTGGAAACAAAAACACCTTTCTTGAGAGTCAATTGTGTCTCTTTTACTTGAATGATTTAAACCCTCATAGTCAGCTTAGCAAATAAAACAATCATATCCCACAATGTCAAAAGCAACGAACACGAAGCTCATGGATACTGAACCAGGTGGCGAGAACACACAGCAAGTGTCCTAGCTCCCCAATATAAAGGAAAAGAACTTCCCATCTGATTGAGTTGCTACTTAGATATGAATCCCAAGATACATTTACCAAGTCCCCCAAGAAATCAACTGGTCAATTCGGTGGTTCGTTCAAATCCTCAACTCCTTATCATCCCCATCCACATCAACTCCGTCAACTATAAACGCGAATCCACATACCACCACTTACCCCTTCCCAGCTACCGCAGAAACCGAAGACAACGAAGCCGACGTCCACCGCGCCTCCCAGAAGGCCGCTCGTGGCGAGAAGACAGCCGAGAATGTAAGGTTCGGAGAAGCTATCAGTGAGCATGGATTTGGAGGGGAGACGGTGGGGAATACAGGGAGAGCGAATAATAGTTCTGGAATGAGTACGGGAGGGAAGGAGGGTGCGAGTGGGAGGACAAGGAGGAGCCAGGGGAGTTTTGGGGAGGGGATGGATTCTGAAGAGAGGGTTAGGTTGGAGAGGGCGAGGAGGGAGATGGGATATGAGGAGGGGAGTGGAGTTGGTGGATGAGTGAGTTGGATGGAAAGCGAACCAAGGTAGAGGGTGAGGGAATGAGGAGTTCGTCTGATGAGCTGATGATTGATGAATGACTGTATGAGAGATGGATAGTGGAAAGTGACTGCTTTGAAACTGAAATGACAAAATGAAGATCGAAATTGAACGCTATGGACTACCATCCATACTTTGAAGTAAAGAATGTGATAGTCCCGTAGCGATATGAAAATGCCGTTACTACCCTATTCATGTTCTCTGACTAGTCATTTGATCAGTACTTGCCTATCGCTTTATGTCTACTAGGACATTGCAAGAGCGAATACACTTGAAAGCTCCTCCACTTGTAGGAGACGATCTATCCGCTTGGAAGAAACAGCGTTGCATCTTCAGCACGGTTGAACGGGGGAAAACAATCCAGTCCTTGGTACCTAACACAGTGAGTCGAGTTCCATGTGAAAATGTCCATAAGTCCATCCATTCAACGCAATCTAATACTGTACAGCCCCAAGTCTCCCTGCCACCACATGTTGCTAGCCATCAGATATTCTTCATGTTGGAACATCGTCGGCTAAAATGCAACACAGACCTGATTACAACTGAACCATGCTAGGAATCTATTCCTCATCACCGAACTCCGCACGACCTGGCTTGGAGTTCAAGTATTCATTTCTGTCAATGTCAGCGGTAATCCCTGTTGCATATGAATGCAAACAAACCTCTCAATAGCCCATTGCATAGTAAGGTAACCGATAATCATAGGAGGAGCAAAGTAGAGGACTTGGTGGCTGAATCGTCTCCAGGTGTTGAAAATGGCTGCGTTAAGAGTACCAGCGAGAGGGCGTTGACGGTTGGCACTGAGTGCGAAGGAGTTGATACCCTTCTGTGTTTGGGAACCTGAAGGAATTGACGTTAGTAACTCTGGTCATATTACCTCCTGAAGTCCTTGGCTCCGCAAAAATCCACGGCTCTAAAAGTTCGGTTTCGGCTTGATATATCGTGGGCCAGACTCTGTGCAGTAGATCCACGACCGAGCAACTGCCTCAAAGGTGCGAATCTGTGATGCAAAGTCGAGATCCAGAACCTGCGTCCGTTCGCGATCCAGTCATCCAACCATCGTGGATGCCCCTTAGCACCGCAACTTTCGTTCTTTCAGAATCGCCTATATGCGTCCTCGAAGGCCTTCGTATATCAGATGCCGTGCCCGTAATCCAGTCCAGTTTGCCGCCTCGTCCATTAAAATATTTGCAGCGAATCCGACCGGGCCGAAAATCAACACCCAAGAGCTTTCAACACTCACCAAGGTTACCCCATCCTCCCAGAAACCTATGAAAAAAAACCAATTAGTATCTGCCTACGTGCAACACCATCATCTATAGCTTCAATGCCTCTCCAAAGCCCTCTTGCCAACCCATCGGAACAAACAGGAAGAGCTTTTGCTGCATCGTAACTCTGGAGCTACTCACTTTCCGTACTTTCCAACCTCTCCATCGCCACCGGATCGCAGAATTTGAGATGGTCTCATCGTGACTGTTGTGTAGAGAAGCGACTGGTCGTTCAATTGTGAGTGCAGACGTGGAAATGGAGGTTCGTCGTCTTGAAAGATCATGTCGGCCGTTCCCTTGTCGCCAAGGCCGACTACCCCGGGCTTACTAGCGTATTTCGAAAAGTAAAGAGATGTTCATCACTGAGCTTCAAGACAGCCGCAAGCTACAGCTCGATTTCGAATACCATCACGAAAGTTCGCAATCCACAGTCCATCCGTCAAGATGGCTCAAGCACTCCAGTCCCTGTACAAATACGCCATCCCTCTCGCTGTCGGAGCTTCATTCGCCCAGGCCTCCATCTACGATGTTAAGGGTGGCACTCGAGCGGTCATCTTCGATCGATTGTCTGGTGTGCAGGAGAAGGTTGTGAACGAGGGAACACATTTCTTGATTCCGTGGTTACAGAAGAGCATTATCTACGATGTACGGACCAAGCCAAGAAACATTTCCACGACTACCGGAAGTAAGGACTTGCAGATGGTGAGCTTGACTCTCAGAGTCTTGCACAGGCCAGAGGTTCAGAACCTGCCCAAGATCTACCAGGTATGTTGTACGGTATTCAAGTGAAGAGTTGTGCTAATAAAGAGTAGAATCTCGGCCAAGACTACGATGAGAGAGTCCTTCCCTCCATTGGAAACGAAGTCCTTAAATCGATTGTCGCCCAATTCGACGCCGCAGAACTCATCACCCAGCGTGAAGCTGTCAGCAACAGAATACGTACCGACCTCCTGAAGCGCGCTCAAGAATTCAACATCGCTCTCGAGGACGTTTCCATTACACACATGACCTTCGGCAAGGAGTTTACACGAGCTGTTGAGCAGAAGCAGATTGCGCAACAAGATGCTGAGAGAGCAAGATTCATTGTCGAGAAGGCAGAGCAGGAGAGACAGGCCAACGTTATTCGTGCAGAGGGTGAAGCCGAGTCCGCCGATACCATTAGCAAGGCAGTTGCTAAGGCAGGTGATGGTTTGATCATGATCAGAAGAATTGAGGCTAGTAGGGAGATTGCTCAGACTTTGGCTGGTAACCCGAATGTTACGTATCTGCCAGGTGGAGGAGAGGGAGGCAAGGAAGGTGGTGGAAAGTTCTTGTTGGGTCTGAGATAAATGGTACGATTGACGAGTATGAAAAGTGTAACAACAGCCATAGCAAAATTTAATCTCTCCCCTAGCCCGAGTTGAAGTTATCAACTCATTGACTTGTTGGCAGAATTGATATTTTGGACCAGTAGGCGTCGAATGCAGCGGCTTACGATATTTCCTTTGTGTTTCTCGTGTGGTCAGCCTCCAGTGAGGAGGACTGGTGGCTTTTATTTTAACAGCTCAGAGACTGTCAATTGCGTTACATGAATCTGTCTATTCATGACATATTTTTAGTCGTGTTTTAGTACGTTCCATATGCTCTTTGGGAGCAGACTTGTTAAGCCGGTTTACAAGGAGCTGCACTATCAAATCCTCTTCACATTTAAACGTCACATATTTCTAGCATTTGGCGCCTATGCCACTTAGGCTGGTCGTACGATCCAAAAAGTCTGGAGACGAAATAGGTCGGATAAAACGGTCTTGATCCGGCGCCAAGCGGTTGTCCATTTGCTTGTCCTAGGTCAGAGCCCAGACTGCCCAGGAAATATGACGGACAGTGCCAACATCGTTCACTACAATTTACAAAATCCAAGCAACAATGGCTGATTTTTTCACCTTTATACAAACTAGCTTTATTGGCATCCCAAATGTACCGGATCCTGTCTTGGACGTGTTTAGGTCCATACTAAATATTGGATCCGACTGTCGGTCCCAAGGAACGATGACGGAGAGCTACACAGAAGCCTCCACCATCAAATAAAAGCAAACTTTCTTCTTCCACCAGTCTGTCATTACAGAATCCTTCTTCATTCGGTACTTTTACGTCTCAGCTAGGAGCACTTCGAAACCAGCCCCATGACGATAAGTAGTTGTTTCGAATCTCATTAATATACAATGAATGCCCTCAAGAAGGCTGGAAAATGGCTGGCTCCGGCTCCAGAAACCTCTGAAGATGGACGGGATCAGTGGCCATCAAGAACATCGTTCATCCTGGCTTCCATGGGCGGCTGTGCGGGAATGGGAAACCTCCTTCGATTTCCCTCCCAAGTTTACAACAACAATGGCCTGCAATGGTTCATACCATATCTTATGGCGATTTCCATCATTGCCATTCCTGTTCTCGTCCTCGAAATTGCCATTGGTCAGGCCTATCGTGGGGGCTCCGTCATTGCATACAATAATATAAATCGTCGTCTCAAGGGTGTTGGACTTAGTCTTCTCTACACAGCATTTGTAGTCGGGCCATACTTCGTCGCAAATCTCGCTTGGATCATGATATATTTCCGAAACTCTTTCAAAAGCCCTCTGCCTTGGACTGGCCGCGGGCAGGAATTCTACATGGGTGATGTCGTTGCCAACGTCGCGAGGGTCGAAGTCGCTCCAGGATCGGGTTACGTTCAGTATCCTGGGACTGCTCTGATCGGAGAGACTGTTGCGTGGTCAGCCTTCACCTGGTTTCTTGTCTGGCTATGCATCTTCAGAGGAGTGGGCTTGACAGGTCGAGTTGTCTACTTCACAATGGGATTGCCAATCATTATGACGATTGTCCTGATCGGTCGCTCTGCATCACTTTCAAATGCAGGTAGAGGTATCAAACTCTACGTTGGAGAATTCAACGCCGACCAACTTGCTAGAGGTCAGATCTGGCAGACTGCATGTGGACAAGTCTTCTTTTCCACTGGAGTCGGATTCGGTTACTTTACCTCTTACGCATCCTACAACCAGAAATTCTCGAACGCTGTCATGGACTCGATCATGATTGTATGTAGCAATGCTTTGTTCGAAATTATCGCAGCTTTTGCCGTCTTTGGTGTCATCGGTTTCCTCGGCATGACTCCAACACCCGGCGAGAGAGTTGGTTCCTTCACAATCGGCTTCATCACATTACCACTCGCTGTAACAGAGATGCCAGGTGCAAATTTATGGGCTGTGCTTCTGTTCTTTACACTCATGGTCCTTGGCTTCAGTTCCGCATTCGCTATGCTCGATGCAGCTGTCACTCTCACTATGGACGCACAGAAGAAGATACCTCGCTGGGGTATCGTCACGATTCTAGTCATCGTGTCATTTCTCCTGACATTGATGTACTGTACTCAGTTCGGCTTTTATCTACTTGAAGGAGTTGATCGGTGGCTCAACGACGTAGCATTAGTATTTGTTGTGTTGTCCGAATGCATTTCAGCTACTACTGTCTACCGCATGAAAGATGTCATTGGACAGGTTGGGAGGCCAGCATTCGCAATCTATAACATGGCCTTCCTTGGTGCTATGATATTTGGCGTAGCAGTAGCCCATGCTGTAAGCCCTGCAGCAGGCGCCGGTCTTGGATTTGGTCTATTCATCGCTGGGACCATCCTGTCGGTCTTCATAGGCAAGACTCCAGATTCAAAGGTCCCAAAATTCTGGGGCAGGAATCCTCCATTGTGTCGATTCTATTATCTAGCTTTCTACTCCGTAAGAGCACTCGAATCTCTTCAGAAACTATACTAATCTCGATAGGGAAACATGTTGAGACATGATCTTAATTTGATTGTTGGAACCGGCAAGAACTGGAAGATCCCCATGCTCTGGGCTCCTACACTTCGCTACCTGGGAGCACCAATTCTCGCCATCGTATACGGCTTCTCCTATCCCGGATTCTACGCCGTACGCAACGACCCAATGCATATCTTCGGATTCGTAGTTGGACATCTCGCATTAGTGATCATCGCACTTGGTTTCATTGTTCCTAGCTGGTTTGATGTCTTTGTACCTGTTCCGCGACGAGGGGAGGGAAAGATACCATATGCGCCCGGTGTAATTGGAGGATCTATCGACGTGGATTCTGATGATCGGGAAAGGATGGAGGCTGCTACACCCAGGAGCGATTCGAGCTCTGCAGAACAAACGAGTGTTGGTGTTGAGAAGAAGCCTGAATAGTGTTGGGCTGTATCCGTTGATATATAAGCGCAAGCACCTCAAACTTTTCGTGACTTGACTGATCAAAGATATGGTCATTTCGATACTAACACCTAACTTGAATAACTTCCCAGTTCAACATTACAGATAGTCAGGTTTAGAATGTTTGTTCAGACAGATGGCTAACTAAACAGCATGGGTAAAGAATTCATCAGGTAAATTTGCGTGACCCCTCGGCCTTAGTTAACAGCTCGAATATCATAATATACTTTTATCTCTTTGAAAACTACACCTAAACGTGAAACATGGATAGAAAAGATGCAGAGTCTACCACCACTTTATTGTGAATGCTTGCTGGATCGAATATTGTGTGCCAATGGTTAAACAACTCCCTGGACAAATGAACAGCTCTAGTTCTCTGATCTATTCTGAAGTCAAGAATATTGACCTTCCTTTTGAAAATGTAAAATACTGCCTGCCAAGTTGGATATGGCAGAGCAGTGGCATGTTTGTGGTATTGTACTGGATATTCGGCACATTCTGGAACTACGGCACGAGCTCCACCTCCACATGTTCAGCCCTACTGTGCCTTTCGCTAGTGTGTGACTTGAAAGACCCAGAAAGACCTTCAATTTACTAGATCTGAAGCGCTACATTGTAGACTCTCAACGATCTCAAGATAAAACGGCATTCTTTCCCGGCGGCCACTATACTAACTCTGTTGGTTTGAGAATAGCGTGTCCACTTGGTCGGCGTAATCCGTTTGACTCTTGAGATGGGTTTTATTTCTTAAGACTAGGTTTAGATCAGGGCCACGATGACGTTCAACCACAATTACACTTATACGATAATGTGAGACCTGACAATCGAGTTTCTTTTTAAAAGACATCTCAGCTCGTAGATCCCTGATAATCTGCTTTTCATTAATATTCCAATGGATTAAATGTAAGACATATCTGGACCTGTTCTGAACGGATCTTACGATGATAAACTCTCATAAGCAAGATGGATCTTTGCCAAAGACATCCAAGAAGCACGTCGAATACCAGAATAGACAGATATACTCGATCCGGAACAGCTGGTCTATTTTCACCACCACCGAGAAAAGAAATATCATAATTTATATCCTCGGAATCATGCTTTATAAATTCGGAATCGAAGCCTTCAATGGAAGCATCATCGCCCTCGCTACAAGTCGCTACGACCGCGAAGCAAGACTTGCAGGAAACCCAGCCAGAACATTCGAGAGAGTTGGGTTACTCACGGGACTGAACCAGGCCTGTCAATGTCTTGGTTCAATGCTCGTCACGCCGTTGATTAAGAAGAATCCGACGAAGACTGTCATTTCAGGAGCGGTCTTGGCATTTGGAGTTCTGACTGCGGTGCTGTTGATCGTGGATGCTGCGACTGGAGGGAGAGTGAAACCTAGGAGATGGGATGACAAGCATGGATGTGATGATTTTGGATATTATGGGACATATAATACGGATGTGATGATACCATTTTACTGCTTCACCGGCCTAGCGTACGGCATGGTGGAAACGATTCGAAGAGTGATACCAAAAGACCTTGTTGGAGGCGACGTTCAGAAGCTACTTCGTATGGACTCGATCGTTCATATTCTCTACGAAGTATCTGGGACCGGCGGAGCACTCACGACCTCCTTGGCACTGATCCCGTATTTGGGGAACAACATGTCGTTCATCATCACACCCGTACTCCTTGCAACAGCGTCAGTTATCTGGAGACTCATCTCTGTACCTCCTATTGCTGAGAATGATAAAGCACTAGAAGTAGCCAGTCTCGAGAATGTCGACAGGAGAAGAGGACTTTTCACCGTCATAATCGACGGCTTGTCTGAAGGATTCGTGGTATTCTTCAAATCGCTTGTCCTCGGGATCAAGATCCTGTTCAGTTCTCGGAGGTACATCTGGCTTATTCCTGGCTACAGTCTCGCATTGTACGGACACCGTTTTCTAGAGAACAATATTGCAACTGTTGTCGCTCAAAGGTATCTTGGTAAGTGTGAACACCTAACGTTCCGCCTCACACAATGCAGGGAATACTCTTGAATGGAAGGCTGATGTTGTCATCAAGGGAATGCCGCTTGGTCGCAGATTATCGTAGCTGGATCGAACTTTGGCGAACTTCTCGGGGCTTTATTCGTATTTTTGTTCACAAGTCTAGTCCACACACCCCTCCCTTGGATCCGAGTTGACTCTACGATGCTCTCGATTGTCTGGTTCCTGGTCTCCTGGTACCCTCCACCTCGAAAATTAAGTCAAGCATGGGTAGTAGCCGGGGTATTCACCCCTCTCTCATTCGGATGGGCCGCTGGTGATGTGAGTCTGGTTGCCTATGTCCAGAGCCAACTACAGAATGAGGAGACACCGGGAGGGAAATATGAAAGGATCAGCCCGCTAAGTGCAGTTATGAGTTGCTTGTACTCAACGTATATTGTACTTTATGCAGTTATGAGTCCAGTGATGGGAAACTATATCGACAATGCGTATATCAGAGAGAATGACGTTCATGGGACTATGAAATATGTCGCAGGCAGGTTTTCACACTTTTACAAGAGTGGAGGTATTGACGTTGGAGACAGGCGTACAATATAGCGTTATGGCGGGAGTCATTCTGGCGTCGACGTTTGTTCCAAGGGGCGCGCTTTCATGGAATCCGAAAGAGCTAAAAGGTGATCGAACGCCAGATGAGGAGGAGCAGAAAGTGGCCAGATAGCCCGGGGACTTTAGGCCCTAAGACGAAGACAATGTGATTGTCAAGAGTCGCACCATGACTATACATGAGGTCCTGTCGCTCTCTCAAATAAGTGAAGTCGGATTTGTGATTCATATGCCATACCAGAAATAGACACAGTGATTCCAAGCGGGAGTATTGGTAGAGGCATTTGACTTTTTCAATTCCTATCCATCCTATAACGCCGATTGACAGTTCCATAAGCAAAATCTGCCCATGCAGATTGTATGATACACCAAACCCCAGATTGCAACCAACAATGCAGAGGTAATCCAGCATGAATCAAACCTTATACTCTGACGGTCCTCGACTCCTTCTCAACAACCTTCACCAAATCCTTGTAGACCTCTCCAAACTCCTCATCACCCTCAATCTTCTCTGCCTTCTTTGCACCAACTCTTGACTCTGAGACCATCACCACACTTGTTGGCCGTTTCGTGTTTCCAGCTGCGCCCAACTCCGCCCGACTCGATACAAAGATGTATGGTACGTTGTGATCTTCGCATAGAACTGGGATGTGAGAGATGACGTCCATGGGAGAGATATCTGCGGCGAGGATGACGATTCCTGGGACGACGACATTGCCTGCGCCTTGAGGAGATTTTCGCAGGGCTTTGACAACTTCTTTGACTCCGCGTTTCAGTGTCTTATTCTTCGCAGCTGCAGAAAATTAGTCCTTACTCAAGGCGTAGATAAGTGCGCAGAATTACCTTTTTTCACACCCTTCAGAACCTTCTTCGTGACCTTCTCATCTGCCAATGGATTCGCAAATGGCACCAAAGCACCGACAGGCTTGATCGCAACCTCCCCGACCGTATCCACAACCATCAGCGCACTCTCCTCTGGTGCAGGCGAGTTCGACTTCGCATCGGCCTTGGTAACTTCCTCGATCGCAGCAGCTATGTTGTCGCCATTGAGCTTTGACTTCTTGTCCTTTTTGGATTTTTTGACGCCATCTGTCTCACTGCGCTTCTCCTTCTTCTCCTTCTTGTCGCGCTTCTCGGATTTATCTTTGCCCATTTTGTCGGTGGAAATAAAGCTGCTGGATGTGGAGGCTGGATTGCGGGATCGTGAAAAGTTCGTGGTGAAGCCAAAATTAATTGGGCGCTAGTCTCCATCGGACCTTATCAAGGCGGTCAAGCCGGCAGACGGCAGATAAAGACCAAGTCCAATGGAGTCGACGTCGACGACATCAGGACTCGAATGCATCAAGTATGGAATTTTATGCCTAGGATCTGGACCAGACTGGGGTTTATTACAATCCCTATTGCACAATACCTGGGGCAAACTTTGGCAGACCTTACGGGGGAGATGACAGGACCCTATTCTCGATCGTAACGAGGCGTGGAGTGGAAGACAACATTATTTGTTAGACAAGAAGATGAAGCCATTATTGTGTCATTGCCAGATACAATATTTGACATTCCATGTACGATATTAGAATAGTCGAGGATAATCATTTTCAAGTCCTCTTTGTCCCAAGCGAGCCTTGGCAAAACAGTAAACACTAGAGTAATATTAACGACTAAAGAGTTGAGCAAGAACGAATCGAAGCCTAGACAGTCTTAAACCCCCAAATATTCTATTTTGCCTACAGCAGAGAGTAATTTTCATCCACAACAATTGAATAAGTTCCTTTGCTCTCTGATCATCCTCACGGCAGACTGATTCAAGCGTGATTCGTACCATTGACTGAATTGAAGCGCAGTAAAGTTCACTAAAATTGACCCATAAACTATCACTATGCGTCATATTGAAAGTCCTCCGAATCCTTCGTCGACTGACGGCTGTGAGCTTAGTGACTTGATTGACTCCCCGAAATACTTGCCTTTGCAAGAGCATCCGCATCGCGGTTCTCCTCTCTTCCAACGTGATAATAAGCTACCTGGATCCCGACCCTGCTAAGAGCATCCACTTCTTTCTGTAAACGCAAGAATGCCTGGGAATTTTCTACGGCTTTGCCGGCTTTGTTCATCAATACTCCCTGCTTGTTCTCTTTCCAGTCCTGAATGTGTTTACACATACTTTCCACGATGTAGCCTATTTATTATCCAGTTAGAAAACCATGTAAGCTAACTGAAGGCGTAGAAAACATACTTGAGTCTGTGACAATGATAAGCCTCATACGCATGACAGCAGACACAGCCCGAGGATCATGACCCCCTTTGGAACTTGTGACAATGCTTCGACGATTAGGTAGAACCTTTCTGCGAACATCCTCCATGGCTCGGGCTACAGCTTCAAGTTCTGCCTTCTGGTTGGTTGGAGTGCCGGAAACGGCGAGAAACTCTGCAAAGTTGAACTTAGAGTGAGGGCCGAAAAATACACCTAGTCCTCCTCGAGCACCAGAAGATCCATTCTCAGAACAGGCACCATCCGTGAACACGAGTAGTGAGCGACTTGTACCGCAGTACTCATGCGAGTAGGTATGATGAGACGGGTGGTCTTTGGCAGCAGCCTCTCCTTTCTCTCCGACCAGCCTGTTCGATCAATTAGTAGGTGCGGTCAAAGTTGGAAGTCAGAAATGGGACATGGAAGGATCTAGGATCTCTAGAGAATCTAGATCACGCTGAGCTAGGTCGTACCATGTAAGATGACAGGAAGAGCAGTAATGTGTCTGAAGGCTTGAGAGGGGTAAAGCCTTCGGAGGGTTATCGTAATTCATCTGGATCTTGTAGGTATTTCCAGGTCCGAGGACTTGCTCATCCCACTGAGGAGTGAAACGTGCCGTAGATCCTGTTAAAATGAAGACACGTTCATTGTCTTCATCATCTCCAGAGCCATACTCATCAACAAGGTCATCGGTGCCATCAGAGTAATAGCCAGGTTCATCCTCGTCAGATTCGCCGAATGAAAAGTCTACAGTGCAGAAATCGCAACGCCTGAGATGGTGGTCGAAGCAGACAGTCTTGCCATTTGGGAGGGTATGGACAAGCTGTTTGGGAGGTTGTGGAAGAGACATTGTGTGCGTGGCGGGTGCTGAGTCGTCACCGCACTGAAGATGGCCGTTTGCAACGGTTGAGCAAGGCTGGGAGTATAGACAGCGGAGTCTTCGGAATATTTGATAGTTAGAGACGTTTCAAGGAAATGGGGGAGAAGCGTCAGAATGTTTTCTCAAGAAAGAGCTGTCGTGGTTGAAAGGAAGAAGGGGAAGGAAAGTCTGAGAGCAAGAAGGCTCGCTTTTCGCGCCAGGGGGTCCCTGTAACTCCGAGGCGAGCAAGGTTAGCGTCCGGACCCTGGAATTTCGCGAGGAAGGGATGGAGGCTCCCAATTCTGTAAGCGACGCTTTACGTTGCAAGCTTCGCCTCAGAATTTGGAAGTTATAGTCTAAGTATTGCAACCTCTCTTTGAAACTTCTTCATTTTCTGAAATCGTCTATACCCAGCTCATAGAAAGTGAAAAACAAGTAGTAATACTGAAAGGGAATAGGTTGCAAGTAGTTTTGAGAGGTTTTCTACGCATTAGCAAGGCAGCGAATACTTGAGGAACAGAAGTGTGAATTCTGTACGAGGACATCCATATTGATTAAATATATATCTCACATCCAAATCGTCTCCCCATATTCGAGCTAGTTCGGCACAGATTATTCATCTCGGTGCTCGCCCATTGTAGTCGATACCAGCACTCGCCGTGTAGTTACCGAAGCAGTCATAGTCGTAGTCAATTTCCGCAATTCTGTCTTGTAGTATTGAGATTACCGTGTCAAGCGAGCAGAGACCATTTGGATCCTCTGAGCACCCTGAGTACGATTCTGCAATGGGAATGACAGCGTCGTTTCTACATGTGTCAGCGGTCGTTTGTTCAAGGACAGAAATACACTTACAAGATGAAGCGTATTTGTCTGGTAGGCGTATAAGCTGGACACTCAAGTACCTGAGTGGTGAAATGCGTTGCGAATGGGACTTGCTTCGAAGCCACAAAAACATTGTTGTGCTGGTTACCTTTGGGATCCAGTGGCAGCCCCTTGAACAGAGCGGTAAGGTTGAATGCAGTCAATGTGTCTAGCACCACAACTTCGTGAGTTGCATCTGCGTAGATGGAATTTTTGAGGGAAAAGAACGTGGTAGTATTGTCGAAGGTTTCATTAAGGGCTGAAGATGGGCTTGGGAAGGTGTGCGTGAGGCGTGCAACCCATTCTTGGAGGTAGCCTTTCCCTTGAGCTGCCGAAACTGGAGAGCCTGGACCATTGTTGTAGTAGAAAATCAGGTCAAAATAGTACTCGTATGCCAGAAAATCCTCTTCACTGAATAGAGTACAGAACTTTGAGTATCCAAGAGCATTGGTCTCATATGAACACAGTTGAAGCATCGCAACAGCATCAGCAGCAGTGAAGTTCACCCCAGAGATCTTGAAATATCAGTATAAATCTCCATAATTCTCTTCGGGGCATACCTGTGTTTGTAGACGGGCGATGGTCGAATTGAAGGCATTCTTGGCAAATTCCGTAGCCACCGAAGACCCGATACTGCCTCGACTTGCGACATTGGAATTCGGGCAAACTTCATATGGGGCTCCAGAGTTGTTTACGCCTGGACTCTCGACCAAAATTTCAATATTGACCTGTTGTTGATACTCAGGAACACCAAAGAAGCCCGCAGCAAAGTTCTCGGCCGTTTTGACCATACGGTCTTGTGACTCCGTTCGAAAGACGGGAAGGGTTCCAGCTTCTGTGAAGTTATTGAGAAGCTCACCATATAATTGGCGATAGGCAATGCCAAGATTAAAGAGCTGACTGCGTCCAAAAGGAGTGAGAAGTTCTGCACCAAGTTTATACGACCAATCAGACAGGAAACCAAGATCTCCAGTGACATTGAAACCTCCATCGCGAGTCGCATTGTGCAACATCTCGGCAAAAGTGGAAGGTGCAGCGCCAGTAGTTGGATATCTAGCTCCATGACGATAAAGGAGATGCATCTGGACGATATTACAGCCTTCTGGAACTAATGGGCTAGCATCCGGCAAACCATAATCTGCCGAAGATACTGAATACCATGGTGAGAGATTTCCCCAATATTTCGCAATGTCGAACTTGTCTGCAAATTCTCCTTTCCCATAGGGTTGGGGCGCAACTAGTGGAAATTGGTTTGCAGGCCCATTGTTGTAAGGGTAAATTGCGGCAGTCTGGATAACAGCAGGTTCTACACCAGTTGGAGTTGGGCCTGGAAAACCAACAACGGGTTCCGATGGAAATATTGAAGGGTTTACAGTTGCTATAAATTAATCAGAATGATCCTTTTGAGATAATGAGGACTCACTGCCTGACGGTGGGTAGGAATTAGCTGTTGTGGCACCAACGAAACTGGACGCTGCAACTGTGCTGTTGAGCTGGGCAGTCACGCCCTGAATCAAAAAAATCAGATACAATCTGGTAGTATTACGCATCTTAGTCTCTGAAGAATTGGAGAGATATGTTCCCTTCTATTCTGGGAACATGTGCCAATTTATATAGCCAAGTACTTTCCCGGCTACCCCGCTTCGAGTAACAGACAAGCCATGGTGTAAACCTGGGAGTGTGCTTGAGATCTCCAATCATTTCAATAGTATAGATCTCGTGAAGTAATAGACTGGATAGGATAAACAGAATAAGAGTCGAAAGTGGGGTTGTACGTACCACTACCAGGTTCTGCGCCAAAATGAGCTTGGACGGATCAAGCTTTAGTGAACATCACGGAAGCTTGCCGGCAGCCCCTCGACGTCATTTCACTTATCGCCAGCTTCCCTCCTTTCCTTAGACAATCTAGAGGGAAGTCTATCACGACTTCATGACCTGAGAAGCTTTACGTCCTGTCGGGTTACAGCTCACATGCTATTGTCCAACCCCTTTTAAGCGAAGGAAAGTGCCATTGAAGAGAGCGCTTGGTCTGCACGTTCTGCACTTTGGCAGGAACACAGAATAGAAATCGACTCAACTTTGCAGGTATATTACACATAACTAATAGTTCTGAGTGCTGATGTTCGTTTTTGACCAGTGCGGAGCTAGACGTAAACACACGAGGTCCTGCTGCCAAAGAAATGTTAAATCATCGGGGTGACCGGCAATCGCAGCTGACCTCAGTGAGGCAGGCAAAGTGCCCAATCTTTACAACGCTTTCCAATACAAAATCCGTTCTCTGTGTACCTGCAACCAATGACTTGGATGACTAGCTGCATCCGCAGCTTCTATGGGCCATTTTGTCTTAGCTAAACTGGTCTCCATAATTCCAGAAACCGACAAACTTACAATTTTGTATAGGAAGACTTCCACGATACTGTTGGTCAAGAACATATGCTCGAATCTGTCACCTGGACCCTAAAAACGCAGGCTTCCAATGTCCTGAGTATTGCTGACAATGGTCAGAGGGTCCGAGTAGCTTGAGGGTCCAGTGCTGCGTCCAGTTTCGATCGAATCTGTGCCAGCAACACGATTTCATTTGATGACGCCCATCAGGCTAATTATGCTGCTCGTATCTCATACTCTGAAGTACAACCGTTGACAAAGATATCATCCACACACTTCGCAAACCTCACACTTGGCTCATCCACCAAAATCGTACTCCAATTCGCTAAAGCTAAAGCCATTGGAAGCATGCAAGCCCATGCAAAAACATAGGCAAAAATATTCCAAAAGAATCCCCTTATTTCTAGCAGAAAAACATCCGGCTTTTCTGGAGTGGAGTATGGCGTGCCGAGGACTCCGAGAATCTGCTTGCGTATCCAGTAGCCCATAATGGTCCCAATCATACGATGAGTGAGGTACAGCATGAAGCTGATTTTACCCAGATATCGACAAGAAGGTTTTTCGAAGACGCGTCTCAGAGTCGCAAAGTGTGAGAACCCCCAAATAGTCATGATTCCTGACCAACACCAGAGATATCGACCCCCTCCATCAATGTCTTGCCAGTTCTTGGGAACCAGGCTGTCGGTCCATTCATAGCCAGGACGTTCATACCAATCTCTCTTCTGCGGAATTCCACCAAGCCAGCCGCCAATGAGAAGGACAACAATCCAGAACATGCGTGACCGGCCTGTCATTCGTTCGGAAAGCTGATCGAATCCTCCAGCTTGCTTGACATAGTCCGCGAGAAGTATTCCTGTAGTGAATAGCCAGTAGTTCCACTGTGCTGAAAGACAACAATAAGCAGGTATTAATACCAAGATGACCGTTCGTTTTGTGTAGCTGCGTATCCGGCTGACCATAAGAAGGACGAGAAAGACAGCAAGGGACCCTGCCCATTCAGCTGGCATTGTCCACATGGTGTGATTGTATTTGTGAAAGACATCAAAGCCTGTTCGCTCCAGTTGAAATGGGTTTGAAAACCGTATAGATTCCCAAATATAATCCATGACCTGTGCCACGAAAGTATTCTCCCTGGTCACAGGTAGTTCTATCAGGCCAAAATAGAATTGCAACAGAGAGAGTATTCCGATGAGAAAGCATGGCACGAACAAACGCATCCAGCGTCGGAAAACCGATGAACTTAGAGAGAGCGAGAACTTTTCATGACGTCCTTCTCGAATTGAAGAAAGGCTCGACCAAGACAAGACGAAGCCAGATAGGACGAAGAAGATGCCAACTTGCGTATGGCCAGAGCACCAGATGATTCTGAGATATGGCAATCTCCATATTTCCCATGGCTTAGTGTTAGGGGACCCATATGGCGCTTCGGTACTGAAGGCAAACATATCCAGGTGGTAGTCTAGAAGGTCAGCACGTACGAGTTTTGGGAGAGCTCTCAACTCACGATAAACCATGACCAAAAATGCCGCTACACCTCGTAACCCATCAAGCCAGGCTGTTTCTCGTAATGAGTCGTTTTTAGAAGCCGTGAACCCAAATATATGTACCATTAATCCCCCATTGCGAATATTTGGCTCCCCGGACTTTAGTGATCGATTGGTCACCCGTAAAATATCGCGGAAAGCCAAGAGGATCCGACGGGAGATCATCAACATGAACCTGCGGGGCTCCGACCTTGGAGTTCGCGGGGTTGAACTGCCACATTCAACGTCTGCACAATGGACCAAGGGTTCCATTTCCACTTCATCAATAGCATCGCGCTGCATTTCCGATTTCTCGTCCATGATGAGAGTTTGGCTGAGTTGGGAGAAGATGGGAATGCACTTCTATGGGGTTGACGCTCACAACCGCGGCTGCACGTGCATTCTCAGAATTGTTTCAGCACAACACCTCCTCAATCACGATGTTTCAGGTGTTTGAAGCATATCGATTCGCTTATCCCAAGTCAAGATTGGATATTTTAGGTTCTCTGACGGTCGAGGAGCTTGCGAGAACGGGCAGCAGTGTGATTCAATTGTTTCTGTCGAGTTTAGACAAGGATGCTAAGCGAAAAGAAAGGGGGCGTAAACATAAACAAATTCTCTAGCGAATATTCAGAGAGTGTCCCGGGTGCGAGATCGAAACCTGGTCAAAGTTCCGCACATACAGGCATTTATCGAGCCATCAGAGCTCCAGCCAAAGATCATCAAGGTCAGAGATCCTATGAAGCGTCTTGTTAACAGTAAAAGGCTTTTGGATGGCTGCAATGCTAAGACTGCCTGTAGTCTTGACGAGACGGCAGCTAGGGAAGGAAATAAGGCATACCATGTTGAGCATCAAGTTGATAATATCAGAATTTGCATTAATGATGGCAAGGAACATTCTTGCTACAATGCTGAGTGCAGGAAGTGCAATTGCAATCTTGCCGATGTCGGTCAGCCGATACCCAGCATAGGATGCATCGATGAGCTTCAAAGTCTGAAGTTTAAGAGTTACAAAGGTGGCTACCGGCATCTGAGAATATTGATCAGATGCATAAAGCCTTTTTTGTTAGTTTCGCAGGAAAATAGAGCATAGGCCAAGAATAAACTCAAGCCCATCGTCCACAAGAACACTTGGAACTTTGTACTGTCGAACCGCTGTAGATTTGACCTTGGTGAATCGATAGTAGAACTTGCCTGGATATTGCCTACCAACTGATTTATAATTGAATTGCTTTGATCTATTCACCAACGAGTTTCACTTTCTTCTTTGTTGTTGCTGAAGGTCGTCACCTTCACCTCCTTCTCGCGGTCTATAAAAACCTCGCCGCCGCCAAACTTTTTCCGACTGAAAACATCAACCAACAAACAAATCAAAATGCCACCCAAAGGCCAAAACAAACCCAAAAACAACTCAGAATACAAGCCGAATCGTAGACCTCCGGGGAAGAAGCCTCAGGTGGTCTACGAGGAGGCCGAAGAAGAAATCCCTCCACCTGACCTGGTCAACGGCCCTCAAGGCAACGCACCTGGTTTTGGAATGATGCATCGCGTTCAGAATACCAAAACGATCACCTTCCACCCATCACAAATGGGCCAAGTTTTGCAAGACACAATGTGCAATCCTGTATCAACCGGCACTGTCCAGCAAGCACTTCCAGCACTCCTTGCAAGATCTATCACACCCACAACTGGCGCTCGGAGGAACAACAACAACAACAACAACAACAACAACAACAACAACAACAACAACAACAACAACAACAACAACAACAACAACAACAACAACAACAACAACAACGGCAACGGTGGCAACAGCGGCGCGACACGGGATACACAACCTGCTTCAACGCCAGTCAACGAATCCAGTCCTCAGCGCGCTTCGGGAATTGTAACAACCACCAAGGATGTCGCACCTTCTCGTGCAGAGGTTGGTGAGACTGCAACGCGTCCCAAATCCTCCACAATCTCCTCCAGTACGTCATCGCAGCAAATTCACGTTGCCGTCCGGGAACCCTCCGAAAATTTCCCTTCTCTCACCGTCAAGGAAGAAAATTCTGACTTCAAGGTCTTGACACAACCCAAAATCTTGACCGTCGAGGAGCAAAAGCTCCAAGAGCATCTAGATAGTGTTAAGGAGCGAATTCGCTGGGCCACTGCCACACGCGGAGGCCCTCAGCAACTTGCAAAAACCTCCAGCCATCAACCCGATCCGAACGCGCTGACCCTTGTACAAAAAGCCAAGGTGTTGAGGGCAATCGCGAAGATGCAACCTCTCAAAGATGGAGAGTGCGTCTACAGCGTCTCGTTTATTGCTGATAGGGAAACCCGCGATGCTTGGCTCACCCAAGGGCACGAACAAGGTGGACACGAAATCATACAAAATGCTGAACTGTTGTTGGGTATTCAATTCCGATCCAAGTACTTTCCCAACGAACACCACAGAATTTGGCCTTGGCCGGTTGAATCGCATGTATTACAGGATCCTGAAGCTGCCGCCAAAAAAGTAAGATTCGCCCACGACACCCTGCTTTTCTGGCAGTGGGAATTGCTTCATGCCAAAAGCCCCGCAGACATTCTTCAGGCTGCTGAGTTTATGCTGGGAAAATTACGGGTCGATAAATGGCTCACATCCAGAAACATCTCAGATCCTCGCATCGCAGACGAAGTTCTGCCAAAAGAGAACGTGACTGTGGCCAACACTATTCGAGAGGGAAATCCGGACGGTGCGGAGGAGATCCATGCATACGTCCGCCGTCGTGAAGTTGTGGAAGATGCGAATAAAGCAGTGTCTACGGCTGCGCAGGCTGGTATCCAACAAAGGTAGATACAAATAAGGTTATTTTAACCCTCCAAATCATTCGTCTGATGTGATGTGACAAAGTGATGAAACTTCTGCCTTCTATAAAAGTTTAGTTCCATGCGATTGTGGCTGTGCAGACTATGTCAGTACAATAGTAACCTTCCCCTACTTTCTGCTTCTGGGTTTGGAGGAATGAATTGAACAGTCTAACACGTAAGAATCACCGAGGTCTTGTGCCTACTTACGACGTATGCGAAGAAGTTGAAGTTGGTGCTGATCAGCTTCCGATCTTGACTTGGGATAAGCGAATTAGTAAGCTTCAAACATTTGAAACAGCCTGATTGAAGGTGCGCCAATACCTCTGAATAAATAGCTGCCTCACTACAGTATCGTGTACCCTTCTTCTCAACGTCACTGTCGCGACCGCAATTCATGAACCAAGCAGCAACAACTTTTAGGAATATGTAACTGGTGTCTTTCAATATAACCTTGCGGATGTCTTCAGTGGTGCAGTCCTCGATGTCAAGAAGATTTACTTTTGTCTCACCCTGAAACATGACAGTGAGCCTGTTCGGGGCAAGAACAGCTTTTCCTTTACTTGTTCTCAATACTACTAAACTGCAAATATGGCCCATGCTATCAATACCGAGCCTGAAGTTCGTTCATTCGGAAAGATAGTGCTGTTTTTGAATGATTGATATATTTTTTTCTCTCTCTTCATGTTTTTTTTTGTTGGTGTGCATCATTTCTTGTTCATCGTTACAGGTTTGTACTTCCCCTCTTATTTATGACATCAGCTCAGTATGCTATTTCAGCTTTAATCTCGAAATACTTGCTACAAGGTAGTCAATTTCCCGAACATAGCATCGTCCATATCTTCCACATTGCGCCGCCAAGATGACCATTTATCAGTCAAAACTTGATAAGTGAAGTCGACATAGCTAGAGCCGCCGAGTACGTATTGAACGATCTACCAGAAGTTCTTTTGAAGCATAGAGTATGTCACGTTATGCTCGAAGACTCTCTGCTCGTTTGATCAAGCATCTCCCCATAACTTGGGTTTGTAGGGTGAAGTTGTTAGGAGCCCGCAAGGCTCTTTGGTGGTTGAGGGTCGCTTGGTTTTCTGTCTTTTGCGATGTGGTGTAGAGGTGTGAATGGTTGTGTTTGTATGTGATATCCGTGGCCAGCTAGCACATCGATGCCCAACTGTATTTATGTGGTATCATGGCAAATCTGTTTTGCTTTACGTCGTGATGTGGTATGAATCAGGTTTGGCGTAGGCTGAGAAGAAGTATTCAATTTGTTGGTCAAATGGTGGTGCGCGTTTCGACGCAAGGCCGTGCTTGGCTCTGATGTTGGAAGAGGGATGTCAATCATAGATGCTCTTGATCGCTAGGTCTTCCTCTTCGCCGTTGTGAGACTTGGTGGGTTTCTTGGGCCAACGCGTACTTGGGTATGCCGTGTAATCAACAGCGACCCTGCAAGTTGATGAATATTTGCTTTTGATTGTTGATTGTCGGCTCGATGACTGTGATACGGGTGGATTTGGATTCCGAAGCTGAGCGTGACAGTACCCTTCCGATCCTGCCCTTTCGATCCTGATCTGCCATCATCCTTCTCTGCCATGATCCTGCTCTGCCATTGTCATTCCCTGAACACACATCCTTGCCTTCCACTACATGGTCATCCAGCATCCCACAACATCACCGCGACACACCAACTCCACACCAGACAACCCAACCGAAAGCCTGAATACACCGGAAAATTTCTGGCGGCCCCAGAGACTTTTCCTCCAAGGCCGCCGTTTTTTTTTGGTTTTTTTTGGGGGGGAAATGAAAAATAAAGACAGAAACGACAGACAAAAAGGAAAAAACCAAACACAAAATCAAAAAACAATGCTACGCTGTGGGGATCTTTGAAGAAACCCCGGCTGCCAACGACATGACTTTTAGGATTTTGGAGAGCTTCGCCTGTAAACTACAGGTCCGCCACTTGACTTCGGCTTTGAAGAAGGCTTCTTCGAGGGTACTCGAGTCGAAACCCGAGCCCTTCTCAATTCCGCCTCCTTCGCGGCTTTGGCCTCATGGCGGTCACTTGCCTGCATCTCCATCATCTTCCAAGTGACCCAACATGTCGTGGCCGCAGAAAGAGCGCTAACGATAGAGCAAGCAGAACTTATGTTTCGATGAGCCATTAGATTGCAATATATCGCGAGGGTGAAGGAAAAAGAAGAGAAGAGGACCCAGGCAATGGTGAAGACATCTTGACTATCTCCATTGGACTGAAGGCAAGTGCGATCAGTTGCTATTACTATGAGATGGCACCGCGAGTAGTCCAGCACGCGCCTTCCTTATGCTACGTCCTTGTCACTCTCCCCCGGATGGAACTGATGCCAAGAAACAGCCTCGAAAAGTCTCTCTTCGGAATCTTACCGTCTGTCAAGACTCAAGATCATGTCATCAGTTCAGATCTGAATCTGTTCCTATAACAGTCTATGACCTAAGCGCATGGTAGATATTCTGTATTATCTGCTAGGAGAGCTGAATGTTGAAACTGCCACCATATAGCCTCAATCGATCCGATTTTACTCGTCTTGTCGAGTGAGATGTTTCTGCCGGTCCCGTAAATCAGCATAGTGCAAGCCACAGGAGCTGGCATATAGAGCAAGATGTAGACTAGTCACTAGTGTCACAGGCTGTGTACAAATCTCGATCGGCCTCATGCAATTACCGAAAAGGGATAAGAAGACATCAATCGCCAAGCTTTCTCATAAAACTCATTTTTTCCGTACTAAATAATGGAATTTCATAGTGTACATAGCAAAACTTAACAGAGGCTATGGAGTAATTTTGATCATGATGTTGTCCTAGTTTCCATTGGTTAACAGGTGTCTCTAAGTAGTAGGAGGCTCAATTTCCTACTAACGATATACGTCAGAGTACCCGCCTAGAAAGTTCGGCGGTAATAAGTACCGATAAATGTTATAAATCTCACAAGACTAGTTTACCGCTACTGAAACCTAACAGCCGTCCATTGAAATTTCGACCAACTCGTAGCTCTCCACACAGAAGTATAAGAAATGTGCAGCAATCCCAAGACATACTTAGGTTTTTGAGCAAGAAATCAGCAACGAAATCCTTTGCAGCCCATGAAGTCATTACGCTTCATCGAAAAAGCGTCCATTGGCATTCTCTGCTTCATTCAAATCCAGTGTTGTATGACAATTTTCAAAAGGTAAGCACAGCGGTGGCCCCAATCTTTCCAAATCCGCATATCATCATGCCAAGAAGTACGTATTGCGATGGAAATGGAATTGATAAAGTTTGCTGCACATTTCTCAAACATCGACGAGTTAAACGTCCATTACTGAAACCACACAGCTACCGCCGAATCCCATATATTAGAGACGAGCTGAAGCAAAAGAGGGCGATCTTGCTTGAGCTACAATATGAAGCCAAACGACACCAGATTCGGAAGGATAATCACCTCAGGAAAAACTAGCTGGGCGATGTTCCAGAGACGCAGCCGATTATCCAATATGAATAGGCCGAAAGTATTTTCTAGACCAGGGGTCGCCATCTTCTCCGGATTCGCAGCTCTAGGAGCAGTGATCGCGTATGGAACCATGTGAGTTTTGCGCACAATTACTTTCTTCATTTTACAATTATACTCAAGGCTAACGATTTCGCCAGTGGAGCAGAGTACAAAAGGCTGCTTGCTGAAAGAGAGGACGTCGTAGCAGAAATCAAGAGACTGCGGAAAGATCTGAACATCCAGGTTACTGACGAAGAGTACTGGCGTGAAAATTTGCCTACAAGAATGCGCTTCATTGATATTGTGAGGTGGTTTACGGGATAGGCGAACACTAATGGGATCCGACTTGAAATACGTCTCACCTGCTCTCTGTGTTTTCCGTATACTGTAAGAGCCTGTGTAGTTTACATGCAATTTATCTTATAAGTCCAATGTTCGTCGCTATCCGTATAATTGAAAGTGTTGGAAGGGAATGAAATGGTGTCTTGACTTCACGTGATTTCTGTCGACCAGTTTCTTTTGCAGAAAACATACCTCATCAAGAGATCTTCTAGCCACTCTTAATCTCAGCCTCTTACGAATTCTTGGTATCGAAGCGTTCAAGCCCGCCTTGGGCGGAACTATGTTGATGGGGAAAGCCAAGCCAACACGGACCGGATGCCGTGCCCACTCTTGTCTCCTCTTTCTGTTTCTGTAATCCAGAGTGACTTTTGGGCTCTCACAATTATGGCAAAGCTTAGGTAGATGTTGGATTGAGGCGTTCAGGGCAAGTTCAAAAAGGCAATGTGAGATCAGAATGCCAATTTACCAACGATATGTTAAGGAACATTCATAAGATCACAGATCATTCATACGATCATATTGCTCCAGGTTACCAACGACGGCAGATCGCCATCTTTCCAGACATCTGTTGGCATCACTAGCGAAGGACAAGTTTCTAGTGTTCAATTCTTGGAACTAAGGCCGACTTCCTTTGTTGTAGTGCCAATGAATGCGTCTTCCGTTTAACCTAGTCGGGATCGTCACGAAGGAGCAATTCCGAATAAATTCTTGGCTTGATCAAGTATGTTCTTAATTGTGAGCTTTCCAAGTAATGAATAGTCGAGGCTTTATCTTTCTGTCAGTGACATTCGTTTTGGACTCAACGATATTTTCAGTCCCACCTCTAATTTTATGTAAACTACAAGGACCTGCATAATGAAGGAGCTATTCCGCTATCAATATTTTATACAAACAAAACTCGAGCATTGCCTTCGAAATAACATGGCGCAATATCATCTACAACACAGTTGATGCGGAATGAACCCCGGCGCTAAGGCAGTACCAAGTTACCAAGACATCTTGGACCTACACAAAATATCTCTTTACTCCTCTGATACTGAACCGTTGGGGGCGCGGACCGGCTGTCAAGACATGGCTTATCTTGGCAGTGTCATTATGCTGCGCCCAGATTTACGAGTGTGAGACTGCAGTAAACTGCAAGACACGATTCAAGTATGCTTCCTCTTGTATTTGTAACTTGTTGAAAATGGTGGGGAATGCTGAGAGGCTCTATTCTCCACAGATAAGCCACCCCAGATTCCAAGAATTACCCCGCTATCCAAGAGATCAAGTCTGGGGATTTTGATTTAAGAGCAAGTTTTCCCCAGGATGTCTTTTATATCTATTTCTCTATTCTGATATCAAACTCAGCCAAGATGAATTCGGCAATTCAACCAGGAGGAACTCCAGACAGCGACTCTCTCAAGCCAGAATACAATGAGGTGGAAACTCCAAACACCTCCAATGAAGAGTTGGGCCCTCCCATATTCGATGCAGCTGCAACAAAGAGACTTCTGAGAAAGCTGGATATCCGCCTCTTACCTTTCCTCGCTCTTCTCTATTTGTTAGTCCCCGCCCCCTGTTTCTCAAACCATGCTAACCATTCAGACTGAGTTTTCTGGATCGAACAAATATCGGAAATGCCCGTCTCTTTGGCCTTGAAGATGATCTCGGCATGTCAGGGATTGACTACAACATTGCCCTTGCCATCTTCTTCCCGACATATGTAATCGCAGAGGTCCCTTCCAACATGATGATCAAGCGGCTGTCGCCAAGTTTTTGGCTGACTTTCATCATGGTTGCTTGGTCCGCTGTTGTTATTGGCATGGGATTCGTGACCAACTTTGCAGGTCTACTTGCAACACGAGCTATTCTTGGTCTTGCCGAAGGTGGATTATTTCCTGGTGTCTCATACTACATTACTTTATGGTATCCTCGGCACGAGTGTGGCTTCCGTCTCGCCCTTTTCTTCTCAGCAGCCACAGCAGCAGGTGCGTTTGGAGGATTACTCGCTGCTGCTATTGGAAACATGGCAGACGTGGCTGGTAGATCTGGTTGGTCTTGGATTTTCATCATTGAAGGTCTTCTTACCATTTTTGTCGCTGCATTCGCGTATTGGATTATAGTTGATACACCCGATTCGTAAGTCTACCACTATGGAGGTCTGAATTTAGCTGATGATTTAGCGCAAAATTTCTAAACAAGGAAGAAAAGCTCGAGATCAATAGAAGACTGGTTCACGATAGAAGCGACCTGGCAGACGAATTCGACATGCAATACTTCTGGGATGCTATGAAAGATTGGAAAATATACGCCCATATGCTCATCACAATCGGGATCTACACGGCTGTCTATTCCCTTTCCCTGTTCCTCCCCACCATTATACGGAATATGGGATACACAAATGTGCAGGCCCAACTGCTATCGGTTCCCCCGTATGTTCTTGGCTGCATAGTTACCATTGGCACAGGCTACTACGCGGATAAGTTGAAAAAGCGTGCAATTTTTATGCTCGCCTGCTCTGGAACGGCTATCATTGGATGGGTAATGCTCATCTCGACAACTATCCCAGGAGTTCAGTACACTGGAACCTTCTTGGCATGTCTTGGAATATTCCCATGCGTACCACTTGGTGTTGCTTGGAATGGTAACAATATTGGTGGCAGTCTGAAGCGAGGTGTTGGAATTGCTATGCATGTTGGAGCAGGAAACCTTGGAGGTGTTCTTGCCGCCTTTATTTACCTGCCAAAGGATAGACCAGAGTAAGTCACCCGGAAATTGTACTGAATGACGCTGACTAGGTGTAGGTTTCATCAAGGGCACGGCATACTAATTGGTGTTATCACAATGTCTTTCTGCCTTTGTACATTCATGAGATGGTGGCTGAAGCAAGAAAATGCTCGAAGGGATCAGTGGGCCGTTGAGAATAATCTATTTCCAGGCAACTACACAGTGGAACAGAAGCGACTGGAGAGAGCCAAAGGAGATTATGCTACCTTTTTCAGATACACTCTCTGAGTTGGGTAGAGAGATTTAACCTATAGATTTTAAATCTTTGCAAAATTGCTCGGTTCTAACAGCTATCTCTAGACGAAGATGTTTCTATTCTGCTCTGTGACCTGCGCGACCAGCTCAAAACTTACCTCGGAAATGGGAAGCAAAAGTTGGTCAATCCGGCATCAAGGCAGATTGAAGATCGCGTTCTGGATCGTTTGTTTGAGGGTTTACAGTGGCAGCTCTTTGAAGTGGAGCATAGCCTGCCTGGAGGCCATATTTCCTCATACTCTTATATCGACAATTCCCCGAACGATTCCACCACTGTCAGCTTTGAGAATGTCAAAAATGTCAAGATGTTGGTCCTGTACCTACACATAGTGCAGGGGAAGCATGATTACCATGCTAGTCATCTTCTCATTGTCCCCGAGGCGAATTACGAAAGACTGCGTCTCACTATGAATGGAAAGATGGCTACCGCAGGAAAGCATGCGGAATGGCTGCGCAAGGGAACAGATCCAATCACCTTTGCAAGACAAAATTTATTAGAGTAGTCATGGAAATAATTCTACTGGTTAATTGAAACTTTATTCTTGATTCTCTGCTTTCTTTCTAGTTGTGCAGCTGTGGTCCGCGTAAATCCTGAGTGCCAAACCGTGTCGAGCTATCGCGTGCCGCCCTGTTGGGTTGGGCCCGATGGTGGACTCTAATCCTCCAGCCACGCTGTAATGAAGTCATGGTAGGTCGCCTATCGTCGCATCCGAGCGACGGATTCATTGAGTTCTTGCAAGTTGGATGCCACCATGTCTCTTCTTGACTTCTCTTCCTCGGCAGCAACTTTGAGATTACTGTCCAGCTTCTCTCTGTACTCTATCAAGTGAGACACCTCCACGCCAATATTCCTAATCCTCGGTTCGATAAGATTCGAATCAAACTGTAAAGCTGTTTGTAAGCATTCGATCCTGTCCTTGATCTCTTTGCTGGCTGCTATCAAATTCTCGTTCATCCATTCATTGTCTCTGAACACCTCTTCTTCTTCTTCGTCGCATGAATCGAAAGTTCCGCTGATGTCGGTCCCTGTTAGGGAAGCATAGCCGTCATCTTAGACCGAGGATCCGGAGAGCATTGATATAAGAGCCTCTCCTTTGAGAATAGTATCATTTCCCCATATCTTGAGTATAAGTATGGCCAGAGGGCTGAATGGGAAATCCAAAGACTTCATGCAACTCAAGATGAGGCCCCGTGCTTTGGATGTATTGTGAAGCCCAGAGTCTGGATTATGATCCCGCATCCGCTGAGCAAGATTGTGACCAAGTCCTACATATAGTGGGGGCTGGATTTGGGGAAGCTGTCCTCCTGGATCAAGTGCGACCAGCTCGTCCTTCACTCTGTCCTTGAGACGGTTATGTAGGATTCTAGTCTTGCCAAATGCATTGAGCCAGTATCTCCGCCCTTGCAAGACGTCAAAAAGGCCAACATCTCTGCGCGGACCGAAAGCTCTCTCGAGATCTACCGCGACATTTTTGAAGTATTTGAAGTTGTCATTGGATTCAGCTGTCACAACTAGGGAATGAAAAGTACAAGGATAAGCCAATTCACTGCAGTCAACTCATTTCGGAGATTTCTACAGGCTATCAGAATCAATCCTTCCATATGGAAAGGGAGAATACCAAGTTGGCAGCAGAGTTTGTTGTTATTAGATACGCTAACCCAATGCAGGTATTTAACCGAACCAGAACCCTGTCATGAAAAGAGCGGGAGTACGACCACCATTCCTGAGATGCCCGTCATAAGAACCTCAAGCTATTATATCTTAGTTCTTATTGTGAAATACTCGGATCCAAAACTCTCACGAGTCCAGCCTCTCTCCCACTCTCTCCGCATTTAGCAAGCACAACAACCATCACACCATCTCTCGGTACCCTCGCTTTCGTCTTGAATTCTCTTCTATCTCAGGAGGTTCCGGTATTTCCTTCTCCAAGGACCAGGTGCCGTGTGAGTCGATGGGTATGTTGGGGTATATCTGGCCGTCGACGTGGATTTCGAGTTGGATAGCTGATTGTGGAGGAGATGAGATGGCTGAGGAGGCAGCTGGTAAGGTGGCTGTACCGGTAAGCTTGACTAAGAGCTTGGGAGATTGAGAGCTAGAATTCGAAGTCCGGACAGATGCGTGTGGGATCTCTAACACGGGTACCTCTCCACCTCCTCCAGTTCCAGCACCTTCTCCAGTCTGTAGGATAATCTCATCACTTCCAAGCGATGGCGTCCTCCCCGGCACCACCCTCCCTTCTCCCCTCCTTCCCGCCTCCATCTCAAACGCCCCCGCCACACTCAAGATCTCTGCATCACTATAAGCCTTCCCCAAAAACGTCAACCCCACCGGCATCCCACTGCCCTCCATCTTACCCATCGGCACAGTCACACTCGGCACACCCAGATGTCTCAGCGCCCGATTACCATTCGAATACTTCACACCATTAAGCCAAGAGTATTTAGCTGATTCGTCATTGGTGTCGGAATTTGCTTTACAGACATCGCCATTGGCAGGGAAGACGACAAGGTCGAGCCCGAGATTGAGCATCCAGTCTTCTAGGTCGCGCTTCCGTGTTGCTTCGAGAGCGAGTAGCGCCTGCTCACACCCAGGAATATCGTGCACAGCTTCTCCTGCCTTTCGAGAGTCGAGTGAGGAGAAAATGCCGTCATAGCCGACGAGATTGGCGATTTCGCTGTACTTCCACTGGACTTCTTCGATATTTCTAGGGAATATCTTACTCGTATCGACTTGCTTCGCTGAAGGAATAGTAGCATCGCCATTCGAAGCGAGGAAATCCGCCCAGGCATAAGCGAGAAGTGTACTGCGTTCATGCAATGCCCAGTCTTCAGGAACGCCAGGAACATTCATCGTTGTCTCCAGTCCATGATCTTCATAGTTTGTTACGAGGGGGAAGTCCACCGGGATGACAGTCGCACCAAGGGATTCGAGTGTGGCATTTGCAGTTTCCCAGAGCTTGAGGACGTCCGGGTGAGTGTGCACTAGACGGGCGGTGGGAGAAGTGTCTTGTAACCTAATGTACATTTTTGGCACGCCGATTTTCATGCCTTTTAGCGTCCTTGGTTCCTGCAAAGTGAGAAATGTCCCCGAAGCTGGTCGAATACTCTTTGGTGTCGGAATCTTCACAAATTGTTGAGTACGCCAGAAATCGCCTTCTAAAACCTCATCCTCCACAACAAGTACATCCAGCAATGTCAATAAATCCTCGACAGTCCTTGTGTGCGGTACAATGACATCACATGTTGGATATAAAGGCCAGTTTCCTCGGATGGAGATGATGCCACGAGATGGCGTGTAGGCGACTAAGCTATTATTTGAAGCAGGTGATCGTCCAGAGGAGACCGTCTCTTCAGCCATGCCAAAGGCGCAAAACGAGGCGGCGGTTGATACTGCCGAACCATTTGAAGAGCCGGATGCGTAGGCTGCTGGAAGGTAGTTTGCATTGTATGGAGATTCCGACCGTCCGTAGACGCCGCGTTGCATGCCTCCTGCTGCCACTGCTCGAATTAGACTGGCAACAGGCAAAAGACGAGAGAAACACTCACTAGGTGGCATATTCGTCTTCCCAATCAACACCGCCCCTGCTTCCCTCAACTTGGCCACCGTGAACGCATCTTCACCCGCTACTAAATCTTTGAACGCTTCACTCCCACTCGCTACAGTCAAACCCTTGACTTTATAGCTATCTTTCACCGTATACGGGATCCCGTCAAGGGGGCCAAGAGTCTTTCCTGCCACGCGGCGAGTGTCTGAGGCTGCTGCTTCGGTGAAGACGTCTGGGTTGAGCAGGATAATTGAGTTGAGTGTTGGGCCCCTAGTGTCGTATGCGGCGATTCGGAGGAGATAGAGAGAAACAAGAGAGACAGCTGTGATAGATCGAGATGTGAGAGCAGTTTGAAGGGAAGCGATTGACGCTTCGACGATGTTGAGGGTTGCCATGTTGAGTAGATGAGTGTATTCTTGGTGTACGGCGTGTGGAAGGGAACCAAAAGACTGTTTTGGACTGAAATCTCAGGTCGAATACTAGCTATTTTGAATGAGAGCAGATTGTCCCTCACTTTCCAATACATTAGAATTTGTGTCTTTCGAAATAGAAGTCCAGACAGCCCGCTCCACAATTGCAAACACAACAGTTCAGCCAAGGAGCTTCTCACGGGTACAGACGCAGCTGTGCTAAAGCTCTTCTTCGTAGGCAGCCACTTGAAATATTGTTCTTTGATCGTAACTCTTAGATTTTACCGCACTCGCTCAGTATGTAGCATCGGCATTCAACACCGACACTCCCTTTTACTTCTCTGGCTACTCTCCCTCTTCGCTCCAGAGCAATTACGACCAGATACTACAAAAACAATACAAGAAGGGAGAATATTACGCGAGACCGACGAGACTAATGCAGGTACAAGATTAAACAAACTCGCGATGCTCTTACTTTAGACAATTCGAACTCCGCTAGATTCCCTATTCGCTCATGAAGCAAGCAGTTCCAATTACGAACAGCGCTGCTGATAGGTAGAGTAAAGCGATGCCAAGGTATAGCAGCGAAAGAGAGAACGAAACAAACAATTGGGAAATGTAAGAGAGTAGTAATGATAACTGCAAGAGTGGGAGATGGATGATGGCTTGGGGCTGGAGAGGCTTCACGACTAGTGAAAAACCCGATCTTAGATCCCGAACTCCGTGTGCGATTTCGGCGCTGTGTTATACTCAATGTTAGCTTGAGCTTGGTACAGGTCTTGATACCGTGAACTAGATGGTTTACGTGTGGATGAATATGGGGATGAGAAAGGAGATGAGAAGGGATGGGAGTTGATGATTGCCAAGATACTAACACATTCACGTGGATGGAGCGTGACCTGGCTGCTCTTCCAGACATTGATTTCTTTCTGGACAATGGATCATATTGTTGATCAAACTCATAATGCATTTTTGCTTGCCGGTACCTAGGATACAAAGGAACAATGAACCAGCAGCTAAACTCCCAGTGATTCTCATTCATAATCCCAAACAAATCAATTCGGTATCAATTCCATAGACCTGCCACTTATTTCTTCTTCGACTCGTGTACCGTCTCGATGATCTTGTCAACCACACTTGGATCCGAAAGCTGCAATTCGTCAGTTTAACAATCAAAAAGTCGGAAAGTGGACCCTACCGTCGAAGTGTCACCCAACTGATCCTCCTCACCCGCCAAGATCTTTCTCAGAATTCTCCTCATAATCTTACCACTTCTCGTCTTTGGCAGATCAGGAACGACAAAGATAGCCTTTGGTGCAGCGAATGGACCGATACTCTTGCGGACCTGCAAGATGAGATCCTTGCGGAGTTGATCATTGATTTCGTTTCCGTCCTTGATAGCCACAAAGGCGTTGACTGCTTGTCCAGTAAGCTCATCGTTGATTCCTACAACGGCAGCTTCGGCTACGGCGTGGTGTTCGATGAGTGCGGCTTCGATTTCGGCGGTTGAGAGACGGTGACCAGAGACGTTGACTACATCATCGACACGGCCGCGGATCCAGTAGTATCCTTCATGGTCACGACCTGCTCCATCACCAGTGAACTATTTTGTTAGCATGCGGATTTCATTGAAAGGGGAAGACATACATAGTATCCCTTGTAGACATTCAGATATGTATCCGTATATCTCTTGTGTGCACCCCAAACTGTACGAGCCATGCTAGGCCATGGTTGCTTGAAAGCCAAAACACCCTCGACATCATTTCCGTGAATCTCCTCACCGGAAACGGGGTCGATGATCGCAGGTTCGATACCGAAGAATGGGAGGGATGCACTACCTGGCTTGGTAGGTGTGATACCAGCAAGAGGAGTGATGACATTAGATCCTGTCTCGGTTTGCCAGTATGTCTGGACAAGTTAGCAGATTCCACAAATCGAGGTCTCTGACTTACGTCTACAACGTGAGCTTCCTCCTTTCCAACAATCTCGAAATACCACTTCCAGACCTCGGCAGCAATTGGCTCTCCTACAGATCCCAAGACACGAAGATGCTTCATCTGAGCCTTGACATGTTGATCACCAGCTCTCTTGAGCAATCTCAACGCAGTAGGAGCAACGTAGAACTGAGTAACCTCGTGCTTCGCAATAACATCCCAATATCTTGAGAAGTTAGGATAAGCTGGAGTTCCCTCGAAAACGACCGTCGCAACACCGAGTAGAAGAGGAGCGTAGACCACGTATGTATGACCAGTAATCCATCCTACATCACCACCGCAGAAGAACTTGTCGGTATCATGGATATCAAAGACGTATTTTCCAGTCGCAGCAGCTCCTAGGAGGTATCCAGCAGTCGAGTGCATGACACCCTTTGGCTTGCCAGTCGATCCAGAGGTATAGAGAAGGAAAAGCGGATCTTCAGAGTTCATTGGCTCAGGAGCAATGTATGAAGGCCACTTCTCAACCTCCTCATGCCACCACCAATCACGACCCTTGGTGAAGGGAACGTCTGCACCTGTGCGCTTGTAGACCAGGCAGTGTGTAACATCTGGACATTGCTTGAGAGCATCATCCACAATCTTCTTTGTACCAATCAACTTTCCTCCTCTCTTTCCCTCGTCGGTTGTAATGACGACCTTGGATTGCGCATCAATGACACGGTCGCGGAGGGAGTCGGACGAGAAACCTGCAAAGACGACGGAGTGGACTGCGCCAATGCGGGAGCATGCGAGGAATGCAATGAGTGCTTCGGGGATCATGGGGAGGTAGATGGCTACTGTGTCGCCTTTCTTAACGCCCATCTGCTTGAGGACGTATGCTGTTCTGCATACTTCTCGGAGAAGCTCGCCATATGTGAGGGTTCGTCCATCGCCTTCTTCGTCGGCCTCGTAGATAATTGCTGGCTTGTCTGGGTTCTTGATCGCATGACGGTCGACGCAGTTGAATGAAGCATTGAGTTGACCTTCCAGGAACCACGCATTGTCTCCATTGGTGAAGGTGCCACAGTGAACTGTCTGGAAATCCCTCTGCCAAGTGAGCAGCTCGCGGGCTAGCTTTCCCCAAAACTTGTCCGGCTCGGTGATCGACTCCTTGTACATGGTTTGGTACTCCTCAAGGCCTAAACTGTCAGCATAGAATGGGAGGAGAGAGGAGGAGCTTACCACTCAAATGAGGTTTGCTTGGGTGTTCTGTACTGTCAGTTCTCTGCAATTTAATGGGCAATTGGGAGCTTACTGTCCAACATCTTCTTGGGAGGATCTGGAGCGCGTTAGAATTGTCGCAATGCGTTTCTGAGCTGCACTTACGGAAGGTATCGACCTGATGGGCCTCAGCCACTACAGGGCCGTTATTGGGCTTCACGTCGCCTTCAGACATGATTGCGGTGGTGTTGTTGTTTTTCGATCAGGCTGCGAGTTTGGAGAACTGCGGGGTTATTTGTATGGGCGCCGAAATATGGGGCAACAGCACAAATCACAGGCTATTGATCGCTAAGCCAAAGGTGATCGACTACAGAGTAAGGCAAATGGTTGTGAATTGCGGCGAGTAGTACAATTGGGACTGAGTAGGAGGGGGATGAAAGAATAGGAAGAGAAGGAGGGAGACCGAGGGAGACAGCACTCTTTTATTAATTCCTCTCCACCATGCCACCACCTACCTCGCTGCCTCACTACCTCGTCAGCAGCTCATCTCGTCTTTCTCGGGGCAAGGGACGTTTCTTCTTCTGTCTTTCGAGCAACGGAGCTACATTCCCAGCCAGAAGTGCCCCGGTTATTGCATTGGAGCTCTGTGAATGGCCAGCCATCAACCCCTCCTTCTAGCCGGACGAGTATCAGCCTCGAGTTCGGCATAGGCGGGGCTGCCGGTTCGCTGGGAGGATGCTGCCAAGAGGATGAAGACCTATGAGCATGAGGGAGTGGTCATCGAGGCTGGGCTGGTATAGAGTTGGATCGGATTGCATCTCAAATGTCCATGATATGATCACCTCATGTTTGTGCATCATCATATTGGCATTGCCAGTTTGCAATACCTACCTTACAGGATGAGGCAGCGGACACAGTCGTCCAGCAGCAAAACACACTAACCGAGAATCCGGGTATTTGTATTTCTACGAGCTGCTTTCCAACAGACATATGTAATTTGTTCCGGACATCGGAGCCGAATTGCGAGATACAGAAATTGAAATAGATGGATACCGTTCAAGCACGACAGTGGAGTCCTTCTCAACCATTTCTGCACCCTGACACCTTCAACTATCCATCTCACTAACCCCTCCTCCCTCCTCCCTCCTCCGTCCTCCCCTCATCCCCAAAACACCCCAGGAAAACTGGGCTGATGTCAGAACACCCAGCTTGTGACCACTGCTGTACCCCGACATTCTCCATCGTCGGATCTGGTATCGATGTGCACGCAGCCGGGGAAGTCAGGACATTTCGTTCGCGTAACACATGGCGAGGGTTAGTGGCATAATACTACCCTATCGTGTCTCGCCCAGTCCTGTTTGTGGCTTTCTGGCGGGGTCGACGAGGCTGATGCTTGGCTTTTGCCTTTGCTTGCAGCCCCTGCATCATCGTTTTGCCCCTCGTCCATCAATGTCCAGGTCGATGCAGTGAGATGGATGAGATGCCGAATGCTCGGCTGCTGTATTAATAGGATGGCTGGGGACGATGAAAGTGAGAACAGCGACAACATTTCAATATCAAAACCATTCTGAAACTCTCCATGCGAGACTCTGAGCCCTCATATGGTCGCCGATGTTCGCCCTGTGATGCCGAATCATTAAGCTCGGTACACCATTCAACGGCCGGATGAGATCATGCCGAGACTGAAATCTGCATCGGCTTGAAGGAAGAGATGGGACAAAGTCAATTCTTACCAGGGCTTCTTAATAGCCAAGCCGGTGGGCTGCAGGACGCAATTAATTATCCTGTCCCTGGTGAGTACAGGCTCGCGTGGCTGTAGGGAGTGATTATTGCATTCTAGCTGCCAAGATATCCAACTCCGTTCTGCGGTGGGAAATGGGAAGAAACGTGATATAATTCTGGAGGCAAGCAAGGACAATTTCTGCTGGAATAGTAACCGTCACTGTATTCAACCTTGTGAGATCAATCGATCATACCAGATTCCTCCTAGTTTCCGTTCAAATTCTGGCAAAGAGATTTATGTCACGTGTACTACAGCGAACAGAAAGGAAACAAACGATTCTCTGACGACTACCTGCCTCTACAGGCTAGTGATTGTCTAGAATCGACTAACAAATTGATCTTCCTACTGCTAATCCTGAAATTAGAATATCCGGAGCTCTTAATAATGTTGGTGAAGACGATCTAGTTGCCGTCATTGAAAGACAAAGAAAAGCAGAATCCTCTCGAGACCCTGTAGCAGAGAGTAATCCGGTTCGTCACAAATGAGATCCAAGTCCTGAAGTACCAGTTCCAGAAAGCTTTAAGCCTGTTGAGGATTTTCCCCACAGTAAGCCATTTAGCTAACCAGAGCGACCAGAACCAATACTGCGGATTACTGCCGAGATGCACTCTATGAAGCGATAAAAGATTCGGGAGCAGATCAAGCAGATTGATAAGGTTCACGAGGCGTATACTTGTCACCCCGAGCTTTCTGATGATCTTAAGAATCTACAGGAAAAGCTCAAGGATATTCGGCATTATATTACGCACAACGTTGGGTTGATAACGCATCAAGACTTCAAAAGGTTCCTTTTGAGACGCTCCATGAAATTTCGAATGAGAATTAAGGTTGGAGGCTATGAGTACTGCTTTTGTGGAATTCAAGGAAACATTTGACGTCTATGAACCCAGTCGTTCAGATGCAAGAAAGTTTGCGTTCTACTTATCTCCGACCCTCTCATCCCCCCAAGATCTCCCCTGACTTTGAAATGTAACCAGCTCGGAATATATCCATCGTTCAAGTATCAGTCTGGAGAACAAGAGGACAAGACTGAAACATTCCTAGCTTAGCACCTTAACAAGATAGTGTGGACTGGAGACAACTTGGCTAGATTCAGTCCTCAGACTGCTTTCCATATGATTGTAAGACAGTTGCCCCTTCACTTGTGTTCTCCTGTTAGAAGCCAACTTTAGAGTCCCCTTAAAACAAAAGAAATTGTCCTGAGCTTGGGAACATTTGCTTGAACGTGCCTGTCCTTCGAGAAGGCTGAACCCTTCGCCCTCGTCTGACGCCCGCCTTGAACCCTACGATGCTCTGGACTGACGAGCGCTTTGGTCGATATTCAGGCTTTAATATTCAAAAGTACCTTACTTAGTGTTTCTTAGCACCCCAACTCGGCCAAGATGAATAGAAAGCTTCGAACTTGAGCTTTGTGTATGAAGCAAGGCAGATGCGGTAAGGAACACGCCAACGTGAACAGGACTGGAAAATAGGATCAAAGCAAAAGATATAAGGAAAGGATGTGACTGGAAAGCCATGTTAATTATGTAACTATCTAGCTATCTACAAGCAGTAAGATTTCATTTGAAGTCTCCCGCTGTGCCATCATATTGAGCTATACACCCGGTATGCCTTCCTCCCCTCTCTCCTATCCTATACACTTCCTACGCAATCATGATCCAATATTTCTATCCAAGCAATCATCCAACCAACCACACAAATGCAAAAGTAGTAGCAGCAGCCGTAATATATCAAATATTCTTTCTCAATGCCACAATACAATCCCAACCACGCAATGCAACCATAACACCGATACAGTATACCCAAGAAAGGCAACGGGAAAGCCAACAAAGAAAAAAGAACGCCTGTCCTGTATCCAACTGTCGTAACGCACTTAAGCATACCTTACACTAGGCTGCCACGCCATAGGCGGCTGAGTCGGCGGTTTCCACCTCCCATTTTCCCAACTACCCTGCGCACCATGGTGCCCTCTATTCGACATTGGCGGCCCATGTGTCGGCGCAGGTGCCATATTCCACCCTGGAGCTCCTGCCCATCCAGGCGGTGGAGGTGCGTTCTTCATCGCGCGGATCCGCTGTCTCCTCTTGTACCGCGAAACACAACATGAGAGGATGATCAGAAGGAGCAGACCGCCGATTGCTGATGCAAGACCTATAACTAGAGTCTTGTTCCGTGAGATCCAACTTGTGATTTCCTTGCCCACGCTTGATCCTTTGCATGATCCTAGTGCACATTTGCCACCACCGCCACAGGGTGTGCCTTCCAAGAAGTTCTGTTGCATTTTGTAGCAGACATTGGAACCAAATTCGGGAGAGGCGCACGAGATTTGACAACCAGAAGATGAGCAGGCGTAGGTGTCGTTTCCTTGAGTGTACGAACCCATCAGAGTCTTACATTGCAGATCCCGAGATGTACATTGACCTGAGGCGCAAGACAAACCATCACCACTGTTACCACATGATGTACCTAATCTTGTTAGCAAAATCCGGCTTCAGGAACGAACGGCTTACCGTCTGGTGCTGTGGCATCCTCTGGACATGTAGCTGCTGAACCACTACATGTCTCTTGAGGATCACAGGTTCCAGTACTTGCTCTACAGATAGTTCCATTCGAGGCAAACTGACAGCTTCCTGTACAACAATCCTCGTTGCTGGGATCACAGACCGCGTTGGTCTTGAACTTGCACGTCGCTGCATCACAGCAATTGTTGTTTCCACATCCAGCAGTTCCACCACAATCACAATCCTCTCCAGCCTCGACAATGCCATTTCCACACTGACTTCCTGAGATGGTGGTGATATCCTTGTTGGCAGTCAAACAGCTCGTCTTGACACTGTTCCTCCCGATAGCATTGCAGATGTTGCCAATCGTACATGGCGAGAATTTCTGGATATTCGGTCCAGTCGAAGGATTCATGATGAATTGTCCACCTGCATCACAAGTCGAAGAACTCAATGGACAGCATTGCTGCGAAGCAACAGTAGCACCATCATTGCAAGTCGCAGAGTTACAATCATGGACTGCACCAAATGTATGACCAGTCTCATGGGCAATAACTTGCCACTCAGTACTCGTCCTGACCACAACATTGGCTCCACTAACAGTCTCGTTCCCTGATGACGAAGAGGCAACCTGAGAAGTCGCAACACAAGCCTGTCCCAACCATGCAAGTCCAACAGCAGATCCAGTAGCACATTTGCTAAGAAGTGTCCAATAAGCATTATTATCGGCACGATCGCCTCTCCAAGCAGAGAACAGGTTCAATCGATCCTGAATCGTGACCGAATCGCTACATCCAACATTCCAAGGAGCTGTCGATGGGGGTGTCCCAGGGCAGACGGCATCGCTGATGGTGAGATTCTGAAGACCTAGAGTAATGTTGAAACTGTCCTCATATTGAACGGAAGCCATATTCATGACACTGATAATATTGGATCGAGCAGAAGAAGTCGAGTTGAAGTCTGCGGTGTAGGTACAATCCGTAGCGACTCCAACCAGAGCAACCTTTCGAGTTGAAGGACATCCAGCAGAATTTCCAATCGTGCTAACCAAGTTGACACCTGCAGAATTTCCAGTAGTCTGTCCATCGATTTGTCGACCAAAGAGGCTCTTGGTGTATGAAGATCCGAAATCTTCTCGTTTGGCCATTCCAGTATAGACAGGGTGATCCAGTTGAGTATTGAAGGACAATACATCGGCAGAACACAAACTATCCCCTCCAAGTGCTCTCTTCAGCTCTCCGTGAGCATGTCCATCGAAGTCCATAAAAGAATCGGCGGCAACGTCAGAATCCCTCCAGAGAACCATATACTCCTTCCCCTTGTCTTCCGGCTTCGGATCCATGGCATGTCTCGTTTGCATATAATGCGTCCTGGTCTGGATATGATGATGATCTCCATCAACTCTGAAAGCACCTTCGAACAACGGTTCCACTCCATCCAATTGTACCATTATCCTAGCCCAGCCAACATTCGTCCATTCAGCACCTGGGTGATGCTGTAACCAAGCCTGCCCCTTGAACACCCTGTATTCCGAACGATCAATCAACTCCTCCGTCTTTATCGATCCATCCGGCGCCAGATGAACTATCGTCGCTCCATCCTGAATGACATCGTGATTCGGAGCCAGCGTCAGCTTGATTCTTTGTTCAGCATTATGTAAATCGAAGGTAAGGTCGAATTTCGAAAGAGCATGTATTCGATGTGAAGGAGTATTAAATTGTGCGTTTTCCACCTGCGATAAGTACGTTAAGGGATTCCTCTCGTTGGAGTGTGCTATCGACAGTCAGCAGGAGGAGTGGATTCACGATCATCACGCCGTACCGTGAGAAATTGAGTATAGACACGAGCTGACCAAAGCCGCCGTTAAGCTCCGCAGAATGTACATTGTCTGGTATGTACTGATGGGGAGAAAGAGGCCGGCGGGCGCTCGTAGATATGCGCCTTGCTCACGAGTGAGGGCTGCGATTCACGAATCCGTCGTCCAGACGATCACCATTCAGCCACCTCCTAAGCCTGCTTGGGATCCTGATTATGTGAGGTGAGGCGTGCAGGTCGACGGATAGAATTAATCCCGGCGGATGCGATACAATATGGTGGAATCAATCGACCAGCGAAAACGAGCGACTGTCGTAATATATTATTGTGCGTATGAGCACTCTGGAGGAGGAGGTGGAGGGAGAGGGGGATAGGGAGTGAAGGTTGTTTGTTTCTTGCGATGGTTGTGAAGTTCGAGGACTGGACTCAGCACCGGCGGCCGGGGGAGTGGTGGGAGAAGGTTATGCTGGTTTGGGTCAAGCGCTGCTGCCAGTGTCCTCCTCCTGAGCTACTGGGGCTGGACTGGGCAGAACCAGATGGTTTCAGAACCTTGCGAGAGCGTTTACAGTGCAAAAGCCCTGAACAATGCAAAGAAAAGAGGCTCTTAGGTCGGAGATATTTTCAAGAGATTGATTCAGATGAGGCCGAATTGATGGACACGTACCGAGGGTTTGTTTATAGTTACCCGGCGGATTGGATGCGAGGGATATTTAGATTTCTATTTCCACTGCGGCTACCTTTGTCAGACCTATACGAGGCAACGTAAGTCCGAGGAACAAGCATGTTCTTCTGTATCCACAAGTCAGGCTGTATCCTTAATTGACGGCATAAGATCCAGTGAGCCCATCTTCAAGCGTAGTCTACATGTCTTCCGGTGTCAGACCCCGTTGTCAATCAACACTTTAAGCTTATCATCAACTCTCCTTGAGCACAGAAGTCGTTCGGCTCATCAGCTGTGGCGAAGTCCCAGTCCTGCTCCTCTGATCTGCCCTCGTGCGACCAACAGCAAAACCCCGACCCACCAGCCAACCAGAAAGCCAAGTCCCCCATCGTCTGATATCCCTCACGCACAGTCTGAAATCCTCCCCTCCGTGACCGCTCAAAATCGCTCTTCCCGTCCCATCTGGCAGCTGTGGTTTCAGATGGCGGCGCTTGGGCGCTTGGTTACCATTGGAACATGCTCAGCCTTAGCGAGCTAAATATACCCCAGCTGAGGCACAAAAGAAACAGAAAACCATACACAAGTGACAGCTGAAGTCAAATACTTCGATGATTCCACCTCACTTGTTTTCTCAGAAGTTGACTTCATGCACGGTGAGCCTTGCAGCATTCCAGCCCGTCCCCGTCTCCCAAAACCAACAGGAGAAGCAACGAAAGTAAGCGGGGTCTAGTCCACGCCATCCACTCCCAGTACACCATTACATGGACATGGAATGATCGATCCGTCTTGCATACATCCAATCGCTCTCTCTCCTCTCCATCTGTCAAAAAGTTGCGATAGAGGTAGAGATTGTGTAACTAGACTTGAAAGGATGAATATCGGGGACCGTATGCAGCCACACGCAGACTAACGGGCTTGATTGCGTACGCGTGGGCTGAGTCGCCATATGGCTTTTGTCACACGAGGGGGTTTTCAGCAGAAAGCTCCTCACTAACAGGCCAATGAGATACTGCATTCTATCAAGAAGGAAATATTGCTTCCGTTCGAGATGGTGCAAGAGAATTGGGAAGCAAGCATGACAATCACTCCGATTACTCGGGTACAGTGGAACCTCAGGAAGAGTTCTTCGTTCGAAGATACCTGGCCTTTGGGATTTGAAGGATCACTTGGCTTTCTTTTAGCCTTGGGATCCTTTCACATCAAACTCTAAGACTCTTGGGGAAAGGCAATAGCGAGCTAGCTTTCTTGGCTACGCGCGGCAATAGCACTACGTACAGAGCCTCGTGTACTAGAGTTTGCTGTCGACGAATAGATTCATGGAATGCAAACTAGAAAATGTACCTGGCTAGGAAAGGTATGGTATGGATTGACAGGAGAAATAAAGTGCTGATGTGTCATGAGAGCTTAATTGCTCAGATGATTAGGTAACTGACTAGCTGGCTGGATGAGTAGCTGACTGAGCTCAGAGCCTGTAGCTCTGACGGATACTCACACTCGTGAGAATTGAATTTTTGATCCTTATTACATTCTTGGCAATAATCAAAGAGACGCTCCCAAACTCAATACCTAATCGTAAATCATAGCCTCATAGTCTGCCGTACCTGCCAAGCAGGAAACTCCATGCCAAATCTCATCAACGCACATCATCTCCTCGAACTTTGTCCAGAGACCTGTCTCCTAGCCTTCTCCCTTTCTCTATCTCTCTCTCTCTTCTCTTTTTCTTTATCTGCAACCTGCCCGTCAACAGGATAGGTGTCATTCTCATCGTGAAAGCCACAAAGCATTTTGGTGAAGTAGTACCGGGTTGCCGCGATACTCTGTCCGTACTGGTTAGTATATATGTTTCTGAAAGTGGCGACAACTTTGAAGATCAATGGCCAAGAGGGAGAGGATGGTACGCACATCGCTGCGAGCTTGTGCATGCATCATCAATAGCTCAGGAGAATCCAAAATCACGGCCGCCATCCTACGTTTCTGAACATTCTCATAGGAATCATTTCCATATCTGTACACTGTCGTCAGCCATATTCTCTCCCACTATGCTCTCCCCTCCAATCCACCAGAACTGCCCATTTCAGTACCCGCACGTGACATTGAGACAGTCTCTCCTTCATCTATCTCCTCCCTCTTCCTATGAAACTCCCAGAGCTCAAATTCCGGAACAAAAAAGCACTTACGCATCCCACCGTCCCCCATCGTCACTACTATCCTCACTACTCTCATACGGATCCTTATTCCTCGCCTGCGCATCCTGCATACTAGCCGTAAAAGGAGGTGGCTCATTGCGCGATCCCGTCCCTTTCCCCGCTTTCATACTCCTCGGTGTACCAGCTCGAGGACGGGAAGAGGAAGAGCTTGTGCTCGAGTGGTTCATTCCTGGTTGATTGGTTGGGTTTTGCGGGTGCTGAGGATGTTGGTAAGGAGAGGGGGATGAGTTTGAAGAGGTGTTTGGTGTACTGTGAGAGGATGCCATGGTGTGCGGAATATGTTGTTGTTGTAATGTTCTGGATACCTAGTGGTGAAGGGGAAAGGAAGGAGCTTGAGGAGGGGGGAGGTTTGATATCACGTGTAGGATGATATATCGACTCTTGGCATAATTCGCTTAGCGAGCCAGTAATATGCTTCGTGACAACAGGCAAGAGAAGAAATGAGCCTGGATTATTGTCTTCAGACTCTCCTCGTCATGGCTGAGAGATCCTGGCGTGGAACTGCGACTTCTGCTCTACTCCTTGACACATCAACATTTAACTTCGAACCAGGGCCTATTTTGACATCGCTACCTAGAACTACTGACGTCTTTGAAGAAGCTTTGAGATGGGGACACTCAAATGGTCGAATGAGATGGTCCTGTATAACCATCCTTCCTACTTCCCAATATTCATGAGACTCTATTGTGTAGCCTCTGCTGTAATGACTTTTGACTATTTTTGCAATCCCTGTCACTACTTGGTTATACGATACTCAAAAAGTCGTTTAAAATCTTGCCGCAAACCTCCATGCCCTAGTTTAATGCGTAGCATAATAGTTCTTTAATTCTATTGTTCAACGATGAGTGTCTTTAACTTCAGATTGTTGGTTGAAGTAACTATCTGCTCTTCTTCTTCTTTCTTTGTCTCCATTTTTTTGAGGCAATCCAAGTTCATCAAATGAGTATTATGGCTTGCACTGCACCAAACTTATTGTCTTCCTCTCCTCATTGAACCCATACCGCCCAGGGCGTTTAATACTCTTCCTTTCTTGGCCGTTCTGTCCCTTCACTCAATTTAGGCAGACATTGCTCGCACTAGTCCTCATCTGCTCCCCGGACTTATGATGTCGCTAGTGCCCTCGGTTGTTGGCCTGAAACAGGTTCAAAATGTCAACAAACTCATCTCTGCCTGATACTGTGTCCGACGCTCACTATCCCCGAGCAGGAGAATCTCGAACTAACATAAATTATTGAGATTGGTCTTAACTGGAGTCAAACTAACTTGCTGCCAGTGCGAACTCTTTTTGCCTTTCGATCATTCCACAAGCCAAGTCGAAAGATTATCGCGCAAGGTCACTGGTCATGCTCGCCTGCAAACCTTTCAATCTCCTTTTCAACCTTACATTTGCCTGACAAAAAAATGGAAATGACGAGACTGTCAGTCGGGCAAATGTCAGATCCATTCACTGATCGTGTCTCGAATGGTTGTTCTGCATCACCTCAAGGTCAACTCGCTCTACAGCCTCGTCTCAAGCAATTCGAGCAACCCGCTGACAAAAGTTGTAAGACGCCATCAATCTCTGAAATTATGCATCCTGACTTCTTAGACTTCGAAATGCCCCAAAGTTATGCCCCAAACCCATTCGTTGAAGATCTGGACAGGAGATTCCCTCGAATCGCCGTCAGCCCCAGCATGTTGTATGCATACTCTCTCACACAAGCCAAGGACACTGTACAAAATGATCCCTTACACTCTGCACTCTATGCTCACCCAAGTCGGAGTTTTGACGACCAACGCCGATTGCAATTAGAGCTGGTCTCAAGACGCCATTCCATCCAATCGTAAGGCTCTTCACCTTATCTTGCTTCGCTAACTAGACAAGGCTACCAAAATGCACTACCTTCTTCTGGGATCCTATCGACGAACAGCCACGAGTTGAGATGCCATCCGTACCATTCGACCCCTTTAAGTTACTACCTTCGAACATCACATTGAAGGAGCATCTTCGTCAATTCCCTCCGTGTGTTGGAACCAATCACTTCAAAGGCAATATGGTTTGGTCAAACTTTGGATATATCAAGATTCGTGGTCGATGGGTTGATCCAGACTGTGAAGGTGCTGTTGCAGATGCGTACAATGCTTATGAGAGTGGCGACGATGAAGCTCCTTACCTTGCTGACCTGCAGAAGCGTCCTGACACAGGCCCACGAATAATGAGTCTTGAGGAACAAGATGAGTTCTACAGTCAATACACCGAAGAAGTGTCTGATGAAGGGGATGGAGAAGGTGATCCTCGGCTCTACCGCATCACTCCGGCTACATTCGCTCGATGGGCTGTTGGTAGTGGGACTGGAGAGAGATATGAAGAGAAGGCATTCATGCCAGCTGTAAGATTCCTTCTTGCTCGGTTGTTTCAACGCTAACAAGTTCCAGCCAAAGCTTCCTTCACCAGACCCTCGGTATGAGGCAGAGATCATAATCAAGCCTCGCCCTCAGTTGCAGTACGATATGGAAACAGGAAGTGTTCTCTCTGGCTTCTATGAGACTGACCCACATCCTCGAGTCCTACATACTCCTCAAGGTCAGTTGTTTGCAATGTTCAAAGCTGCTTCTGACAAGTCCAGGTGTCAACGTTGTCAGACCGCCCGCTGTATTTTCCTACAGTTATCCCCAAACAGCAATCGATCTCGACCTTCGAGCCTTCAACAACGGCCAAATTGTCAGCCCCCAGCCCAGCATTGCCTCAACTCCCGAAGTCTTTAATTCTGTAAGTCTTCACTTGCAATTTCCCTTCACTGCTAACCTCCCAGGAAAACGGCATCCTCAACATCGCACCCAAACTCGGCGATTACCATACCGGAGAGCAAATTTATGAAGGCACCCGCTCCAAAATCGAAACCCTCCGCTATGATCTCGAGCACTCCACCGTCGAACTCTTCTTCAAAGCCGACGCCGCAAAAGTCACAGCAGAACAACGCATCCAACTCGGCCGCGAAGTCTTCTTCCTTAAAGACCGCCTCTCATCCCGACCTCCTCCGCGGGACATCTCCACCCACCGACGACTTCCCAAACAGCCAATTCGACGGCTCGTACTCTCCGCGCTCGCCTCCTCAGCCAAAACAGAGAAGACGTACTCAGTATCAGCGGTACCTGCGTGAAGAGATTGAGAGGGAGGAGACGGCTGTTAACAAGACGAAGCAGTTTCAGAAGAGAATCGATGAGGAGCACCAAGAGATTCTAGATGAGATGAGAGAGTTGAAGATTGCGAAGGAGCAGTTGCTTGGTGCGTTGGGAGTGCGTTCTGTTACTGATCTTCCAGGTCTGATTCCTAAGCGAGAGATTTCTGGACGGGACTTGAGAGAACAGTTTGGTCTGCAGTGAGCTCGATGAGGGTGTATACATGTGGAGTTTGGTTCGACGGCTGACGAGAATGATATGGTTTCTGGATTGCTGTTGTCTCATCATTGTGTTTGGGTTTCCTGCTTGTTTTCTCTTCTGTTTGTTTTCTTTTGGCTCGCACCACGCCAATATTTCTTCTCATTCCTGTCATTTGCTCTGTCTCTCAGGAGAGATACCAAGCAACAGATTTTTGCCCTGTCTAGCAGATCTTGTTTCGAGGCTCAGGTACTCGTCAGGCTCTCAGCAGACAGAGGCAAATCTGAGGACACGACGGGAAAGATGGACCACAATTCATATGAGAGGAAAGACAGTGGCATAATAAATGACTTGCAGCATGGCGAAAGAACGCACATGCAGATTTTGTACATTAGATAATAAGATCGTCATAAACCCATCCCTGAGTCTACAATTCCCGCATGCTATGAAGGAAGCCTTGCAAACCCTATACAATGCAAGCCAGCCTTTTCTACCGCCATGGAGAGGAGCAGTGAGTTGTGTCATACACCAATATCGAACATTGAATCCAACGCCTTCTTTTCCTCCTACTCATACATATACAGAAGATCCCACCCCATGAATGACGCCCAAGATGCCAGACAAATTTGTTTCGTACAAGTTCTCTCCCCATTCTTACAAGCAGATGGAGAAGTCTATGAATTCTTCACCACGCCAACCTTGGCAGCTCGCAGTATCCTCCCATTAAGCTTAAATCCCTTCTGCTGCGTCAAGAACACTGTATTGTCCTCCTTCCCTTGCATAGGCGTCATGAATGTCGCCTCATGCTCATTCGGGTTGAACTTTTCGGCCTCAACACTTGGATCGAATCGTTCCAGTCCATGCTTCTTCAAGGTATTCATCAAGATGTTCTCAGTCATCTTCAACCCATCGTACAGCGCAAGCAGATCCTTGAGGTGCTCATTCTTCTGATCTGCATTGAGCTTCTCTTCAGGAACCATGGCAAGTGCGCGGTCGAGATTGTCGACGCTTTCGACGAGGTCTTTGGCAAACTTTTGAATCGCAAAGTCTTTCGCGGATTGCATGTCCCGTTTAGTTCGTTCTTGGAGATTGCGGAATTCAGCGACGGAGCGGAGGTATCTATCCTACAAAGCAGCGTATTAGCATTGATCCTTCGCTCCAAACCAATTCCAAGTCCACATCAATGCCCATTCGGCAGAACTGGTTGACAAGTGAACAGTGGCGCAGCTAACCTTCAACTCCAAAATCTCCTTATTCTTCGCCTCCAATTCCTTCTTCGCCGGATCCTCACCCTCACTCTTCTCATCCTTCTTTACGTCCTCATCTTTCTTCGCTTCCGGCTCGGAGCTATACCATCTTATTGCCGCCTGCCGCGATACTCCCAGCGCAGTGGGCGCGGGTCTGAATTGGGGACGGGCGAGGGATGTTCGTGGTGCTGCTGAGCGGACGCTGGAGCTCAGGACTCTGGATTGGCGAAGGAGGGTTCTTTGGATCATGGTTGGATTGTGAGGTTTGTGATTTGAAGGGATCGTGTGATGGTGTTGTGTTGAGGCTGGTGATGATGTCCGAGGAAGCTTCTGGGAAATAATTTTTTGAGAAGGGCTTAGCGTGCAGGGGGCGGCTACTTCCGGGTCGGGATGAGACGACGACATTCCTTTGAGGTCGGTCTTCATCAGCAAGACGCAGTAGTGCAAAACAATTTACATGAATCTAGAGGATATATTTCTTATTGAATCTACACTTGGTAATACTGTCTATCTGCTGAGTTGCTGAAATACGTATAGGTACCTGGCTGCCTAGACTTGTTTGCCTCCCATGGCCAAGTCCAAAGTAAAGCGTGTAGCTTCTATGCGAAAAATTTGGGACAGACATTTGCTAACTTGATTTACTATTTGGTTTCCGAGTCTTCCTGTGCAGTTAGAGATCCGAGTTGTTTTCATACATAGATTGCTGTCTTTGGAGTGTCTTTTCTCTTGTTGGTTTTGCATCAAGAAGCAAAGTCTTATACATATAAAACCGAACCATTTTTGGAGGATATTTTAAATTAGCACCTGCTTCTATCTCATTCGACCGATTGAATCAATTTATTTTTTCAAATTGTGTTATCATGCAAGGGCAAACGATATCTGTCTTATAGTGCCAAGTCTGATAGCACTTCCTGGAAGCCAGGACTCTACGCATCTTTTCTTTTGATTTGACTGTCGAACCTTTTCACTTGGAAATATCAAATCTACACCCAAAATTCCAAACCATGATTTTGTGCCTGTCAAAGATACAAGAGAAGCTGCGTCGCAAGTTGACAGACATTCCAGAGTCGGCTGCTGCTTGTGACTTCATATCAGAACATATCTGACAGGACTCAAACTTCAACAAGTCAGGTATAACCTATGACAATATCCCTTAAAGTTGTTCGGAATTGAGAATTCCAACTCAAACAGAACTGTCGCTTCTGGCTCACTGATCCAATCTCCGCTCGCGGACACTTCCCAGTTACCGAGTCCACAATGAGTACACTTGGCCTGAAAGACTCAAACTGAACCAATTTCGATTCACGCAATGAGATGAATTCAGATTGCGTGGGTCTTGGCAGAATCGTGTCGCTCTGTAATTATATCTCTCGCTACAGCCCACATCCATGCGACCTATCACAACAAACAACGCCAAGTTCAGACGCAACACGCACTTGAAGCAAATCACAGACCATCCAATCCCAACACACCACCTACAAGCTTTCAATCATGATTCCCACGGTACCAGATACTCCTCCTGATAGCCCAAACTTCCCCCCAACAGTGCAACTGGCCGCGATGTCGGTCTCGGGAAACAATGAAAGTGAGTTCTTCGACTATTCTACCTCAGTGCAGCAGCCTCATGCCTTGCTACAAAAATTCTAAAGCCTTCTTATTTAGACGATAAGCCAGCTGGTGCTCCTAGCATAGAGGTCTCTGGTGACTCTGCAGGTACCCCACGCAAGCATCGACCTTCTCCCCTTCACGTCCAATCCGAAGCTGAGAAGGTGAGTTACATTCACACTACCCACTTACCCCTTCCTCCCAATCTCAACCAACCTAACCACTCATCTCACTATCACAGTTTCCCTGTTTTCTCCCAGCCCCAAAACCAGTCCCCAAATCCAAGAGTCTCACGGAAGCCGAGATCAAATCCGAAGTCCTCAACGACACTCAAGTCGCCGCGATCGCCACACAACTCCAATACGATGCACCACCCTTGTCCCTCGAGGAAGCTCGTCAACGCCGAGAATCGATCAAAGATGAGCGGAAGAAGTCAATAGATTTCATTCGTCGTCGTACAATGTCCCGTGCAAGTACCCTTGGCCGGCCGAACCTAGAGGCGTTGAATGAGCCGAAGTTTGACCAGGTTGCTGAGGGTGAGAAGAAGGAGTAGCGGGTGTGATAACCTGGGTGAGAGGAAGGGTTGGTATGAAAATGGACCGAGATTGTGATGGCGTTTAGGAATCATGAACGAACTGGGAAGGAATGGTTTGGTCTGATTTGGTAAATACCCTAGCGTTCATGAAAATAAAGCAATATTTGACTCTTGAACTTGAACGCTGTGCCCAAGTTGTTTTTAGTCTGACATGACCTAAATAACGCATCCCTATTATATTTGCTTCCAGAAAGAGTGGCATGAGTCCTTCGAGTCAACGTTTGTCCGAGGCTCAAACAGCATTTTTGAAGCTCAAGCATTTATTTTACCCCGAGATCCGAATCAATCGTGATTCAAGGCGCTTCTTCACCACATGAACAGCTTCAGAACTGTTTAAAGACCGGAATTCTCCGTTGTGTCGACTCCTTGGTCAGTGGCTTCCTAAATGTCACGTCGGAAAACTCACTCATCCCACACAGCATTTGATTGAGAGCTTTTATTGTCTAAAATTTTTGTATCATAAGCTACGAGATAGGAAACTCTCCCTCAGAATATCATACACGCCCCAGCTATCCATTCGCATGATCATCAAAACCGCTGAAAGAGAAACCGTCACTCTTCCATCCATTATCATTGAAAGCCACCAACAGCGAACGAAAGCAAATCTTCAACTACGAGTCTGAACCCGAAATTTTTTAATCTACCCTGAAGCAACCCCAATGTCCAATTGAACGCCAACCAACGTATGTACGCAAGAAGCGAAAGAAAATAAGACCAAAGGCAAGTTTGGGTATCTTTCGCTGTAAACTTCGTGGAAGGGCCCAATAGCGCCAAAGAAAGGAGAGGCATATCGTCGTTTCGTAGGAAATTTGAGAACCAGGTTACCCAATTGGAGAATCCAGAAGGGACACCAAACAAAGCAAAGCCTTGCGAAGTTCAAGATTAAGGTGTCAATCCAACAGTGAGTAGGCGTCCTTCTGTGTAAACAGCACTGTGCCAGTACTGGAGAACACCAAGACGACTCTCGTAGCTCCAGATGGTAGGTTCAATCTGCTTAAAGGAGAGCTGGACGTCCATTGGGTGCTCATCATCTTTGAATATAACACCAAACTCCTTGAAAAATTGCGACTTGAACTCCTTCATGACGACTTCGAGCGGCTCGATGGCTCCGAAGCTGTTGAAGTGAAGCGGATCCATGAGGACGAAGCGCAAGATACTGTAGAGGAAGTGACTGATATTGAAGTCATGAGTAACCAGGGCGACATTCAGAGCACGGGTGATCATAACCTTGTACCCAGTTCCGTCGTTGAGAGGGAATTTGACAGTCTAAATACGTTAGCTACGTACAGAATAATGTCGAGGTAAACCTACACAGATGACATGAGACCGGGACAGATTTTGACCAGTATAAGAAGCTTGAGACTTAAAGACGTGGTACTCTCCAACTCTCGCGCGGTCTTTTGATGGCAAGATTTGAGTCCAATCAACGCCCGGCCACTTCTTCAAATGAGCAGCGCGGATATCAGGAACGTCACCGTACTTGTAGAACATGGCAAAAATCTTCTGGCGGTACTTCTCTGCAGAGTCCGGCAAGTAGTAAAGGTTGTTGAGCGGGAAGGTTTCCATGTGGTATGTGGGGCCGAAGTCGGTGGCCACGTTGCTGGTATATGGTGGAGTATGACGACAAACCTGGCTGTGATCCCAAGAATCCGCCAGAAGGCAAGCCTTGGAGCAATAGAATGGATGGCCAGAAATGACACCGCACAGTGGACAGAAGTGAAATGGATTTGCCGCGGTGGGGACCGTGAACTTCTCACAGAAGGTGCACTTGGTTGGAGGATTATGATCACCTTCTTCCTCTGAATCAACCTCAGAGCCGACAGAAGCCTCAGGGATTGGTGAAAGACCTTGATTAACCATGCCACCTTGTGTACCCAGGTCCGTTCCCTTACCCTTCAATTCAACTCCAAGGGATGGAGTGCTTGACGATCCTTGTTGACCTCCCTGGTGAACAACGTATCCAGTTGTCTGCTGAGGGGCATAGGCAGCTGGTGGTGGGTGGCTGTGAGAGCCTTGGCCAGTGTTGAAGTTGGCTTGACTAGAACGACCAGAGCTGTGGCCAGAGCGACCTTGGATAGTATTGGATGCGGGAACAGCAGCTGAGTTACCATATAAAGATCCAGAGTGAGTACATTGGTGATGACTTTGACCCGGGAGATTGGAGGTCTCGGCTTTGTGTCTGAACATTGTAACCACATTACCGTCTTTATTGAGGTAAGGTTCACCATTGTAGCTCTCTGGAGAAGCAGGAGTGAGCATCAAATCGGTTCGGGGAGTGACGTCTACCTCGGGAGATGCACGAGAATCTCGCTGCTCAGCTTCATCAGTGCTCGAGGAAATGACAGAAACGTCAGGATCCTTCTGTTGAGCATCGGGTTCCTTTTCAGTGCCTTCGGTAACAAAGGGATCGTCGCTAACAGTAGATGAGCTTGCAGCAAGGATCGGAAGCTGTCCAAAGGGTATGACTCTCTGTTCACTGGCATGACCGGTTGAGATGCTACTGCGACGAAAAGGTGACTGAACGCCATTAAGGTTATCATCATCTCTAGCATTGTCCACAGAGCAACGACGTTTCTTGAGATATCCAGGCTTGGTGGGAGACACCAAATCGGCCCAGGCAAGATCGGTAGGGACTGGAGCCAACTTTGAGCTCGTGTCCTTGAAGTCTGGCTTCTCAGCAATTTTAGTAGCTGGCTGTTCTTGGGCAAGAGCTGGGTTGACCTCGCTGACGGCCTCAGCGGCTGGTGCGACGTTCTCAATAGATGCCTTTTTGACTGGGATACCTTGCGAAGTAGTACCACGGCTTGGTACATACATGGACGACGCAGCTTCGTCACTGACCGGCGGGTTCTTAAACTCGGTCGTTAGTGCCTTCGCAGAAGCTCGACCAGAGCTCGATCCCTTGCCCTTGAGGTGTTTGAGCTTATGAGTTGTCTTCTTGTTGGTATCCCCAGTCGCAGCTTCGACGCCCACAGGTGGCGTTGATGAATTTTCAGTACGAGAAATCTGAGTCTTGGTACTACCAAGCTTTGCATCGGCCTTGCCCTTTCCCTCGGACTGCTTGGAGGGTCCTGTAGCTGCTGAGTTCACCTCGGACTTGGTGTCAGACGAGGCGGCAGTCTTGGACTTGCCTTTACACTCCTTTGACGCGGTAGCACAATTGGACGTAGTATTCGTAGAAGACGGCGTTCCTTGACCTTTTGAGTTGTTTACAGAACACTTGGAGTCGGCCTTTGGAATTGCATTGTCGACCTGAGAATCAAGAGCAATCTTTTCAGTAGCAGCTGGAGCAGTTGGCTTTGAATCTACGGGCTCGTCAATTTGAAAGCCGGTGACAGTATTATTGGTGCCAAAAACGGATGCCTCCTCAGTTGGCGCACTGAGCTCTGAGGTGACGACACGGCAGGTATCTTTAGTAATGGTAGGCGTGCCCTTGCCCTTGCCAGCTTGTACGACAGACTCTGGAACTGCTGGCTTAATTGCACCTTGGACGATCGTGGAAGACTTGTCTTTGCCCTTTGTTGACTCTGCTGCGTCGTTGGCAACATCCAAACCCGCAGCAGTACGAGTCTTTCTGGGTGGAGAAGCTCCATACAGATCCTCAGGGTCTGTATCGATCTCCTCAGCAAAAGGCGTAGGTGTCACAGTGCCATGAGCCACATTAGGGACAGCAGGGGTAACGAGAGCAACTTGCTTTGCAGAAATCGCCAATTCAGGTACGGAGATAGACTTCGAATCATGAGTATCCTTGCCTTGAGCCTTACTATTGTCTGATACAGGCGTGGGCATGGCAGGATATTCATCAGGGTCGAAGATTCGGATATCCTTTGGTGGATTGAGAACAAGCCTCGCAGTAGGAGCAGTAGGAGCGCTTACAAATTTCGGTCCTTGCTGGGGACGTGGATGACTGACTTCGGCAAGAGAAGTTACGGCCTTTGAACCACCCTTAGTGGTAGTTGACTCGTTCACCTTGGGCTTTTGAGCAGTACGAGGCTTGACTGTCTCCCAAGCACCAGCTTCACCATCCGTGGGTAGGCTGATACCGAGAGCATCAGGACTCAGTACAGGGCATGGGGTAACAGAAACTTGGGCAGGGTTCTTGTTTGACTTCTTTTCAGACTCTTCCGAATCAGAAGCGCTGTTTTTGGTAGATTGACCTTGAGAGACCGCTGAAGTGGACTTGGAGGTCTGGACATCGTTTACTTTGCGAGATGAAGCAGGAAGAGTGTCATCAGAGACGTCAGTACTTTGATCTTTCTTCTTCTTTCTATTCTTCTTGCCCTTTCCATCCGGTGGGACAAGAGACGAAACAGAAGTCGTAGGCTGAGTAGTCGATGGAGCCGAGCTTGAGGGCACTTCAACAACAAACTCGGTAGATGGTTGTTGTGTAGCCGCGTTCGTAGCTACTTCGGGGACGTTCTCGGCCTCAATGGAGTTGGTAGCCGTGGCATCAGACGTTGATGGTTGTAAGATTGTCGACGATTCTCCAGCAGAAGTATTGACACCTCCAGAACCAGCAGCAGTCTTGCGCTTCTTGCTCTGTCCTTTGCCCTTGGATTTCTTTGACTTGGTAGCGCTGCTGATTTTCTCAGGGGCTGCCTGAGACTTCGCGGGTTGCGTATTGGAGCCCAAGTCTTCTCCGACTTTTTCGGGAGCATGACTGAAATCCTGAACGGGCTCATTCGTTTCGCCTTCGCCGACCTCTGTGGTGCTGTCGCCATCGTTATCATCCCGACACATGCTGTAACTGCCATCCAGTCTGAAGCCTGTTACTTCACGGATGGTGATGTCTGCATCTTCGATGGCCTTTTCTGCTTTGGCGAAATCTTGTTCAGCCTTTGCAATGATCGCATGATAAGTGTTCCACCAAGCCTTGCGTCTCACTGCCTGGCGCTTCTCGCGGTCTCTGGGGGCTTGTTGAGTACCTCTCTTGCCAGTACTTCGCTCGTGAGCTCTCAGCTTCTCCTTGGTGTCCGCATAACTTGAGTGACGACACACGCGCAGATTACCACTCATTGTTGATCTCTTCTCGTTGTAGACTTGCTCTAGGTGGTCCGAGATCAACACATCCTGCAGGAACAGCTGGAATGCCTCGTCGTGTAGGGGCTTACTAGCAATGACCTTGGCTCTGTCACTGCGACCATTTTCGTAAATACGGAATTCCTTGGGAATGGCATCTGGAGAGTTAGGAAGAGATTCGACGTTCTCAGGAACCTCTTCACCCCTATAGAAAGCGTAGGCAATCTTGGCAAGGTCGGCACTGGTCGAAACAGGAGGGAGTTCAAAGATAGCTACCAATATTAGAGGTGATATCAGATGAGGGCAAAGCAACTCACAGCATAGCTCAAGAAAAGCGAGTTTTCTCATCAGTGTTTCAGCCAAGATGAAGCTTCTAGCTGCGATGGAGGTTCCTTGCAGGTTGAATGGGACAATAGGCGTATTTTGTAAGCCGAGACGTTCAGAACGAGAGTAGATGGTGAAATCACAACCCTAGTCTTTGTCAGAACAATCAAAGTCTATATGATGGTGAACTTACGATTGCCCAGTATTTAGGCTGATCACGGATCTTCTCAAAGCTTCTATTGACCACTGCAGCTTGCTGACTCTTTTCAATAGCCAGCTGGGTCTGCAAAATTTGCTCTGTAACGAGCTTGTAGCTGTAGACTGAGAAGAGTCCTAGGTCGCGAGTTTTGGGCTTGTCACCTGTAGGCTCATCTCCAAATGCCTCCTCAAGGTTCTTCTCGATCATCTTTGGCTCCCTTGGAACCGCTAAGGCAGGCTTGTTCTCCATGAAGTGCGGATTGGTCTCAGCATTGCTGATTTGACGAATCGCCCGAGACTCATCCGTCCAGGGATGATACATCTCATCAGGTATGACGAACAACTGAAATCTGCGGTTTGCTATTGCAAAGTTAGTCGCAAGCTGGAAAATTCGCATCGGCATCTTGTTGCAGGTGTGGGTGGATATTTCGCTGGAAGATGATGTCGTACCGTCAAGATCAAGCACCCAGAAGAGCTTCTGAAAGTCGAGGAAGCTACATGGCGTCAGCATTTGGGTCTTGGTGGGCAGAGATAGGTAAGGGGTTTGGGTTACTTACTCGCAGTCTCGTTGTATGAGCTGATTTCGATTTCTTGGGGGCGAAGGAGAACGAGCGAGTGCCACAAGAGGACGCTTGGAGATCACCTTGTTGCGGGAACGTGTAGGTCGAGCAGGTAGATCGTCGTCTTCAGATGAAGAGTACAGACGTGCACGACGAGGAGGTTGGTCGTCGTCTTCATATGAAGAATGCACGCGCGAGTTGACGTATGGATGGGAGTAGAATCGACTTTTGGGGATTGAAGGTGATAGATCGACAGGAATTGGAGGTATCGAAGGGATATCAAGACGCGGAGAATCACGCAGCGAGTCTACCAGCGCCTTGGGATGGCCTCTAGGCTGTTGCCGGTGCAACTGACCGTTGAAGCCCTTCTAGTTATGGTCAATAAGAGATCAGCGGCAAGTGGGAGGAGTTCTTGTGGTGTTTGAGAAGAGTTTGTGGGAGGGGAGAGTTGAGCGGAAGGAAAATAGGCGGGGGTTGCCAGTTTTGCGCAACTGGTAAGCTTGGGTCACAAGACACAAGCATTCGAACATACCATCTTGTCCTAATTGGAACAAAATCCTTTCGAATAAGTGGAAATTGTACAATAGAGGTGGTGATTTCGAGGTAGTGTGATAGATGGAGAGGGAGGATATTGAAGTTCAAGGACGGATTTGGTGCATAACACCTCGCTTCGAAAGGCGCTAATGTAGCTTTGATGTTTTCTTTTACAAGGCGTGACCTTATCGATAGGCAGCCAGACTGGTATTTTAAGAAGTACGATCTATTGTATTTCACAATTGGAAGTGGTTGCCATGAGCTTGAGTTTCAGTGGACATGAAATGCACCTTGCTGGTTCTGTCCGCTCGACAACACAACACAGAACAGTCTACATCTTTCTGCTGCTACCTTTGCATGTAGTAGAGCATCGCAGATTGTTCTGAGAGGACCATAGCTAGGGTACTGGGCTCGAATTGACCATTTGACGTGTTCTCGCCCAGCAGAAGCAGACAAATTGGTTAATCGTAGACAGCTCTACAAGGAATATTCTTCACTGAAAGTGCATTTTGAGGCCTTAATGAAAACATAGACGATATCCAAGTCACAGAGCAGAAAATGCGTTGTTCATTGAGTCCCAATCATCCGCGGTTTCATCTGAAAAGCACCCTGAGCCGCACAAACTATTGTGAGTTTGGTGCCTTTATGATGCTGGAGATGACTAGAAGTCTCCACGTAAAGTATCCCTGCCTAGCTGACGCAGAAAAACACTGTAAGCTGTTGAAATTATAGACATAGAAAGCATATCCAACACCAAAGAGCTCAAAAAGAAATCTAGCCATGCCTCAATCCTCACACGAGGCATCTTGTACGACTCAGATGTAGTGTATTGCTCTTTATTTTTCCGCTGGATTCCGTGGCTTTGGAATTCAGGGCCAAACAAATTTCCCAAGTAGAGTCAGGATCTGTTTCACGAAATCAGCAGGTTCAGTTCACATAATAAATGCTTTTAAGAGTACTCCTGTCCTTCTGTGAAGCTTTGGGTATGAATAAGAGGCAAAGAAGCAAAGAAGCAGAACGCAAGCAGAGAAGCAAGAACAGACAAATGACGGGGAAACAACAAGTCAAGACAGCAATGTAGAGACTAAAGTTGCAGTCAACCGCCCAAAACTAACAGATCTTTATAGCTTAACTGTAAGGCATTGATCATGTAGTAAATCTTTAGCCCATACATCTGCACCACTTATTCCATTAAATAGACGTGGAACCGTCTCCTCCGAGCCTTCCACAAAGTGCCTGCTTGACAAAACATGTCAAGGGCTAATCCATCGTTATTCAGCTCTGGGGGATACCGTAAATCTGTTTACCAGCAACATTTCAATAGAGGCTGTGATACTCTGGATGAGATGCCGTTCAAGGTCTGTCGTTAAATTGTGGAGGCTTCCGGATTGGGCTTAGTCGAGCGCAAGGCTTGTCATTCCATTCCTTTAAACTTGAAAACTGAGATCTGCAGTCTCGAAGCGCGTAAAACCTCGGACCCTCAATTCCTACCTACAACCTCGAGGTCTTGTATGTACTCTTCTCAGTCTTGCTTTCACACATTTGACGAGAACCTGCGATACTTCTCTGTTTGCGAGCGCTCTCTATTCAACTCCTCAAGCTTGTTACCATGGGGGACCAGCAACCAAATATCGCTGCTATTCTGGCTGCTCTGGGTATGCGCCGTGTGCTCAAACAATGAAAGAACCTGCTAACATCTTCAAGCTGCACAGAACAACAATGCGCCTCCAGCACAACAGCCTGCCTACCAACAGCCCCCTCCCCAGCAACAGCAGAATCCTTATGCGCCGCAGAGTAGCTATTCTCTGCCCCAACCCTCCAACTCTGGCAGTGTAGACCTGAGCAATATCAAACCTGTCAATTCTGGAACGGTTAGCATTGCTGAGGCAATAGCAAAGGCCAAGGCGATCGCTGCAGCGAAGGGCGCTCCAATCGGATCCTACGAGAGACCTCCTTCCTACGACCCAAACCCCCACCAAGGTGCTGGAAGACCATATCGAACATCAAGATCTCGATCCCGCTCCCCTCCTGCGCGCCGTGAAGCCTTCCGCGACAACTTCAACCCATACAGAGATGAAAGACGAAATGATAGAGCACCTGCCGCTCGTGACTACCGTGAGCGATCATTCTCCCCAGGTCCGAGAGGCAGAGGTCCTGCTGGCTTCTCTCCACAAGCCGGTGGCTATCGCTCTCCCCCAAGAGGAGGTGGTGATGACAGCGCTGTGGAGTCAATTCAAATCGAGTCGAACTTGGTGGGCTTGATCATTGGCAGACAGGGAGAGAATCTGCGACGTGTAGAGGCGGATACTGGGTGCAGAGTCCAATTCATTACTGGGCAGGACGAGACTGGACCTTACCGAGAATGCAAGATCACAGGATCCCGAGCAAACCGTGCAAAGGCCAAGGCAGAAATCAACCGCATCATAGACGACAGTGGCATGGCTGCAAATGCTCGTGCTGCTGCGGAGAGAGCTCGAGATGCCCCTCCAGTTCGTGGTGCTTCTCATCAACCTGCGTTGAGAGATGGAGAGGACAGCATGCAGATTATGGTACCCGACCGGACCGTGGGACTAATTATTGGGCGGGGTGGTGAAACTATTCGAGATCTTCAAGAACGGAGTGGGTGCCATGTCAATATTGTCGGCGAGCAGAAGAGCGTCAATGGCCTTCGACCAGTCAATTTAATTGGCTCGAGAGAAGCTGCAGCTCGGGCCAAGGACTTGATCATGGAAATTGTTGAGAGTGATAGCAAGACCAATAACGAAAAGCAAGGCCCACCCGCTAGGGCTACTGGTCGGGATGCTGGTCATGGTGGTGGGTACGGAAATGCAGCTCCTGGTGGAGGCGACACTAGCAATGACTCGATCTACGTTCCATCAGAAGCAGTCGGTATGATCATTGGCAAAGGCGGAGAGACAATCAAGGACATCCAGGCAACTACCGGTTGCAAGATCAACGTTTCACCAAAGCAGGCTGGAGAAACTGATCGTGAGATCGGCTTGGTTGGATCTCGAGATGCCATTGCAGCTGCAAAACGTGCTATTGAAGACAAGGTTGAAGCAGTCGTAAGTTTACTACTAGAAGATTACAGAGTCGCAATTAACTTGAACAGGCAGCAAAGACTGGTCGCGGAGGAGGTGGAGGTGGTGGAAATCGTAATGATTATGGCGATCGATCCTATTCCCAACCATCATATTCGCAACCCCAAGGTCAAAATCCGCAGCAAGCACCTCAAGCAGCACCGGCTGCAGGAGGAGAAGATCCCTATGCCGCATGTAAGACCATCACACATATTCTCAAAGGACGGCAACTAACCAAGATCCAGATGGCGGCTATCAAAACTATGTTGCTCTGTGGTACCAAGCAATCGCAGCCCAACAAGCTCAAGGAGGAGGTGATCCCTCGAAGCCACCTGGAACCTCGTAACTGACGACATGAAATGACCCGAATGCCGGACACGACGCCTGCTTGACTACATGACCCGCATGATTTTGCATATATTCCTGCCTAAGATTGCATTGAGACCATGATGTTGATATGGATCCATCTGACATGCCTACATGCACATCCTGACACTGGTACCATTTTCGTATTGGCGATGGCCGTCTGACTTGGCGATGATCGAGACTGACCCGACCTCATGCATTGAACTCTTGCTTGACATGATCTCAATACCGACGACTTGATACCATGACTTGCAAAGGGTGTTCAACTTTGCCACATGCTTGCTTGGATCAGACCAGATGAGTTGACACAGACACTTCAGAGACCTCAATTCTTCCGCTTTTCTTAATATTGCTGCTACGATAACCACTCGGATGAATCACAAGGCGCCTAAGCATACTATTGACTTTTGACAAACAATGCCTTGTCTTTGACGTTGCACTTACCGGACAGGAGGCTGATTGATAGCATTCTATGAGGAGTTCTTGGATTATGGATGGAAAATTGTAAGATAGTGAGTAGTTAGTTGACGAAAAAGCAGTGTCCTGAGAATTGTCTAGCCTGCTGCCAAAGAGCCTGGAGTCAGAATGTTGCCAGGCTTGAGATGACCCTAAAGGCTTTCACTTGCCCAATGCCGCTACAGCGGTGAAAAGATCATTGACTTGAACTTCTACTTGGGATTAAGTAGCTGAGTTTTAGATGTAAAATGAGCCTTTCAATAGTAATGCTTCATCCCAACACAAGATCCATTCCGCTTGAGCTTATCTCATAAATCAGACCCTCCTTTGGTAGTAATTCGTGCCACGCCCTACATATCCAGCCTTTAGCGTCTCGGTAAGCAAGTTAGTGTAAATTAAAGTAAATTAAAGTAAATAGGCTAATCAGATACTAGGGATAGGGCGAGCCTACGAATTCCCACCGGAGGGTCTAAGGGAAAATAGTAGTATTTTAGTAGTTTGCGCCATACTTTTAGTAAGGAACAGCTAATATCAAACCACTTACTGCGACATAGTACTTCTACCTCTTAACCACAACTAATTACAATTATTAAAAGTGCATTTAAAAGCTCTTTTCAACCTCTATCGATTATACTAAGCTTTATTTGTTATATTCAGCCCAAATCGCGCAATATTCCGACTTAAACACGATACCCGCTCATAGCGCTTCCGGTATAAGTAGCCCCTCCTCACTACTATCTTTACCCCTATTACATGAAGAACAACCGCCACTTGTGAGGCCTTATATCTCTAGCGAGCTTTCGAACCTCTTATCAAGTCTATTTAATATCTCCAGTGAGCTTTCGAACCTTCTATCAATTCCTCTACCTTATATCTCTAGTGAGCTTTCGAACCTCCTATCGAGTCTATTCAATATCTCTAGCGAGCTTTCTTTCCTACTGTCGACCCTACCCCGCCTATTCTACTATAATTCTAATAACAGCTCCAGTAGAGACTCTACCGATAGCTCCGATAGAGGTTCTAGTAGCGAATCTAATAGCAACTCTTAGAGAGACTCTAACAGTAACTCTAATTCTGCTGATACTATACGAGGAGGATTAGAGAATATATAATATTAGTAAGCTCCAGGTAGGATAAAGCTCTTAAAAGGATCCGTAGTAGAGCAGGTTTTTAAGGTTCTCGGGCACTACAAATAATCTCTTAGGAAGTTCCTTACCGCTTTTATTACAGAAGACGATCATACTTATAAGATACACTTACGATATATCCGTACAACTAAGCAGCGTCAGAAGATACTTCAACATACCTTAAACAATATCAGGCTAGCGTTTAGTTCTGTTCCTCTTAATTTACTACACTCGGAATTTAAGGCCTTATGTTAGACTCAGTACTTTAGGCCTTTTAATATCCAAGGGACAGACGAAAGGATAGATATAAAGCAGGGTTTCTTAAGTATAAACAAAGCAGCGCCTATCTAGTCTACCTTACTTTAGTCGTTACTTCAAAATAAGCGTACTTCGTAGAACACGTATAATTAAGGCTAAACCGCTTTATTAAGGTCTTTTCAAGGCACTACTATTATAATAACTAGTATACTCTCCTTTACACAGTCTAAGAAGCAGTCCAACTATATACAGTCCTACTTAGACTTATACCTTCTTAGATCTAGTATGAAACATTAAGTAGTTAAGGTCTTATTAGGTCTAAGTATATACTATTCGTACCAGACTAGAAATACTATAATAAAAGAACTCGCGGCCCTTACTAAAGTATATAATCAAACTCTCTTAACTTTTACATTCTCTTATAATTATGAGTACCTATCTACTATTAGCCTATTTACTTTAATTTACTTTCTAGGCGATAGTACGGGCTTGCTACGCTCTTTATTCTCAGTTATCCAGTTCTCGCGTCCTACTACGTCCTATCCTCTCATTAGCCTACTTACTTCAATTTACTTTTTAAGCGAGGGTATAAGCTCGCTATCCTTATTCTCAGTTACCCAGTTCTCAGTTCCTACTACGTCCTATCCTTCTATTAGCTTATTTACTTCAATCTACTTCTTAAGTAAAGGTACAGATATACCTCTACTATTTAGCTAATCGATTAGCTATTATATCTTACCTTCTTACTAGCTCACTTACTTCCATTTACTTCAACTTGCTTTTCGTTTATTAATTCTCTTCACCTAGACTATAAGACTAATATATACTATAGACTCGTCTCCCTCCGCTTAGTCGTAACCCCTAAAGTATTATTATCTATAATAACATCAACTTTCAAGATAATAAGCGGGATAAAGTCCTTAGTCACGTTAAGACTTAAGAGGCTATAACTACAGCTGCGATTATTATTTGCCTAGAGATACCAATTACGGGTCTAATATAATCAATATATAACCCTACGGTTCCTCTCGCCTGGAAAGATATTATATTTTCCCTTGGGATTAGTAGTCTTAATTATCCTTTACTCCTTAATATAGTCCTACCTTTACCGCCTAACTCGATATATCATTAATCTCTATCATAGTTTATTAGGAAGCGTATTACCCGGTTCTTAATCGTAGATACTATCCGAGATCTCTATCCTACCGTAGTACAAATAATATTCCAAGATAAGACGAGCTTATTTCCTTCCATACTAGAGCTCGATCTCCTTCCAGTCCGTAAGACAGAATACTACTAGTTTAGAGCTATATTCGAAAATAAGGGGACTCTTACTAGTACTATAGGAGTCTATAATAATATCTTCCAGCGACAGTTACACTTAGATCCAGATAAGGATTTTAAGTCTTAGCTATAGCTACTCTATAGAGATCAGCTCACTATATATCATATTCGCTTAGTTAAGGACGAATAACAGTACGCAGAGAAGACATATGATCGCCGTAATTAGCATCTCAATATCAGTACATAGTTCCATATCCAATATAACCTTGGGTTATCGTTAATACGTACACACTAGATAACAGCGCCTAGAACCAATAGAGGGGAGTATACTATTCTCAGAGATATGATATCTTAGGGCTGTACTATAATAGCTAGAGATAGTCCGAAGCACTACGTTCTAGACGCACTTCTCTCTTATAGCTTCAAAGCTCATATACTAGCTATTCTTTATATATTATTATCAAAAGATTATCATAGCAAATACACTAAGACCGACTTCAGCCGTCGCGAGGCTTATAACAATATCCTTTCTAGCCTTACGCCTAATACATTTCTAGCGCATATCAAGTCCATTCAGCTCCAGGCTTTCACTAGATTAGCATAGGATAGCAAACAGCTTAATAGTACTAAGCACAGAGACCCAGGGTTTACAACTATATATCGATACCTTCAGGAAATTAAACTGTTCCTTATAGTTAAGTGAGGAGTTAAGTATAGTGATATTAGCATGCTTCGTTATTATATAGACCCCTTAATTATCAATTTTCTTAGTACCTATTAAACTAACTACACATACAAGATATTCCACTACCGATAGCTACTTAAAGATAGTGTTTACACACCAGAGCTTCAGCGTGCTATACTTACATCTAGCCTAGTCAATTAGGAAAGCCGCAGAACTAGCTTTAAGCCTACCGACCTCTGCCTTAAGTATCTAAATAAAGTAATTAAGATTAAGATAAAGTATTACTAGAATTCTACTTATAATACTAATATTACTTTCAATCGTGTTTATACTACTAACACTACTATTCGTCATATACGAGTAATATTAGAGCGTTAATTTAGAGAGAACATACCAGGGGATCACACGTCTACTGATACTTCTAATAATATTTTTAATAAAGCAACAAGACTTATAATAGATAGTCTCTCTTAACCAAAGGCAGGGACCTTGCTAAATAGCTTATTTAAGTCAGAGGATATCCGCACAGTTAGCACAGGTCTATTAGTTAACTGAGTCGAGTATTTCAATTGCGTTTATACTTCTTAGGTGCAGAATAAAATAGTAACATACCTCGATAGCACTACTCGCGAGGAAGTAACAGGTACCGATTTAAGTAGAGAATTTGATACTAGCGATCAGGAGGATATTACTAATAATAAATCACTCGCGCATTATTTAACTATAGATAATAAAGTACCTAGGATAGAATAATATATTTATTATAGTATATCTAGTAGTAAGTACTTAATTCTAGAGGTTCGAAGTATCGGATATCAGCTAGTTAAAGTAAATAGAAGTAAGTAAGCCAATTAGATCGTATAGTAGCCGCGCCTAGCCTATAACTCTAATACTAATAAAGCAATAAGACATGGAATATAGGGCATCCTTAAGTAAGTTAAAGTAAATAAGCCAACCAGATAGCTTCGTTTCATATAGCTTAATCGACCCTTAATCGAAACCTCGCTCTATTTATAATACTCCCTTATAACAAACAATATAATTCTTACTTATATAGCTAGTTATAATATTCTAGTATTTAAAATCAGGTTTAGTAGTAACCAGGTAGGTAAATTAAAGTAAATTAAAGTAAATAAGTCAATTAACAACACTCACTTAGAGATTCTAGCTACAGATAGCCAGCGGTCTCTCACTGCTATTATAGTATACTAGTAGCAAACAATACAATACTCGTCTATAATAGTAAACAATCTCTATCCAAGGCAGCTCAAGTAAGTTAGAGTTAGTTAGAGTAAGTATATCTTTATTCCCTTCTCCTTTCTCTTCCTTCTTTTTTTCTCTAAGTCAAATCCCACATCAAATCACATCACATCACATCACAGCACCAGCACCAGCACTAGCACCAGCACCAGCACTAGCAACAGCAACAGCAACAACAGCAGCAACAACAATAACAATAATAGCAACAATACCTTCCCAAGCCTAAGTACTTTCGCACCAAGTCAATTTCCCGGTCTCGGAAGAGACTATTCTACGCCTCGCCCGCCCCCTCCCCAGAGGGACTACCAGACTTAGTAGTTTTTTATAAGTCAAAGAGCTCTCTTACACTTGAAGTCCATTACTTATATAATATAGTAGTGCCCCCGCTGCTACCCCCGCCCCAGCTCCAGCTCCTGCCCCCGCCCCAGCTCCAGCTCCTACCCCCGCCGCTGCTACCCCCGCTCCTACTCCTACTCCTGCTCCAGCTCCTACTACTACCCCCGCCCCCGCCCCCGCCCCCGCCCCAGCTCCAGCTCTAGCTCCAGCTCCAGCTCCTGCTCCTACTCCTACTCCGGCTCCTGCCCTAGCTCCGACTAAAGAGGAAGATAATAATAACTTTAGTAGTAGTAGTAGTAGTTAGGATAAGTAAGTTTACCTATATACCCTCTGACACTTTAGCAAGCGTTATTTAAGCGAGTATATTATTAATACTTAAAGTAGTAGCTTTAGTCTAAGTAGTAGGGAGGATAGGGATAGGGATAGGGATATAGAGATAGAGGATACTCCAGTTACGTAAGTATTATTAGAACTCCTTTTCCTATAATAAGTTCTGACCTATCTAAACACTTACTAACTTCTATAGCATAGCTA